TGACTGGATCACTCACGATCACTCGTCCTGCGGTGATCGTGTGGTCCGTGCGTTTCTGCCTATCTTATCGTGCTGACCGCCCTTGGGGCAGTGCACTGCGGTAACGGCGGTTGATTCTGTGACACTTTAGAATATTATTCTCTTTCTTTAATAAAGTTTCTAAAGTTATTAGACTAGAGATTATAGATTTAAAGCCTTTTATTAGTCTTATTATAGCTAATTCTTAGACTAGCTCTTTATTTTAATAAGAAGTTAGATAGATAATAATAATCTCTTTAAGCCTCTCTTATATTAGACTAGCTTTTTTAATTACTTTAGCTTATTAGAATTAATCTTCTTCTTTAATAGCTTTAAATAATCTATCTATTAAATTAAAGAGATTAGTAATCTTATTATTAGTCTCTTTAGGCTTTAACTCTTTCTCTATTAATTTTAGTAGTTTATAGATCTTTATTAATAATATAAATATAGCTAATCTCTCTTTAGATCTATTATAATTCTTCTTTTTAAAGAAGAAACCTTCTTTAAAAATTATATCTCTTAATAGAATAACCTTTCTCTTCTTAAGAATCTAGATTTACTAGATATTTATATCTTTATAGCTAATAAGATATCTAATCTTAGTATAGGATTAATATTTAGTCTTAGTTAATATTATAATATTATAGTATTTATCTTTAAGATAATATATCTTTAAACTATACTCTTTAATATAGCTAAGATCTAGCTAGTTTAAGCTATTTAAAATCTAATATCTATTCTCTTAATATTATTATCTAATAGTCTCTTCTAATAACTTCTAGCTATTAGCTTAATAAGAAGATCTATTATAAAGATAGATTACTACTCTATAGATCTTATTAGTTAGATTAATTAATAAACTAGTATTAAATAATATTATATTAGCCTTTATCTATATTATCTCTTTAGATTACTTAGTATAATTATTAGACTAATAAGTATATATTAGTAATAGTTTTTATATAATCTCTTTATATTATTTCTATTTCTTAATAGTATTAGTATTAAAAGCTAGTTTATTATTATTATAATCTTATTAGACCTAGAGATCTTATTACTAATCTATTAAGCTATAATAATTATAAAGAGTTTTAAGAAGAGTATACTTCTTCTTATTTAATAAAAGATATATAACTTTTAAGCCTGAAAATTTATCTTTAATAATTAGAACTATTATTAAATTATTAAGATAGTTTAATATTATAAAGAGATCTAGATAGATTTAATTAAATAGATATTCTACTAATTAATTACTTAGTCTTCTTAAGACTTATTACTTTATCTTAACTTTAATATATACTTAATAAGGCTAATTAAACTTACTAATAATTATAACTTCTTTAATATTAGTAGATAAATAACCTAGAGCTTTATTATTAAGATACTTTATTCTTCTATACTAGATATTATATCTTATCTTACTTTTTAGACTAAGCTTTTATAATAAGACTATATTAATAGCTTTATTTAATTACTATTTATTAATTTATTCTTAACTTTAATAAAAGTTAATTATAGTATAACTCTTAATTTATTTAGTTAAAAAGACTATTAATTTTAATATAAAACTCTTAATAATATTATAGTTATTATTATTTTATTAATATCCTACCTCTCTTATTACTTTATAAGAGATTAGATTAATATAAAAGTCTTTAGTAATAATAATATTCTTTAGCTTAAAGAAAGCTAGATTAATAAAGATATTAATCTCTATTATTATCTCTTCTATACTATAATATAATATTATAATATTATCTATATTAATAATATTAGTTATTAGTTAATATATACTCTTAATAAGCTTCTTCTTTAAGTTAATAATATAATAGATAGTATTAATATTATAAATAAAGTTATCTTTTAATAGATATATTATAATAATAAAGAAGCTTACTATAATATTTAAGAAGACTCTTTAAGAGATCTTCTTAATTAAAATTATCTAAATATAGGTACTTCTAATTTATCTAGTCTTATTAGATCTTTAATTAACTAGTAATAACTTTACTAATAACTTCTTAATTACTTTAATTAAGTTCTAATATTACTTCTATAACTAATCTATCTCTATAATCTTCTATAGTACCCTCTCTAGCTTTCTCTATAAGAAGAGTAGTATATAAACTAACTTCTTCTCTAAATAGAGGATTTAATACTAATTCTTATTATATTTTATTCTATAAGAGTAGATAGATCTCTTACTATTAAAAGCCTTATCTTAAAGTATTAGTTACTCTATTAATCTTTAAATAGGCTCTATTACTATATTAAATAATCTTTTAGCTAATCTCTTAACTATTATTATTATTATAAGCTATTATTAAAGCTAGTAAGTAAGTATATAGCTATTTAAAATTAATCTTTTTTAATTAAGAGTATTTATATAGATTTAAATAAAGATATTACTAACTTTATTAATATTATTAATAATAATAAGAAAGTTCTTTATAGGCTAATTATCTTAAATATTATTAATATTAATATTCTTAATATATTATAAAACCTATTTCTATTATTTAATCTATATTAATAAATTAGTAGATCTAAATAGTTATTTAGTTTATTAATATTAAGTTTAAGCTTATATTCTTACTTTAAAATCTAATAACTTAAGATATTTCTTTAATATTATTAATCTTACCTATATTAATCTAACTCTTAATAATTATCTAATTACTTCTATTCTATTAAAGATCTATATAATTATTTATTATTATTCTTTTAATAACTTATTAAATAGAGCTATATATTACTTAATTATTTAATAAATAAGCTTATTTATCTTAATTAGCTTTTTATTCTTCTTCTTATATATTATATTTAAAACCTTTTATTTATCTAACTCTATATTAAAGAAGTTCTTTCTTATTCTAAACTCTAAATATATTATTATTAGTTATTTCTCTTAAAATATTATTAAGAAAATAAAAGAAGATCTTAAATAATCTTTAAAAGATTTTAAAGTTTAATCTCTATCTAAATTAATATATTTCTAAATTTTATTATCTATAACTTTAAGATAGATATATAAATATTATATATTTTAATCTATTTTATTAATAAGAATTACTACTTAATTATTATTTAAATTCTTTTTAATTATAATATTATAATTAAATAACTAAGAGAATTAATTAAATAATACTTTAGCTTAAATAAGAGATTAATTAGATTATTATTATATTTTAAAGAGTTCTAACTACTTCTTATTAAATTTAGCTATAGAAATCTATAACTTTATAATCTAAATCTTATAATAATTACTCTAAATAAATAAATCTACTCTAATCTACTTAATTAAATATTAATTAGACTTATAACTATTAACTAAGAGTCAGATTAATTAAATTCTATTTATTAAGGTATCTAATTCTAAGAGAGAAAAGAGGAAGGCCGCCAGGGGGGCTGCCGGCCCTTAGAGGTGGCCCTAAAGGGCGGTGTGGTTGGGCAGAGACAGCTCCACATACTAAATTTGCCCTGGGGTTGTCCTTAGTGGACCAGCCCCTTCTGACATTTACAGGTGATGCTAGCGCCTGTGGGGATGGTCCGTGCCGCCCATTCATAGGTACTGTTTGTGCAATGAGATCCACCATCTAAATTAACTACAACGACTTAATTGGCTTCACTGACGCGCCAAACCGCGTCCTTGGCTATTCCAGTTTGAACCTCCAAGGACTTCTCAGTGTGCTGTTGGCCTGGACTGTGCAGAATCTGGCATTGGCTGGTTTCCATCACCAAGAGCGCACGATCATCCAGAGCTTCGAGGCGAAAAAGCTCGATATTCCCGTCATCATGGCGCGGTTGAAGCGCAGAAAGGAAGATGAGGATGCCGCGAATGGACCCGGAGAGGCCGAAGACCGTCCCGAGTTGACCCCCTCGAAACGCCGACGCACCTCCAAAGCCGCTACCGATACTACTGCGAATGCTAATGGGGGGGAGAAGCCTACGACTAATGGGATCGAGATGACGCCGAGAAAACGAGGACGGCCGAGGAAAGATGCATCGCAAACCCCGGGGAGCGCGGCAGGTACGCCGGCCAAGTCGCCCAGAAAGGGGGGCCTGTTCCAGACACCCGTCAAGACCAATGGATTCAATGGGCATGGGACGCATAGCCGACGCACTGGCGGCGCCGACCGCTCTGCGCGGAGAAAGAGTGCCAGAGCTCTGATCGACCGCGTCGTGGCAGGCGACATCAGCGACGAGGAGGCGGGCGATGAGGGTGTGGCCCGGGAGATCTACGAATCCAGCGACGACGAAGAGGAGGACGATCTCGACGATGCAGAGCAGGTACTCCAGGCGGAAATCCAAGTAGGTGCTGAAGCGCCAACACCGTCGAAACGACCACGAGGCCGGCCGAAGGGGTCTAAAAACAGGCCGAGAACACCAACACCGCCCCCGCAAGATCTTCCGGCGCACGAGCTCTACTTCTTCCAGAACAAGCCAGGGTTGGCCAAGACATCGGCGAACAACCTGTCGTCTTTGAACCTGCTGTCACACGATGAATACTTCTCCATCCTCCGAGACAAAAAGGTCACGGAACACCACCGTGAAGATGTCGAGTTCCTACAGTCCCTCCATGCGCAATCCTTCCCACAATGGGAATTCGAGCTGGATCAGGGCTTCTCGGTCTGTCTATACGGCTACGGCTCCAAGCGGCCTCTGCTGCACCGCTTCGCCTCGCATCTGTTCGACAGGATACACGACCAAGGCGCCGCGAAGCAGCACAAAATCGTCATCATAAACGGCTACGTCCGCACGATCTCCATCCGCGAGATCCTCACCATCCTCGCCCGCGCGGTAGACCCGGCCCACCGACTGCCCACCTCCAACCCCGTCACCATGCTCCAGAACCTCCTCTCCCTGCTCTCCTCGGCCGGCGAAGACGGCGGCAGCAGCAGCACCACCACCACCAAGAAGCTCACCCTGGTCCTCAACTCCCTCGACGCCGCGCCCCTGCGCAAGGCCGCCGCCCAGTCCGTCCTCGCCCAGCTCGCCGCCCACCCGCGCATCCGCCTCGTCTGCTCCGCCGACACGCCCGACTTCCCGCTGCTCTGGGACTCGTCCCTGCGCTCGGCGCTCGGCCTCGCCTTCCACGACTGCACCACCTTCGCTCCCTTCGGCGCCGAGCTCGACGTCGTCGACGACGTGCACGAGCTGCTCGGCCGCAACACGCGGCGCGTCGGCGGCAAGGACGGCGTCGCCTTCGTGCTGCGCAGCCTGCCCGAGAACGCCAAGAACCTGTTCCGCCTGCTCGTCGGCGAGGTGCTCGTCGCCATGGACGAGGGCGGGGACGCCGGCGGCGGTATGTTCGGCGGCGGCGGCGGCGGTGAGGGCCCCGGCGTTGAGTACAGGATGCTGTACAACAAGGCTGTGGAGGAGTTCATCTGTAGCTCTGAGATGGCGTTTAGGACGCTGCTGAAGGAGTGAGTCCCCCCCCCCCCCCCCCCCCCCCCCCCCCCCCTGTCCCCTCACTCTTTCATTTGAGGGAAATCCGAATAATTTTCTTTGGTGATGCTAACGAAACGACGCAGGTTCCACGACCATCAAATGATCACGAGCAGAAAGGACATACTAGGGACGGAGTTGCTGAGCCTTCCCTTCAGGAAGGAGGAGCTCGAGGCTATACTGGAGGACTTGACGACATGATGAAACGAAACATAGATGTACAAAACGAAACAAAATATTGCATTGGCATCTAGAGCTTACACAGCATAATAAAATGTTAGAGGAATGCGAACGGGGCATGACGTCTATTAGTTTAATTTTGCGGCCTCTACGCCCTCCAAAGCAAGTCTCGCTTCTTGGGTGGCATCAACTTCTTTTGCGCGCATCTCGCGCGTCTAATCTCGATCAAGGGGCTTTGTTCTGGCTACTTGGCCGGGGCCCCCCTTGCTTTCTACATTACAATCGTATCTGATGTTTCATAATCGTCCATAACCCAGAGTAAAAACCCTCTCATAAAGCCGTTCCAGAAAGGGTCTATTAGAACAACAAGAAGTAAAAAACCCATTATAGCCCCAGGCTCTTCACGCACGTCCACAACATCACGGGCACCACGACGTTGTCATTGCCGCCTGTGAGCACCGCCTCCGTAAGACTGGCCACCGAGGCGCACACGCCCGCATTGCGCACCGTCCTCGTCCAGTCCCACTGCGCGACGTGAGAGAGGGCAGAAGGGGCCGCGGAGGGGATCGCAATGTGCTCGTCGGTGACAGGCCAGCCGCCGACGCGCAACCAAGTGGCCGCAGCAGCGAGGCCGAGAAAGACGGCCACGGCGAAGGCGACGCTGCCCTCGATGCTCTTGCCGCCTCCCCAGAGCCACTTGCGGTGGCCCCATCGTCGACCTATCAGCGAGGCGGCCGCGTCACCGAGGCCGACGCAGATGACGCCAGATACCATGCTGACGTCGCGAGTCGGGACGCCCCAGCCAGCCAAGGTACCCGTGCCGGTGCGGGACAGGGATCCCAACGAGAGCCACAAGGGGATAGCGCACCCGATCAGGAGAAAGATGTGGGAGATGACCACCGGACCGCGGAGGTCTCGACCGTCGACATAAGGCGTGAGGAAAGAGGCGATAGGCTTGGAGAGGGGCGGGAGCTGGCTGGCGCGAAGGAGGTCCAGGAGGAGGAAGATGGCCAGTATCAGAGACAGGGCGAGAGCGGCGTATGTGGGGTCGACAAAGGTCGCAGGCAGGAACATGGCCACCATCATAAAGTGGAAGACCTTGCGGCGTGTGTCGACCTCGTATACGGGGGAGAGCTTGAACACGACAGCAAGGCCCAGGATCAGGATCCCGAACCAGTACGCACTCAAGACAAGTCGAGTGTTCGCTTCGCCTAGAGTTGTCTGTCTCAGATGCTCCACCCATCCGAGGCTGCAAACCTCTTCGACGCCGCGTTCAGGGAGGCAGACCCATCTCTCGAGATTCGCCTGGACAACCTGGAATCGGAACCAGGGCAGGTCTCCAAAAAGATACCCAAGTGCCCAGCCGATAGGTTCATTCCCTTGAAGCGCATAGACGCCCACGTACTGTCGAATACCGAGCAGGATGATGCCGGCGATGCAGATATAGACCCAAGCAGCGTAGAGCCACTTTCGAATCAAAGCATCCCGTGGTGTGAGGAAGAAGAAGGCCCGTAGACTGGAGGACGCAGATCTCTTGCGTCGTCCCGAGGGCGTATGTCTGTGTGAACGAAAAGTGTCCTTTGCCAGATCGGGCAGGGTAGACCTTCGTGACGAGATTGGTCCAGCAAGATCTTCTAGAGGGGGGAATTTAACGCTATTTGTTCGACGAGCTGGAGATGGGGCCGACGGGTCAGCGATGCCATCTGCAAAAGTCGCTGCATGACGTATGCCTTTACTTGGGCTGCTGTCAATGGACGAACGCGCGTAGACTTCGTCATCGGAAGAGTTGGCAGAGTCTGATGATGGCTCGTCCAAAGCAGCCCCTAACAGCTCATGCTTGAACCTCTTCATCGATAGGATATGAATGATCTGTTTCGCCAAAGAGCGGTGCTTAGACGGCTCATCTTGGCGCCTGAAACGCCATTTTGGTACCCTTGCCAGAGTAATACCCCATCGAATGGTCGGCCCGCAAAGGACCAACACACCCAGGCCGCCTAGCCAGAGCAGTCCTTTCAGTATGACTGCCTGGGGAGATCGAGCAAGAAACAGGATGTTTATCAGCGCAATGGATAGAAGTTGCAGCTCCGCCGGAAGGAGGCTAGTAGTTGTGAGATGTTGGAGGACCGCACAAAGGGTCTGATGTAAGGGATAGATGAAGGCAATGGTTTCGAGATTCAGGGATTCGTCGGCGCTGAAATTCATCGCGCCGTTCTTTTCCTCGCTCAATTGGCGGATATATGGGAAGCATGACAGTGCCCATTGGATGTTGTTGTATTTGTCTGTATGTTGTGCAAGTGGCACAAGTGCCTTCGGCATGGCAGAAATGCTCAGAGCCAGATTAAGTAGAACCACTGTGGTTCTAGTCGTCGCAACTAGAAGGGAAACGAAAAGAGGTATCACCACTGGGTATAATAGCGGTGCTGGTTCGAAGGAAGACGGAATTGTGATAGGTAGCCATGATGACGGTTTCCTGTGCGTGTAAGCCCACAGGGCAACCCGGAGGGGGTATAACAGCAACAGTCCGGAAACAATTGCCAGATGTGTGGTGAAGCCTACGCAATCGTTAGCAAAGGAGTCGAGCCACGGTAGGGATTGCAATCACCTGTCCTGAGGGACTTGATCAGAGGTCTGGCGTGCGCATTGGTATAGAGCAGAACGCCGAGAAGGGCAAGTATTAAGCATTCAGAGCAACGGCGGATGATCTCTTTCCTCCGACGCGCCTTCTCCAGACTCTGGTATTTGGCCTTCTCGGCTGCATCGCGCTTCTGATCCTTCAAACGTCGGTCGCCATCGCCTCCGAGAGCGACAGGTGCTAGCAACGGCGACGACGAGCCCGAGAGCAGCTCATTTCTGCCACGCAAGCCCTTATGCAAGCGCGTCTTCGGAGCTGGGAGCCCCTTCAAGAAGTGCTCGTCGTCCGCTTCGGTGCCACTATCACTAGTGGGTGTGGACTCCTTGGTGAAAGAAGCACTTGGGCCCCGGAGCTCGCCTCGAACATCCTGAAATAGATTCGTGGCAGTCGTGCCAGCGCGCGCCGCAACGAGATGGTCGGAGGGATGGAGAAGTTCGTAGTTCTGTCGATGGTAAGGGTGAGGAGAGCGGGATAGAAGCCTCAGCCCCTCGGGATCATCTTGCGTATGATCGCTCTGGGCAGAGGCAGGCAGCTGGAGGTGCTGCTGCTCGTCGGGCATGTCGCAGAGAATTGGGGAGTGCAGGCTCCCACAGCATTGACGTAGTTGTTGGCGACACCACGAATGGTGCTAGAATTGATTGGCGGTGGATTTGGTGTGTACGCCGGGGAATGACACGACGTGCTAGTCTGCCTCCAGGGTCGCGGTTGAGGACATCCTCTCACGAGCAAGAATGTTGAGTCTTCTTTAGATCACAGCCAGTCGGACAACTGCGCGGGATTCGCGTCACATGAAAGCTGGTCAATGTAGACACCTCAGCGGCTCTTTAGTCGCTGGAGGCAGGCCACTAATGGTGCGGATAGCTTGCCGAAGGCCTAGCGCGAGAAGTCGCCGGGATGCTCCATCAGCCCACTGTGGCTGGAGAATTGCAGGTAGCCCTATCCAGGCTCCTCAATGTTATCGTGGGATATTGAACAAGAGGACGATCTGAGTTGCAATACAGGCCCTAATTCTGATTCAACATCATAGACACTAAATCTGTCTTGTCGGAGATACGCCTATACTCTGTACACCTCAACTCTTCCGTTTCCAAGGTGCGAAGACTTTGTTGGCTTGGGAGATAAGCCACATCACAGGTACTTTGATATCAAAGCTTGGCGGGATCCACTTGACTCCTTGCACCGACAAGAGCCTCACGACAATGATGCGATTCGCAACCTCGGTCAGGCCTGGCCTGGGAGGCCTTGGGTCAGTCACATGAAATATGAAATGTTCTGTTGGACACTTTCTTCTGGGCTTCATGTGTATGTCCCTTCAGAGACCTGGACTCCCACGCATATCATTGGCGCAACCTTGCATAAGCGAGCAAAGTAGGAAATGGTCCAAGTAGTGATCCTCAGGTAAGGAACTACATATATCACAGTCAGCACGAACTATCCCGGGGTCATTAAAATTCAAGATTATACAGTGATAGCATTGATTGTTGTAGTGTCGATTTTTCTGGTCTGTCGGGCCATTTGTGGTCCTGTTGTGATGTTCTTTGTTAATGTGATTTATTTACTTGGTTCATATTTTAGAAATCATTGTCTTTAATTGTTCACAGCGCAAGATTAACAACGACAACGTTTAAATAGGATTTCTTTTCTGAAAAAAGAGAGGGAATGGTTTTATCACTTCAAACAAACGGCAATAACCATTTAACCACCCGCCAGGAAGAGAAGTCTACCTAATCCATCATCCTTGTCTCCGATCCGTAGTCTAGGTTTGAAACTTGTCTTGAGCACCGAGGGACATCTCACAGTCTTCGCATCTCTAGCGTATCTAGTAACAGTGTATGAAGGACGGCAAGCAAGACCAAAACCCATTTAAGCAACTAGCATATGTTTCATTGGGAAAATTCATGATTGGACCTCAAGAAACGACAACACCGAGCATCCTGACTTCTAGCCAGAACTGGCGCGGAGACCCACTGAGATAACTGGTGATCGAGACATCCCACATGCGTGATCGGATCGGTGTTGTCTCCAAGCGCCCAAGGCGCCGCGGGAGAATTCCCTGGTGAATGGTATATCAGAAGCATCACCTCGGTCTGTTATGGGATGGCCCGGATGGGGTACTAGTCCTCCCCGTGGCTAGGCGTTGCCAGCCACTATGTCACAATCGCCGTAGAATCACGATAGAGCGCACTATTGAAAGTCTATTCTGACCTCAATCGGGTAGCTTGCCAGGTCTGAGGGTGCCATTCTCATCGGCACCTGGAGGTCGCCTGCTCTTGGTCTCGCTACGTTTCTGCAGGCAGTCTTGTCGGTTGCCTCCCCAATCTGCTCACATGTGAGTTCATGCGATGGGGACCTCGTAATAAAAACGGGACCCCATCGCTGGACATCAAATTGGATTCGAGGTGGGTACCGAGCGGAAGAGCCGCCGGTAGTCAATGCGGCGAGCCCATAATAAATACCCACGATGACGTTCAGAGCTTTAGGATGAGGCTGTGAATTAATTCAGGAGAGAATGGGAGCTTAGCAAAGGCTCGCCAAGCAGAGGCCGCTGGACTGGAGGAGTGTAGCATGGGCGCGCTAGGAGGCAATAGAGAGAGAGTTTTGCATTATCAAAGCGGCGGAGGATATCGAGCTGAACTGGCGTGGGTGACAGGCACAACCGGGTGCACCTAAGCTGCATCCGTGCTGGGTGTGCTCGCCACGCGTCGAATACGAGAAAGGAACCACATCTGCCTCCGTAGCGAATCCCCACCACCAAGAATTGAAACGGCCGATAAAGAGACAGAGAGAACCAAAAAAAAAGAAGATTCCAGTCTCACCATCTGGCTCGTGACAGGAGTGTTCATAGCGCCAGGTCTCATCGGCTTTGGCTGGCAAGGCGGCGTAAGGAGACGAGCCCGCCAAGATGAAGAGACGGATATCGATCCGGATCACGCAGACAAAGCGTCATCATGTTGGGCTCGGCGATGTGGGCTCCTCTCACTCGTGCGAGTTGCAGACACATGTGGTATGATACGAGGTATAACAGAGAGAGACGATGATATCAGGCTTACCAGTCCTTTCTTGAAGAATCGCATCGGTAGGAAGCATGAGCAATTGCTTCCCATGCCTGCTGTCTGGGCTGGACCCGGAGCTCTTTCGCCTGCAAACCGGGGTTTGTCGCCGTATCAGGTGGCGCTGGTTGGAGAGCCAAGGTGCCAAACCCTTGCTAAATTTAGCGAGTGGCCCGGGAGCAGTCCACAGAGTTCGGGAAACTGGCACGACTGGCACCATGTCACCGGCCCTGGAACAGGCTAAACCGGTCAAGGCCGATGCCAAATCCCTGCATCTGCAGCGTCATGATGTTTCCAGCAACGCAGCTGAGAGGCGGAGATCTTCAGGGTGGCCACCCACAAACAAGCGGCCAGAGCTAAGCACGGCTGTCTGTCCCAATGGTCCAGCTCCTGTCTGCCCAGCCCGACAAACCGACAGGGTTCAATCAAGAGGTTTAAAAAGTAAAGGCATGGTGATGGCTGCAGCCCTTTTCTCCTTTGACAGTGTTTCATACCATCCACCACGACCCAGCTCGAGAAGCAAGTGAACATCTACTGGTTAGTGCCTGCCACCTCTCTCCCCCCTCAGAAACGACACTTTTGCTTGGCGTGACGACGTTGCGGATAAGCTGGGCTCCATTAGCTCGCGAGGAAGAAGCAAGAAAGCACCGTAAACGCCCGCCTCCACCCACTCATCCAACCACCGAGGTGGAGCCTCTCTCGTTTACCTGCACATCAGAGTTGGACAACAGTACAAAGAAGCCTCTTTCTCTAACCTTACCTCCGTACATAGTACTATTACTCGGCATCAGCAGCTTTTTTTTCGTGACTGTTGTCCACTCGTTACAACAAAGTCACAGCCACTCAGACCCTACGGTCCACAAACCTGCAACCCACCGGAGTCAGATCACGAAAGGTGTGACAGTCCGAGAACCACCAGCAGGGTCTTGACCTGGAGGCTTCGGCAAATAAAACTCACCGTCCTGCCCTCTCCCTCGCGTCATGATGCAGGTTTAGGTAGACACTAGAGTTCCACCAAAGCGCCTCACCAAAGCACCGGATTCCCGAAAACCTGCGAAGCTCCAGCCCACAAACCTCGAGCCTTTCGGCTGCACAGCATCGGACTGGCCCACCACCCTGCCTCTCGTTTCGAACTGATCTGACAGCCGGACCTCTCACACCATCTCATAGCCCAAAGCCGACGCTATGGACAGCCGGCATACTAAAGACGATCGTGCCCTCGAGGCCGGCTACCCAACGGCTCTGGAAGAGAAGTCGTCGATGCGGACCGAAGAGACCAGAGAGCCCCAACCCCCACGTTTCGTGGTCATCCAGAAGATGCCGTCGCCTCGCCACCTCCTCGTCACCCTGGCACTGTGCTTCCTGTTCACCTTTGGCCTGGCCCATGCCCTGAGCCCCAAGGCCTGGCACCGGGGATCGTGCCACGAGAAGTCATCGTCCGAGTCCCAGCAGCAGCAGCAGGAGCAAGTCGTCGACGCCTCGAGGTTCACCAACATGCTCGATGCCGTCTCCCCGGACTCGCTGCACGATCTCCTCCACCGCTATCTGCCTGAGAGGTATCAGCATGGGGTCTTCTCCTCGGACCACTCCGCCCTCGAGGCCGTTCACCGGGACGACGCACCGCTAGCGACGTCTCTTGCACAGCTGGCCAAGCGTCAGGACACCAACAGCACCTCGGTGCCGACGACGTCTCCCACGTCTTCGGCTCCAACTACGACCTCTCATACCTCGACCACGGTGACGACACCGACCAGCTCCGCGCCAACGTCGACTTCTGCCAGCAGCGTGCCGTCGTCGACCTCGGCGCCGCCGACCTCCTCGTCTTCGTCTTCGTCCTCCCGCCCTCCCTCTTCCTCGGTCACTTCTTCTGGTACGTCGTCGACTATGACTTCTTCGTCCTCTTCTCCTTCTTCCTCTTCCTCCTCGAGAAGTTCAAGCTTCTCCATAACGTCGACATCGTCTCGATCGAGAACATCGTCATCTGCCGGTATGTCGGCCTCAATGCAGCCGTGAAGTGTTCGCCTCGTTGTTGCTTGATGATGTCCTGTTTCCCTATCGTCGTCAATTGCGCGTGCCGTGTCAGCTCTTTTGTCCTACCCATGAGCTAGACTTTTCACGGCCGTCGACATCCTGCCCCCCAGGGGGGCCATTGGTGTAGCTTGGCTTTTTGACTTGAAAGAAAACGTTTTGCTTCGCATCGCAAGGTCCACCTGGCTGACCAGATTTTACTACAGAACCCACCAGCTCGAGTTCGGAGAGCCGGACGAGTCCGCCGCGTACGTCTAAGCCGACGACGTCGACCTACACGTCCACGCTCCCCAACGGTGCAGCCACCACCGTCGTCGAGACCTCGTACGTGGGCGTCGACGACCCGAACCAGACCACGAGCACCAAGCCGTCGGGCAGCCTTCAGACCAACGCCGCCGTGGCTCGCAACCGCGGCCATCTCGTCGAGGCGGCCGTGGGAGTCATCGTCGGAGGGGCGCTGCTGATCTAAGTCTTGGGGACGAACAAGCATGTTTCGGTCTCTTTTCTTCTCCCCCACGATGGGAGAAGAAGTATAGGGCGGGGAGGGGAAAGAGAAGAAAAGAAGAAGCGAAAGAAAGAAGGTCCGGAACTAACAACCGCACGCGCACCCGCGCGAGGAGCCGGATGGCGTACGCCGCTATTAATATGTCTCTCGAGACGTGCACGAATGATTCGAGCAAAACGACACATCTTTCCAGCAACAACAGCACTTGCCTAATTTGGCACGACCGGGTTTTTTAAATTTGATTTATTCTCAGCGACCAGCATCACAAGCGACACACATTCCTTTAGCATCAAAGAACGGAGTTATTCTAGCATACACAATTTGGGAATCATTTTTTGAGTTTGGGCAGAACGCCGGGGGGGGGCCCACAAGGCATGGGACCAGGCGCATTCTTCAAACGCGTTCTGGGACGGGGGTGGAAGCGCGTCTTATATCCACCACTTGCATACAAGCATATTATCTTCATTCCTTAATTACAAGCGCTTCTTGGCTTTATGGCACGCAAGTCACGCATACAGAGGGCACAACATCTGAGAAACCCGGGGGTGTGGGAGGAGGAGACAGAGACGGGGGGGTGGGGGAGAGGAGAGCGGAAATCACATTTCTAGTTTTTAGAACAAATGTAATATGGAAAGGATGGGTCGCGGTCCAGAGTTTGCCGCAAACAAACGGTGCGATGAATTCCCCCGTTTTCGTGATAATGCATCTTCTTGGGGGGAAGGAGGGAGTCTAGGAGACGCGTCGGGGCTAAGGCTGCAAATGCCGGCCTCGTGAACAATGCGCGTGCGTGTGTGAAATGTAGGCTACGAGTAGTTGGCTTGGGAGAAGCCGGCCGGAAGAGATGAGAGAAAAAAGAAAAGGGGCGCTTTTGCTAAAAACTTGGGGTGTGAGGCGCGACGGGTTTCCCGTGTCAAGGGATGAGAGGAGAGATCGAGGTAGGAAATTTGGGCGTGGAATGCGGGCACACACAGACCAGGAACCAGGAACAATGGGCGGAGTGGCGCCAAAGTGGACGAGAAAAAGAATAGGCCATGCCATGTGTGAAACCGGCCGTTCGAGCGGCTAGAAAAGATAATTGGGGATCGAATCATCACGGACTTTGTCATGTGGGCGATATCGATGTTTTACATGTCAGAACTCGGGATGTAGAATGAAGCTTCACGTCTTTGGCGGCGGGTCAGCTTCGTCAATGCGTATTGCGTGTGATGAGTCGCTAAATTGGCAAAGATTGGTCGTGTCTAATTTGAATCAATCGTTACAAGAAAATCATCAAGCCAGAAGAAGCCCCCCTCCGAAAGACGGAGCTGTTTAGCCAGGTCCAATCTTGGGCATGTCGTGATGCTCGCTCAGCTTGGACAGGTAGGTGTTGAGCTCCTCGACCCGCTGCTTGTGCGTCTTGAGAAGCTCCGGCCTGGCACCGGCCTGTTCCAAGAGCTGTCATGTAAAACTCCCGTTAGTAGGTATACCACGGAATGAGAACTGGTTAAAATACCGAGGATGCAGAAAGAAAGAGCCTCATGACGTAGGACAAGAGAAAGACATACCTTCTTGCGCCTGGCTTCCTCGAAGCGCCTCTCGGCCTCGGTCTTGAAGGCGACGGGTCGCTGAGCGGAGCCGCTGCCGTCGTCCTCAGCCTCCTCGCCCTCCTCCTCTCGCCGCTTATCCTTGCTGCTGGTCTTGGATGATGAAGACGCCCCTGCGCCGCCGGTGGATAACGCCTTTTCGAGATCGCTGCCGCCGCCTTCGGCCCTGTCCTTCTTCTTCTTGTGCTTTTTGACTTTGGCGCCGGCGCCCTTGAGCTTGAGGGCCCCGCCTCCGCCGGCCGACTTGTAGTCGTCTGATGGCATGGCGGTCATGAGCAATAGGCCATGGGAAAGGTGGATGCCAGCTAGAGACTGTGGAAGCGGCGAGGATTGCGACAAGTCTTCTGAGCTGTAAGTGGATGGATCTTCACTGAACCAACGATGAGGTTCTCGTAGGGTGTGGTGGGTGGTCCTGTGAGGATTGGCTGCTTATGTCATCCAGAGGCGCCCCCCACAACGACCATGGATTGAGGCTCGCTCCCGACAAGCAAACCGTCGCTAACCTCTACTCTATGAGAGGCAATAAGCTTTCTGTCGCCCTGACTACAAGATTTACCTAGCATTCATTCAAAGCTGCCGTTGGATTTTGACAGGGAAACCGGTCCCTTGTGTTACCCTGCGCCGGCCGAAAACCATGCCCCTGGAAGGACAGCTCCTGTTGCTGGTGCAGCCCAGCTTCATGACAGTCGGATGAGGCCTGCAGCTCCCCAGTTCAGCAGCGGCTGAGACAGGGCAGCTCCCCGTAGGACAAGATCGACTACACCCTATGTATCCTAGCTAATCAAGCATCGCAATGCCGGTCACCAAAAAGTTGGCTGAGACAATGTAGGAGGAGATCTCATGGGAATGGAGCTCTTCTCCACGCATGAGCTCCATCAAGCCCAGAAGAGGGTCAGATCTACCCAGGTAGGTAAAGGTCTTATTGCCCTGCTCGCAAGAATGACGAGTCCACCCAAGGTGGGAAGCAAGCATCAATGCTGTGGAGGGGGCCACGATGCCCCGCGAAGAGCTCGTCGCGGCAAAACGGGTATGGGCATCGGTCGATGGGGGTCAGAATGGAGCTCTAGTTGCTCGGTCAGGAGCATGAGCTCGCTCGATTTGGCATACCCATCCTGCTAGAGAGTGGGAGAGAGCAGGTGAGCACGAATCAAGGTAAGACCACTGATGTCTCAGAGAAACGTCGATCGCGCACCAATCTTGGACGCCATCGCGAGAAGAGCTACGAGTCATTGGAATGTGTAGGCCCATCCAGTACCTGATTGGGCTCGTGCCACTGGACGTCACTAGTTGTCAAGAGGAAGATCTCACCGTTTGGTCTCCACTGTGCCTGGTCGAGGGAAGAAAGAGGCCTAGTCGCTCCGAGTGACAGGACCAAAAGCGTAAACCTACTTGCCTACCACGGCCTGTGGCTGGGGGTTGATCGAGGGACGAAGCACATCCGTGTCTTAGCGGGCGATGCCCGTGTACAGAGCTTGGCAAGTACTAAGATCTAGTGCAAAGTATGGCAGAATAGACTTCAGAGATCGCGGTGATTGGCAGTTGCCCGGTTGAGAGCAAGTGGGTAGGCAGAGCAGGTAGATCAAGACAAGATCGGGGGAGTGGTGATGATAGGGATTGGTGGTGTCGGTACTTTGGTTGGCCGTCGTTTGGCAGCTGGCGGAGGACGAGCGCCAGAATTGGGAGCTTGGGCCAAAAACTCACGTGTGGGCGATGGCCAGAAGCGGCTTAGTCAGGGCGAGTCGCGAGCGGTGAGTGGGCGATTGGGCGACGCGAGTGGATGCCGGGGCAGCATCCAGCATTTCTACGATGGCCGCTCGCCAAAAATTTCAAACTCTTCTTTCTTCTCTTTTTTTCTTCAGATCAAAAAGTATACCACAGAGTAGCCACGACCGACACTCAGAATTCCAAGCCCACGGTGTCGCGTTGCCACGTTACTTACAGTAACAGAACTCTGGAGATCGAAATCCCTGATAGGAAATCTTTCGCCCAAGTCCCTCTGCGGACGGATGGGCGAGGATGTCGATGATGTGGAGACATACCTAAGTCTTTTTTTGCCTTTGCCTGTTCCTGCATGATGTTTCACTCTGTTCTCGCAACATTCCTGTTGCCCTTGACTAGCGCAAGCCCTGATTGACTTTCCTGGTATGTGCCCTGAGCAATGGTGCAGCTTTGTCCCGGGAGTGCCTGCGTGCGTGCGTGTGCCCCGTCGCTCTGCCCCGTCTCTCTGCCCCGTCGCCATGCGCCGTCGTCGTCGTCGTCTCGTCGCTCTACTAGGCAAAGGTACCTTGATCGAGGTGCTTCCTCATTCGTTCCTTGCGCTTGGAGGCGTTATGCTTTCCGTCTTGGGGCGTAGTGGCTCTCTAGGTCTATCTACGGTACCTTGCATCTGTCGAGATCGGCAGGTCTCCTACCCAACCAGAACCAATTCCTTCTCTCTCTCTGGGCTCCCAGAGTCGAGAGGCCAGCCAGCCGGCCGTCCATCCGGCAGGCAAAGCAGGCGGGCGGGCAGGCAGCTCCAGTGAGCGAGGCTCGGGGCAAGACAGCCTTGCCCGCTTGTCTAGTGGAGACTCTTTGGAGATGCGCAAGGAGCAAACCAAAAAAGGCTCCTCTGATGCTCCATTGGGTTCTTTTTCCTCCTTCATTACCCCATATGGTACATGCTGCTATGCGCTATTCGCTCGAATATCGTCATTCATGTGTTTTCCTGCTGTCTGATTCGCTGCGCGGTCGCTCGCTGGTTCGCTCGCCATGACGCGCGCAGCGGAGGTGTGGTCCTCGCAAGTGTCGAGCCATGATGGGTCGGGAAACAAGACATACCATCAGAGACATGCTCCATTGTCGGTTGCCGCAGACGAACTCTCTTGGGCACGTTAGACTTGGAATAACAGTCCCCGCTTTGGATGTTTTTGGTGCTTTTGCCAAAGTTTGCTACGAGTCCGGCAGCAGGCCAGCCGATGTGTGGAATGCTGCTCCATTTCGCACCATTCCTCAACATGGTCGGCGCGTGTGCTTGTCTCCAAGCCAGCGACACCTGTTTACCAAGGAATCTCGGCGTCCGCCCAGACGAGCGCGATGATTGTCTTAGTGCCCGTCCTCGTTATATAAGATCGTCTTGGAGCTCCCGTTTCCATCTTCAGCTCCTCTCCTCATCCACTCTTTTAGCTCACCTACCTCAGTCACTCGTTCTTGACTTTATAGCTCGTGCGTCCCCTTGATAGCTATTTCAGCTCTCTGAGACCTCGATCCCGTCTATAATATCAAACCAAAAAGTCTTGATACGCTTCGGCTTTCAATACCGTCAAAATGAGGTACGTCGCCGCCGCCGCCTTGGGGGGCAGCAGGAGCATGGGCTTGGAGGGGATTGCCGGCGACCTGGCTTCCCAACATGCACATGACCCGTGACCATCGTCTTCGAGTCAGTTTGGCTAACGCACTCTGCAGTCTGACTACCTCTGAGTTCCTCAGCTGCACCCCGTACCCGGCGACGGTTACGGACACGGTGACCAGCACCTTCACCACCACCTACTGCTACACTGGGCCTGCTGCCTGCCCTACCAGCGCATGGATGGCCACGTACACCATCGTTGAGATCTGCACGGGTAACCGGGCCACCTGGACCCCTCCTGCGATCCCGCCAAACTTCGTCCAGACGACTGTCGTCTGCGATGTTTGCGCCACTCCCACCCAGACCATCTACTGCCCGACCAGCACGCCCGTCCCCACCGGCGTCGCCACCGGTGTCCTCACCGTCGGCGGCAACGGTGTCACCGCCTCCACCGGCGTCGTCGTCGCACCGCCCACCGGCAAGCCCGTGGTCGTCACTGCCGGCGCTCCTTCCCTCAAGAAGGGCCTGGCCGTCATCGGCTCGCTGGCTCTCATCGCCGGCCAGATGCTCCTGTAAATGGGGAGTGTACAATCCTTAACGACTATAAACTATCATGGGGCGTAGAGCTACTGGTGCAAGATTTTAATCGGGTTTTCATTTCCACGGACATTGTTAACGGAATACGCATCATCTGAATTTGGTTTGCCGGGCAGGTTACTTGTTACAATTTTTTATCAGAGTCTGACATAATTTTATTTTCGGGGTTCAAAACGTTTCAAAAACGGTTCCGTTCCTTGTAATATGCTTCGTGATGAATACTGTGTTTCCAATTCTATTCCCCCCGAGGCTGCTTATGTGCAATTCTTGACCTCGTCGTTATCGAGACTTGTCGGGTATTGCTTGTTACCCATCCCCATGGTCTCATGAGAGTCCGCCTGAGCTTATGATAACCCGGAATCTCAAACCAGTCTGTCTCCGTCCTTGCTGCGGTGTTGGTCCCGTACGAACTCTTCAATCTGTGGATCATGATGCGGTCGCTCAGGAGGGCCCCCGGGCGCTTGATACAGAGCGGGTTGCTCCTTGTTCTCTTCTACTCCCAGCATTTTGGCAACGGGAGGGACGTATTCGGCAACTGTATCGGGTCGCGTGCGTTAGTGTTGCCGGTTCCTGCAGTTGCGGACCGTCGCTTCATTCCAGCTCACCTTTCTCCACGACAGCGTCGACTGTGGAGGTGTTTTTGCTGTCGCCCTGCGCGGGCCTGCGAGCCTCATCTGCCTTGTGGTCGAGCTTCTCCTTGTAGTTTATGTTGGTGGCCTGAGCCACTGCGCCTTCGGGATCGCGTGTCTTGAGGTTTGGCCTGTCTCCCATGGTGGTCTCTCGTGCACTTGGAACTTTGTCGATGTATCTGTTCGCGGCGGCGTTCTCAGATTCGCGTCTTCGTCACGGTGATAGCAAGAGGTTTCAATCATTTGAGATGACCAAAGTGAGTTATCTCGATTCAAACTGCAAGTCTGCCTACACAATTGACGTCTGCCGTTGCACCAAGAATCTTGGTCTGCTCCGAAAGCTTATGGTCTCCAGTGGCCAAGAACATGACGTCATATCCTGTTCCGAGCTGGACCCCTGCTTTGAGTCTGTTCAAGTTCACACGGGGTAAATCTGATATTCAAAAATCGCATGGAGGCGTGCCGAATCTCTTCAGGCCATCTTGGAGGTCACGATAGCTAGTCTAGGCGGAGAGTTGCGGTGTTGAGGCTGTGTGGTAAGCCCACGATTCAGTGTACAAGACTTGGGTGGTAGTGCTGAGGAGGGGCGATCGTAGCTGAAGATCCGCCCAATACCGGGCCAATCGGCGATCGCCTGATAACCTTAAAGCACTGCTTGGCAGGCAGGCATGTCTGCCCCCGGTTCCTGTGCCTGCCCGGACGAAAGCGGCAGGCGGTCAGTGCTCGAGGCGCGCAGAAAGACTTTTGGGCGGTATTTTCTCCCGATAGCCTCGACTTACATTCCACAAAGAGGCTGGACCTCGCAGCAAAGACCATACCGCTCACACCCGTGCTTGCTCGTGCTTTATTGGTCGCCACCACATCCAGTCTGTTTCCTTTGCCGGCCAGAACGCGCCTTTTCTCCTCCCCTCTCCTTCACCACCATGGCGCCGATCCCAATTACCATCATCACCGGGTTTTTGGGTTCGGGGAAGACCACCCTGATCCTGAACCTGATCCCGCAATTGCGCGAGACAAATCCGGACTACAAGCTCGCGCTCCTCAAGAATGAGTTTGGCGACTTGGCAGTAGACTCACAACTCGCCTCGTCGAGCGCCATCTCGGGCGTGCAGGAGATGCTCAATGGCTGCATCTGCTGCAATCTCGTGGGCCAGCTTGGTGAGGCGTTGCACGAGCTGCAGGCGTCGGTGAAGCCGGACCGCATCGTGGTCGAGACCTCTGGCTCCGCATTCCCAGCCACCCTGGCACTGGAGGTCAACCGGCTGGCACGCAAGACGGGAGATTACATTCTTGACGGCGTCGTCAGCGTCATCGACGTGGAGAACTGGCAGGGGTACGAGGACACCAGCTACACGGCCCGCCTGCAGGCCCGGTACACTGATCTCATCGTCTTCAACAAGTGGGAGAGCTGCGATGAGCGCCGGTTTGACGAGTGTCTGGACCGTGTAGGCGACCTCGAGGTCGATACGGCCTGGGTCAAGAGCCGCAAAGGCTGGGTGTCTATGGACTTGGTCTTTGGCATCGACGGCGGGCTTGCACAAGATCTGACAGACGAGCACCATGATCACGGCCACGGCCATGATGCAGAACATAAGCACGATCACCAGTCTGAAGTGGAAGTCCTCTCTGTGACCCTACAAGGACCCAAAAAATCAGCCCTTAATTCGGAGAAGCTCTTGTCTCTCCTCAAGGCTGCCTCCAAGGAGGAGGTCTACCGGATAAAAGCCGTTTTGACGGCCTCATCAACGGTCAGGAACTCCGATGAAGATGTGGATATCCCAACTCCTCCCCACCCCCAGGCAAGATACATCCTCAATTGGGCCTTCGGGCGATGGACCTTCACCCCCGTCGCCGAGGGAGCACAGGAGCACGAATCGAGCGACCAGGTTCCACTGCGCCTGACCATGATCCTGGCGAGATACGAGAGCACCAAGTGGAAGAAGAGACTAGAGAGCAACGGCTACCTGGAACTAGACGGCGACGACAAAGGCCAACTCACCGTTACGAAAATAGCATGATCGACGCGACAATTCTTAGAGCATAAGACCGAGAAAGAAAAGCATGGGCATTTGAGGATTCGTTAGAGAAATGCGAGACAATACCACCACGAGCAGCTTGTTCCTGCTCCAAATTAGACATATCTGATTGGTTCACAAGTGGAACATTGTTTCAGTCCTGAGCACCAAGCAAGACGTTGGCCAACACTTTTGCCAACTTTTGCAGGCGACGGACGGCCATTTTGTGTCTAGCGTTTGGCCAAATCTGGTAGACAAGCAGATCGGTCCGCTGGCGCAAACCTTACAAGAACGGAGACAAACTGCTCCGCCATGCTGTGTATTACCTATTTGTCTAGGTACCACGAGGGCCGACAGATCCCCTTCGCGAGCTGCGGGGAGCTGATATCCACGCTGTGAGACCTTTGCGGTCTCCACTGTCTCAGCCATTCCTGGGAGCTGAAGATGGATGTCGAGACAGGAGGACGATCAGAGAGCCTTGGGAAGCCGACTGAGGACCGGTGACGTGGGCGTCACTTCATGCTCTTGGTGCCCCTTCTCCGCCATCTCCACCATCGCTTCGTCCCACTCCTCCGATATGCCTCGCAGGCTGTCGCGGATCAACTTCCTAAGGTCGAACGTCACTTCTTCAGGGCTAGCGCCGCTTGTCTCTTGAGCGCGCTGCTCGAGGATGGGTATGGGGCGATGGGCCGAGCTCGCGGCGCCGGCGGAGGAGGAGTAGGAGTAAGATGAGGTAAAGTTGGCATTGTCGCAGTAGTACTCGAGCAGGTCGTCTTCCCAGGAGCCGTCGTTGCCGACGTACGATGACTGGTGTTTTCCCTCGCTCCCCTGGTCTGCGGCGCGGACTACTTGGGAGCGCGGATGGTCGATCTCGCCGATGCGCACGATGTGGCTATTGGCCTGGAGGGCCGGGTGGATTTGCTGCTGTGCCATGGCGGGCGACATCTGCCCGGGGCTTCCTTCTTCGTGGTCCATGCGCCGCCTAATGTAGGCCATGGCTGATTCCATGCTCGCGCCCCGTTGGAGCTGTATCCTTGAGGCGTGCGTGGGGGTGGACTTGGGAGTGGCCATGCCCATGGTACTGGCGGTCGGGGTGATGTCGTCGTCGTCGTCGTCGTCGTCACTGTCTAGGGAACTGCTGTAGCCGTCATCGCCGACTTGTCTGTCAGGCGCGGTGGAGATATCGTGTGGCTCGGTGTTGCGGAGGGATATCTCTCTCGGCGAGGCGGACGGGGAGATGAGCCGCATCTGCTGCGCGACGTGCGTGGGACTGGTGGTGGCGTTTCGACGGCTCGTTACCGCGGGCGAATAAGGTCTAGGCCTGGCAGCAGCTGCTCCTGCGTATATTCCCAAGGGAGCGGTGTAGGGATTCTGTGTAGGCCGGCGGCTTACCGCCGGTCGAGGGACACGCTGCGGATAGGCCGCTCTCTCACCGGTAGCGGCGGACTCGAATCTCCGCCGTGGCGTGGGCGGGGCCGATGGTTGTGTCGGGGGCCCGGGCGAGAAAAGCGGAGCCCGGACCGGAGGGGCAAGATTCGCGTCGGCTCGCTTCTCCGTCGCCGGGCTGACATGTCTGGCGCGAGGTCGAGGTGATAGAGGAAACAACGGCGTCTGAGGCCGGCGGGGTGTATCGCCGTGTCGGTGCGGCGAGGGTGCCGGTCTTGGATTCTCAAAGTTGCCGTCGAGGCTCGGCGTCTGATAAGGCTTGACCTCCTTGCCTTTCCAGACAGGAGGCGATGCCATCGGAGATGAAAGGCCTACCGGTTCGACGTCTGCAGCTCGACGCTCAGCGGGCATCGGCGACAGCGGCTGCCGGAGTCGAGGCGAATCTAGTCGTCGAGCCTCGCTCTCCTCGGCCGCTCGGCGGCGGCGTCTCTTCTCCTCCTCTTCTTCATGCATGGCTAAGAGGAGATAGCGGCACTCTTCGTCGGAGGGGATGTTCTCTGGCAGGATAGGACGCACGGGGCGGTCAGGAGTATGGATAATCTCAAAGTTATCGAGGTCCGCCCGCTCGATGGCCGACTTGCCGTCCCTGCCACCATGGTGTTGGTGATGGATGGGCATGATGCGCCGGAGATCACGCAGTTTCTGGCTAAGTCTCTGGCCCTTCGAGGTCGGGCTCGCGCCGCTGTTATTGGGATCGGGGGGTTTCATTGTAGATGAGCGTGGGTGAGGAAACGGTCCTGGTTTTTGTATGGATTCAGGGGGGGGTGAAGCTCTCTCGGCTTTCTGTTTTTGCACAAGGGTTTGGTCAAGAGTTTGGTAGTATGAACATGTCCTTGATGATGATGTATGATGTATCAACTTCTACTATCGCGTGGCAGTTCTTTGTCCTAGTAGCCGTGACTCGCACTCGACTGTGGTTTTCTTTGTTCATGGCTTGTGGCCACGAGGTGGCTATCACTAGGTCCCAGGGTTCTTTGACGCCCGACTATCCTCGACCCTTTTGACTCGCTGCGATACAGGGGGCAAGAACCATGTTATGAGCCATTTCTTGTAATTCCTACATGCAAGGCCCCAGGGGGTTGTTTCTCTATTATATATGTGTCCTTCGACTCAACATGCATCCTTCCTTGGCGAGGCTCGCAACAATGTGAATCACGATGACTCACTGAATCGATGCTTTCGTGATTGTGCTACAGAAATGACCTACCTTCGCAGTGTGAAGCTGTGCTTGTTGTTTGTATCGGGTCCAGTGTCATGTTTTTCAATGAGCAGCCGGTTGTTATGGCTGTGCTTGCTGGTGGAGCTGGCATGGAGGCAAGAAAGAGGGCGTGGAAATGAGAGCTTGAGAGTCTTGTACGCATACGCAGGTAGTTGGTAAACATGATAGAAGTGATGCTCTATTTCTCTAAAGATTCTTTCATTGAACGTAGTTAAGTAAAATATGTGAAATTAATTTACAGTGAAAACAACACTCCGTGTCATGTCAAAGGTTTCCACCTGCTCTCATACATACTTATGTATCTAGGCATCCCCCATGACTTTGAGCCTCCGGAGACATCCCTGATTTTTATGCCTACGCTCTGAAATGGAAGCGTTGTGTATCTCGAGATGTCTTCTGTCTTGCTCCTGGTTGGCTTTTCGCAGATCAAGGGAAGCTAGAGTCTGGACCTAGTGACGTGAGCAACCACCAATGATGGAATGCATTTGGGGGACTCAACAGGTGCGGCTGTCAGCATGTCACACCACACATTCCTTGCTGCACATGGCCGCGGTGAGCTATCCAAACGTAGCACTCTCGCTCATAGCTTGACATGTGACACTCTCTTCTGGATGATTCCCTGAGCAGCATGGAGTTGTAGACGAGAGCTTATCCAGCACCCCGCAGTCATCATAAGGTGGCACTGCATTCTGTGACACGGAGACGGAAACGAGTGCCGTCACTGGCGTCCTGTTAAAGCCTGCCTGGGATACTGATCCATTCTTATCCTCCTTCCTGTTGCTGCGAGATCATCCCCAAAACATCATATCGGAATGACACAATGCGGGGTGCCCACGGCAAGATCCTTGAATCTCCCAGGGGTCTTCAAGCGCTACGAGCTGGTAAACGGGGCGGTTTTGGGCGGTGCACCAGTAAAACTGCAGCGACCTGGGCGCTAAAGGACAAAGCCCTTGAGAGCCGAGGCGCTAGGCTTGCAAGTCCTCAGTGGGGGCTCGCTTCGCCAGTTGCCCGATTCGGCTGTCAGCTGTCCCGAGCACAGGCAGCTCGTGCCCGCTCTGTGCGCTGCGTGTGGTCATCACGGGTCCAACCAGGCGGAAGGGCCTTATCTCTAGCTCTAGTACCCATTTGCTTCACCATTCCACGTCACAACACACCGCGCTGCGTCCCAGCTCCAGGCTCAATTGCACGGCATCGTATTCCTTTTGTCAGTCAATACTCATTGCAAACATCGTTTGTATCCATACTCTAGCACACATCTCTTTTGCGGACGCGAAACCGCCACCGCCCAAGCCGCCAGCTCGGTCACTGCCAACAAATTGGAGCCTGCGTCACAACCGACTTTACGATAAGCGAACCCGACAGTCATTACGAATGCCATTGACGACCAAGTCGACCGCTCTATCATAGCATTTGAAGGACCGCAACCTTCACACCGACACAATGTCGACCTCTGGGCGGGAATCTCCCTCCCAGTCACGTCCCTTAGAGCGCCCCTCTGCATCGCCCATCGGCTCTTACCAAGCAAGATCTTACGGCAGCTCTCTTCCCCGCGCAGATGCCACGGCTCGACTGGCTTCGCCTGTGCCCTACCAGCAGTTTGGGACGCCGCCGGGTAGCCAATCCAGGTCAAGAAGCGTCGTTGGCGATGACACGGCAAGCCTTGCTCCCTTGGCGGGCCCGGCTTCAGCCGCATCAGGTCCTGGCGTGTCCGCTTTGGCGGCCGCTCTGTCCAACTCGATAGGGACGTCACCGCCGCGCTACGGAACTCCCCCGGTCAGAGCAGCGTCACCAGCAGCTTCAGCCACCAATTTGGGCGCCCGGTCTGGAACACCGACAAACTATGGCTCTTTCGATGCGAGACGCCGTCTCGGGCAACGAGATACTGGGATAGGGGCGTTTGAAGACCCCGAAATTGTGAAGAGGCATCTCGTACAACCGTCGGACGCATCTCATGTCTCCGAGGACTCGGAGATGAGGAACCAAAGCAGTAGTGCACGGGGTAAAGATCCCGCCGAGAACACGGAGACGGGGTTGAACGATGGCGAGTTCTCCAGTCTGAGACTCCAAGGTGGTGATATTACGCGCCCAATCTACAAGTGGACCGAGGAGGCCACCAACAAAATGCAGCGCAGCAAGAGCTTTAGCATCTCTCGGCCGGAGCCTGAGAACGAGGTCTTGGATATTAGCACAATTAAGGTGCCTGGAGGTTTTCGGCGAAATTTCCTTCGACGCGCGGCTGGCAGCCCTTCGGGTAACAATGACCCCGACGAATTCGGTGATGGGTTTGGCCTTACGAACCAGCAACAACCACTCTTCACCTCCAGTTTCTTGGAGTTCCTCTCCGTGTACGGACATTTCGCCGGTGAGGAACTGGAGGAGGATGACGAGGTGCTGAGGCCGGGCGAGTACTTCTCCTCAGGAGAAGAGGGCGAGGATTACTTTGGCAGCGAGGAGGGCTCCGAGTCGGACCGGGAGCCAATGGAGGATAGCGCTCTCCTCACACCGTCGAGGCGAAAGAGGAGGAGAAAGCACCGCGGCGGTAGCGGCAATGCAAGCCCTATGGGGGCTGCCGCTGTGCTGTTGAAGTCTTTCGTCGGAACGGGTGTACTCTTCCTGCCGCGAGCCTTCTTGAACGGTGGCATGCTGTTTGGCGTTCTCGTCCTTCTTGGCGTTGCTGCCCTCAGCTACTATTGCTTCGTCCTCCTTGTGACTACACGGCTCAAGATTGTTGGTTCTTTCGGAGATATTGGTGGGATCCTCTACGGAAAATGGCTTCGATTCCTCATCCTCTTCTCCATCGTTGTCAGTCAAATAGGTTTCGTGGCCGCCTACATCGTCTTCACCTCCGAAAACCTTCAGGCCTTCATCCTGGCGGTCTCCGATTGCAAGACTCTGATTCCCATCAAGTATCTCATCATGATGCAGATGGTCGTCTTCCTGCCCTTCTCCTTGTTGCGCGACATCAACAAACTCGCATTTACTGCGCTAGTCGCAGATGCGTTCATCGTGGTCGGGCTGGCTTACCTCTTCTATTTCGATATTTTGACCCTTAACACCCGTGGCTTCGCAGACATCACTCTTTTCAACCAGGACAACTGGACCCTGTTCATCGGAACGGCCATATTTACCTTTGAAGGTATCGGGCTGATCATTCCCGTCCAAGAGTCGATGAAGAACCCCGAGAAGTTCCCCAAGGTGATGTTTGTCGTCATGGTCATCATCACGACCATATTCACCGTCATGGGCGCGGTGTCGTACGCAGCGTATGGTTCCTCGACCAAGACCGTTGTGCTGCTGAACCTTCCTCAGGACAACAAGATGGTCAACGGTGTACAGTTCCTCTACTCGCTTGCCATTCTCCTTTCGACTCCCTTGCAGATCTTCCCAGCGATTAGGATTATGGAGAATGGCCTCTTCACAAGGAGTGGAAAGTACAACCCTTACATCAAATGGCAGAAGAACCTCTTCCGTTTCCTCACGGTTGTCGGCTGCGCTGCCATTGCTTGGGGTGGTGCAGACGAGCTTGACAAGTTTGTAGCTCTTGTGGGCAACTTTGCTTGCATCCCCTTGGTCTACATTTACCCAGTGAGTCATCCTCCGTTGTGCTCTTCTATCATGCGACTCAAACTGACTGTTCCCTTAGCCGATGCTACACTACAAGGCGATCGCAAGGAGCCGTCTGTGGAAGATCTCAGACATCGCTCTTTGCTGCTTCGGCCTCGTCGCCATGGCTTATACGACCAGCTTGACTGTGATGAGCTGGGCCGCCTCCGACCAACCCAGTTCTCCCGGCTACTGCGACGGACAAAAGTCCTCGGTTTTCTAAACGTGGAGAAGGAGACCCCAACATCTATATCATTGTATACATTACGAAGTCGTTTCTCATGTCCAAGATTGTTTGCTTACACATAGCCATTGTTTTCCGGAGTGGTTGCATAGTTTCTTTGGGCTGTAAGCGATAGATAGAGTAGATTGACATACTAGCATGAGGCTTTTCTACGCCATGCACTACATCAGCATCAAGCATAGTTATTGGATTTCATCTGATGTCCCTCATGCATACTAGTGACGCAAGAGAAGGTAGTGATTCCCAGCTCTTAATTACCAGAGTTAGCTGTGCAGATTGTGGCAAATTTAGTAAATTATCAAGGCTTAGACAGTTCCTTTGTTGGCGACTCGGTGGTACCGCGAGCACTTTACAACATGTAATAGTGGATCTTTCACCATGGAGGCGCCACCCACCAACGTAGGGTAGTACCAAAGGCACCTAAAAGGCGCTGTCTATTCAGCCTCATCACAGATCTTTCATTCTACGCATCTGAGTTCATTCTTTCTGCGTCCAACATCCCACACATCTATCAACAGCCTCGCCTTGGGAACCACGCAGCCTTGGACTCTATCGCAACAACGCTGCTTGCTGTTTGCTATAGCTGGAGAGCCCTCTTTATCGGCTATCTACTTCTTTTCAACGGGTTGCTGCAGCCTTTTTCGCCTCGTCTTCTCTTTGTTTCTTTGTCGGCAAGATGAACGCGCCCGATCGGTAAGTTGCCATCTCTTACCCTCGTGTTCTTGTTGACGTTACTCGGCTTGTGCATGAGGACATGCATCCTTCTGCCTGCCCCCTGGGATTGTCCGGGCTGGCTTTGGAGAGGCGGTGGATGGTGTTGCCGGATGGCAAAGTTGCTGGATGGCAGATGGGCCATGAAGCGGGCGGCTGCTCGAGAGGCAGGAGGTGTCTGTGACGGACGCTCTTGCATTGCTCAGAAATGAGTTTGTTTGGCATTGCCAGACAGTGTGCATCTGAGTCCAGAAACAGTCAAATGCAATTTCACAGATTGATTGCATTGGGCTTGTTTGTCACCGGCCAGGCCACTCATTCCAACTTTGCCTTGGACCTTTCTTCAAGAGAGCCTCAAGGAGTTCTTTAAGCATCATCACCTCCTCATCTTCCCCTCACTTCAAAGCCCATCACCTGTGGCAAGAAGCTGTTTCCGCAGCTCTCCTAACCACCACATACCCTACAACCCTCCCTACAACCCTCCCAACACAGCATCGTCGTACCGCCCAGCTCAAGATGTCGGTCAACTTCCGCCACAACAACCTCCAAGAGTCTCGGGCCCCCCTACGTGCTTTAAAATATTGCTGTTGGCAGATTATGCTGACTATCTGATCACAGTTTCGAGCTCTTCCTCCTCGGGGAGGGCGAGAAGAAGATCACGGAGACGCCGTTTACGGGTAAGTCACCAGGGCAGGCCTTCTACATCTCTCGTAGTACATTATCTTACCAAGACCATCGTATAGCTATGTCCAACACCTCCGATTTTCTCTTCAAGAAGGAGGATCACACCCTGGGCAACCTCATCACCGAGTACCTCAAGCAGTCCCGCCACATTCTGATGGCCGGTTATAAAGGTAACATGGCTCTGCTGCCCGCCGGCTTGCTGTTCTTCACTAATATGGATTAAATAAAGTCGCTCACCCTAATGTGCCTGAGGTCTTCATCCGGATCCAGACTGACGGCACGATTACCCCTAAGGAGGCACTTGTCGATGCGTGTAAGGATCTGATCTCTTCATTTGGCCACCTCGGACGCGAGTTCACTCGCGAGCACGAGCTGCGCCGCATGGTTGCGGCCGGAGAGCAGCAGCAAGGTGCCAACGGCGGCATCTAATATGTCTTCTTTTTCTGCCACGAACCGTGCTTTATCTTGTTGCATTCAAGAAAGGGGAAAACATAAAAGTAGTCTCTTTCCATTTGCGCATGGATAAAAGCTGGATCCGTCAAGGTATCACGAGGCGTTCTGGAAGGGTCGGCGTATACTGGTTCATTTGCATTGGTGGTCGATTCGACCTCTGGGCACGGCATTTGCTCTATGCAGAGTATTTTGATTCTTTTCAATTGAGGGGCCGATAAGGCTTACATGCCATCATCAACAAAGTCTAGTCCTTGCATGCGAGATGTGGTACTGAATCTCAGAATCATTCTAGACTAGTCTCGCAGGATTCAAAGCGTGACTCTGGCGCTTCTCACGAGCGATATTCAACGAGTACGGCTTGTCCAGGCTTGCACCTCACCGTCGCCGCCTCCGCGGTACCTGCTGTCAAAAATAGTACTTGCTCTGCACCTAGACTGGCTTGCAGATAAGCCTGCTTGAACGGCCACTCCCTCGCGTTCCCTATCTTTTCCCTTCAGTATCATGACTGAACCGGCCCTTCGCCGCCAGGAATGAGCTAGTGATGCGTCAGTGATGCGCTACAGGAAAGGGAAATTTGGGATAATGACGAACCATGCAAACGTTGTTGCCGTTGAGCAAGATCTTGGCGAGTTTTGTGTGGTTGCCAGAGTAGTCACTGGGCAATCCGAGTCAGCTACTGGAGCCGGCAAAATCCGTACCAGTCAAGACTTACAACTCTGTAACATCCTCGAGAATCATGTCTGCAGTGTTTGTCAGCATCCCTCTGCCTTGCGAATAGGTGATGGGGACGGTAGTACTCACTGACGTAGTCATCGAACCCGACGAGGGTGCCACTAAACTCTGGTGAAGAGGAAGAAATTCGGCGTCAGCTGGGCTGTTTCATGATCATACCCTCAATGAATAGATACAGTACCTTTGTCTCCCTTCATGATGACCCATATCCTCGATCCGACGCACTTGTCGATGAGTTCTACAGTGGCTTGTTAGTCATGGATATCGTCGTGTTTGTGTCTAGGCGGCGGGGCATGCTCACCCAATGGAAGAAGTTGTGAAGAGGCCATGGCGGTTCGTCAGTGGGGTTTACTGCTGGTAACGTAGCTGCTGTGTCCCTGAAGTGAACAGGTAATGAGGTCCAAAGCTCGGAATGGGCACAGGCGACACTGTTTTCAAGATATATGGATGATCGATCCAGCGAGTCTCATTCTGCTCTCAAAGCTTCCCTGGCTCTTGAGGTGTGTGGGGCCCTGTGGCTAGGTGAGCGCAGTGGAAGCGATTGCCGCTTATCGCCATGTGACTGCGCGTTCGTGGCACATCGATAATCGCATATCGTGACATCGATACCTCCCACGCCGCTCTTACTACCCAGCCCCACCCTGCCATCACTCGATATTTCCCAGGTCCGCTCGAGTCGAGCATCCTTGTCGCGTCTGCCTGGGCCTGTCACCGCGACCGCCGCCTCCAACTTGCTGCCGCCTCGCATTATGACAGCTGGGCGGCATGGCTGCGAGTTCTGGACTACCGCAAGGCAAATGAAGCCTTATTTAAAGCCGCGCCAGCATTGTATACCGCCCCGCCGATTGTAAGAGGTCCTCCGTATTACAAGATGCTCAGTTTCATTGTTCTATAACCAGAACCTCTGACCATTTACGTCCATGCTAGGCACATACGCTCGCCACATAGAATGGACCACGGAAAAGGCAGCCTGGTTTCTAAATGGAAGCTGTGGCATTTCCAACATGGCATCTCTTTTACGTCTCCCGCCGCTGGCCGGCAGCCCCTTTACCCAGAATTGGACGTAGCTCGGTTCTTGCACAGCACAGCCGCGGGCCCGGCCGAGTCGCAACCGGCTGACGCAGCAGTCACAGCTGTGGTGAGCAGCGCTAAGATCGTTGCCGTGGCGGCGGCTCCTCCACCCTCCGCAGGAGGCGACGGCGAGCCGGCGTCGGACGGGAAGGCGCAAACCGAGGCGAGCGCCAAGGAAGAGCCCGAGGAGGACGAGGACAATGACCCTGGCGACCCTCCCGTCACCGACCTTGACTACAACATACCCGAGGATATCTTCCGCGCCGCGAGGCTGGCGGAACCCGGGTCGCCCAACTCCTTCTGGTCGTACACGCTCTACAGGGGGCCGGAAGAGGAGGACGGGGCTGTCGGCTCAAAAGTCAAGGTTCACTACTGCAAGAGCATCGCGACGACAGAGCGGGTGTGCCAATATTTTCTCAAGGAGAAAGTCATTGGCTTCGATCTAGAGTGGCTTCCCTCGGCCTCGAAGTCCTCTGGCGAACGAAAGAACTGCTCCCTCGTGCAGCTGGCGAGCGCAAGTCGCATTGCCTTGTTCCACGTCTCATTGTACCCGCAGAAGACCACCGACCTGGTGGCTCCTTCCTTCAGGAAGATCATGGAAGACCCCGATATCCTCAAGGTGGGCGTTGCCATCAGGAGCGACTGCACCCGTTTGAGGACGTATCTTGGGGTCCAGACGATGGGCCAGTTCGAGCTGAGCCACCTCTACAAGCAGGTCAAGTACCACAAGACTGGCGAGGTCCAGCTTATCAACAAGAGGCTTGTTGCGCTGGCGAGGCAGGTGCAGGACCTTCTTCGGCTGCCCATGTTCAAAGGTCAAGATGTCCGGGCGAGCGACTGGTCTCGAGCTCTCAACCTCGACCAGATCATCTACGCGGCCTCGGATGCCTATGCGGCCGTCCAGCTCTACGCGATTCTGGAGAAGCAGCGCGAGGAGCTGGATCCGGTGCCTCCGCGCCCGTATCCCGCCGAACTGGGCCTCCCCATACGGTTCGCAGAGGGCGTCACTTTGCCAGCAGCCGACGAAGCTGCTGAAGAGGTCGAGGAGGAGGTGGATGACGACAAGACCGCAGCAACTCTGTCGCCTGACTTTGTCGCATCGGCAACAGACAGCATAGAGATCGAGGTAGAAGCAGACGAAGCACCCGCGACGCCAAAACCCGCGGCCCCAAAGAAACCGTCTACACCAGCCTCGAAGAAGCCAAAGGACGAGAGGTATCTGGCTGCCGAGGCCTGGCTCACTCAATATCGGTCGTCGCACCCAAAGATCCGCGCAGCCCCGTCCGCGCTCCGGACCTATCACATCTGGCACAGCAACGCTGATCTCGACCCCGTTGCTATCGCAAAGCTGTTGCGCGAGCCGCCGCTCCAGACGAATACCGTCGTCAGCTACATCCTGGAGACCATCAAGATGGAAAAGCTGCCTTACAACAGGGACCGCCTGTGTAACGAGGTTCTGGCGCTTCTACCAGCGCAGATCCTCGACATGAGATACAAGATGCTCGCAAAAGCGTGCGGCTACCGTGCTGCTACGGCAGTTGCACCGAATACTACAGCATGATGATGAAGGATGCTGAACTCGTTGACCGCTCGTCTCTTAATGACTATCACGATAATAATGCATTGAACTGTCCCTGTGTGGACGCAGTGATTTGGGTATCAGAATTTCTATTCTATTTGAAAAGACGGAACGCTTTTTTGATCAAGATAAAACACCTCAGGATGACGCAATGATATCACGACCCCTGTTAATTTGCACCCTCTTGTCCTCACCACCGCTCACGATACCCCAGGACTTATCCCAAGCAACACCAAATACCTTGCAGCCTTCTCCAGCCAGGGCTCTCTTCTTGCCTTCCCTGCTCTCCCTGTCGATAACATAGACAGCCTCGCTCACGCTGCCCGCGCCTTCGTCCTTGCTCGTGGGCCGGACGCTGCGGAGATCCCAGATCCGCACGGTGCCGTCGTGAGAGCCCGAAACCAGCGCGTAGTTGCTGTCGGGCGACGCAGCCAGGCTCACGACCTTGTTCAGGTGTCCTCTCAGCGTCATGACCGACGTAGTAGTGGCGGAGGCACGCGGATCGACCAGAGTGACGTTGCGCGCTGATGTGCCTGCTGCCAGGAGCGGCGTGGAGATACCTGGGAGGGCGCATAGAGAGAGGAGAGGGTTGGATAGTGTGAGAGTGCTGACCACGGCGCCGGTCGTCAGATCGAGGGTGCGGAGGGTGTGGTCATGCGAGACTGAGTAGCCAACGGTCCTGTCTCGCGGGTCGAAGATGGCAGCGTTGGCGGGGGCGTTGTGGACGGGCATCAGGGACAGTGCGCCCTTCTGGGGCACGCTGACGGACGAGGTCAACTTTCTGCGCTTTGTCGCGTGGGTCGCGGGGAGCAGCTCTGCTGGAGCGTCGGGTGCCGAGGCCTTTGATGTTGACCAGAGACCAATTGATCCGTCCGCAGACGCAGTCAGGACGCGCTTCGCCTTGCCATCCACGTCGAGCGACTCGATGCTGCCCTTGTGACCGTAGAGCTCCAGCGTCGGCTTCAGGGCGCCGCTGAAGTGGTCGTCGCTCTCGCTGTACTTCCAGACCCGGACCGTCCTGTCCATGCCCGCGGAGGCGATCTGCGAGGCCGAGAGGAACTTGGCCGCCTTGATGCCTGCCGTGTGGCCGCCGAGGCTGCCCGCCGGGGACGTGGCGATGGCCTGGCCGGACCCGTTCCACACCCTCAAGAGGCCGTCGTAGGAGGCCGAGAGGATGCGGTCCTGGCCCTGGGCGAAGCCGTCGCCCGACCACCGCCCCGCCGCAGAAGTCGCCGAGAGCACGTCCACGGCGCTGACCCAGTCGTCGTGCTCGAAGCTCGCCTCGTAGACGGGCGGTATCAGGCTCCGGACGTACTGCAGCGTGACCTGGGACTCGAAGGAGAGGCCGTTCTCCTTGAGGTAGTCCTCGAGGGTGGTCCGGAGGAAGGTGCCGTTGACGAGGAAGTCGAAGGGGATGGCGGTCGGGGTGTCGAGCATGGACTCGGAGTTGAGGATGCGCGAGAGGCCATATCTTCGGATGTCTTGGGGGTTGCAATAGTTAGGAAACGCTGTTTGTCGTGCATGAGATAGAATAGGCATTTGGGATGGGAGAACTCACCTGCAGGGACGAGAAGCTGCCTCTTGGACTCGGGGAGTTGGATGTCTTCGTCGGTAGTGGTAAAGACAACCTTGACCTGGGCCGCCTCGGGCTCCAGGGCGGCTTGGATCTCTGTTGCTGTGGCCATTTTCTTTTTTTTTTTGCGCTGGCAACAGACCAATTGATTGTGCTGGTTGCGAAGCTGGTCGGATTGCAGAGATCGACCAAAAAGTTGTAGCATAGCTCGAAACTTTTTTTTAGAGCCAGCCAGTGCAAGGGTCCAGCCTTGTACAGCCTTACCCCGCATTCGTGGCGCTAGCGAATCACAAACCAGCTGATAGGGGGCTTATCGAATTGCAGCCACAGCTTTTCAATTAACGCGCCAAATCGCGTGCACTGTACTTTATCGCGTCGTCACCAAAGATTCACGGTGCCAAGTCGATGCTCACCAGTACAACAACTCACATTTCGCTGTGAAAAGGCGTTCGAGATGGTCTCATTGTCCGATGTGGCGGGCAGTCTGCTGCAAGGTCCTTCGTAAGTGATTTGGTATTTTACTTGGTCTCTTTTCGCGTGAAAGAACCCTTTTACTCACCTCTCACAGGGGTGATGCGGCTGCCCATGTCACCGAGCGGGAGCAGTCAAGCTACAAGCCTCTGACTACGTTCAAGCTGGAGAAGGACAGGCAGTACCAGCAGCAGTACGGAGACATGTACTTTCTCCGGCTCACCAAAATCAAGCCTGCTGTCGAGGAAGTAGCTGCGGCGGCCTTTGACGATGTAGTCATCGCCAAACACCAGGCGACGAAGGTGGAGAGGGTGCTCGATGTGAGGCAGGGTGAGCTGTGCTGGGTGGCGGGTACGGTATATATGGATATGCCGCTGAAGCCGAGCATCTTGGATGATGTCTCCAAGGACGTAAGTGGATAGATCTGATGATCTGATGCAACCCCTGATGACTTTGCGCAATGAGACTGACAGGTGGACTCAGCGATGGATCTCTGCTCCAAACTTTGTCCAAAAGTACTGGTCTGAGGACGACTGCGATGCCATCATGTTGGAGGACGAATCAGGTCGGATCAGGCTCGTTGGTGACGTGCTCAAATCCGTGCTTCTGGTGACCGGCTGCATTATCGCTGTGGTAGGCACGGAGAACGCGCAAGGAGATTTTGAGGTCATCGACATCAAGTTCCCGGATCTGCCACCACAGCCAGAACGTTGGCAGTTGACCAAGAAATCCGCCACCAATGGCACGAAAGCAGTCAAGAAGGAAAAGGCGAAGAGCGAAGACGTGGAGATGACGGACCGCGACCCGCAACGGAGCTCTGGCACCAAAATCGCCATTGTGTCTGGTCTCAACTTCTCGGGCTCCGACACATCATATGCAATGGAGCTGAATCTGCTCCTGGAGTATCTACTTGGCGAGGCGCTCGATCCCGCCACGCAGAAGGAGCTGGCGCAAATCAACCGTTTGATCATTGCCGGAAACTCAATATCAGCCGACCGGGCACCTCGCGACGACGAGGAGGCCCATGCGGAAAAGAAGCAGCACAAAAAGTATGGCTACGACGCCAGCACGTACAACGCCATTCCCTCGCAGCTGTTCGACGAGTTCCTGTCGGAGATTCTCCCCACGATCCCCGTGACGCTTCTACCGGGAGCCACGGACCCTGCAAATGCCAGCTTTCCGCAGCAACCTATCCATACGGCCATGTTCCCCAAGGCTAGGTCGTTCGCAGCGGTGCCAGGCGCCAAGGAGCCGGGATGGTTTGACGCGGTCACGAATCCCTGGGACGGAGAGGTGGAAGGCTGGAGGGTATTGGGCACAAGCGGCCAAAATCTGGATGACCTGTTCAAGTATGTGGACAGCGACGACCGTCTGGGCATGATGGAGGCGATGTGCAGGTGGCGCTGTTGCGCGCCGACGGCGCCGGATACATTGTGTAAGTGCGCGCCCTGTGAACGCAAAGGAAAGCATATCGATTCTAACTCTTGCGCAGGGAGTTATCCATTCCAAGACGATGATCCGTTCGTTCTGACTTCCTGCCCGCATCTGTACTTTGTCGGGGGCCAGCCAGAGTTTGCTACGAAGATCATCTCGGGCCCCGAAGGTCAAAACGTGCGACTAGTCGCCGTACCATCGTTCTCGGAGAAGAGGGAGCTGGTGCTGATAGACACGGAGACCCTGGATGTCACGCGGCTCAAGATCGCGATTGACTGAGCGCAGAAAGATGTATGAAGAGCAGCTCAGCAAAGGACTCATGAACCTGGAAAACGGGACTTATACGGGCGGCGATACAGGAATGGCATAGCGATGTAAAAGGTCTGGCTCACGATACCACGGCTAATGTGAAAGAAAATCAACTTGTACTAGAACATGAAGAATAGCGAAATGATTTGAGCTAGGGCTGATATTGCTCTGAAGAGGTTACTTGTCACATCAACGATGTCGTGGTACTGTACTCTCAGACATGATGTTGCATTGTGTTGCATTGGTTTGATGGGGTTGTACACTGGACCCCAGCACATGTCTTGGCACTCGTTGAACGTGCATGTTGTCACAACTTCCCGCGCTCCCACGCCAACTGAAACTCACCTCTCTCCAAACTTCAATCATTCAATTGGCTTGACCCAAGAGATCACATCGCATTTTAGCAATCATGGCTTGCGGATCTGGCTGTTGCGGCCCGCCCGCGGCGCCTGCTGCTGCCGTCCCGGAGCCGAGCGTGCCTCCACCGGCCGCTGCGACTTCGGACGCTGGAGACGGTGACCGTGGCAGCTGCTGCGGACCGCCGCCGACCGCCTCCGAGAAGAAGGCGGCTGTCAGCGCCACGGATGAGCCTCAGGACGATGCGGTCGACGCTTGCTGCGGTGATGGCGAGCGCGGTGATTGCTGCAAGCCTGGCACTTCCCAGTCCACCGACGACGGGTGCTGCACCACCAACAAGAGCCAGGCCGGTGCCGGTGCCGTCTCCCAAGTCACTGCACCGTGCAAGGATGGGTGCTGCACGCCGCCACCTACCGAAGCGAAGATTGCCAGGTGTGAGAAGAAGTGCTGTGACGAAGAAAGCGGCGAGGGTTGTCGCGCCGATGCGGTGGCTCCTCCGCCCACCAGCGGCTGCGGCATCTCGGCCGGCTGTTGTGAGCAGGGGAAGCCGGCTGCTGTGGACCCTAAGAAGGGATGCCAAGACCAGTGCTGCTCGTCTCAGGATGACGCAAAGTCGGAGAACCTGAGTTGCAAGGACGAGTGCTGTGGCTCGTCCGAGGAGAAAGCTCTGGAGGCTGATCCCCGGCCTAGCTGCTGCAAGGGAAAGACGACCCCGTGCTGCGATACCACTTGTCTGGACCGTATTGCTCTGCGAGAATGCAGTAAGTCTGCCCCTTTTGTATCTTTCTTTTTGTTACTGTCAAGTATTTCATTTCTCGCAGTCTGTTCGCTTTTGCTAATGTTATCTGTTCTACGAAACAGGCGACGGCGATAGCTCATGCACTGGTAGCAAGGGCGGCAAGCCCTGCGCTGATCACTCTCGCAAGACACGCCAGACCTATGCATCCAAGCTCGAGGCTCTGGGGTGCATCTGCCGTGCGCTTATAGCGCTGGGGCAAGAGTCTTGCTGTCTGCCCCAGGAACGGCCGGTTCGTAATAGCCGTCCTCGCTCCTCTCGGAGCTCGCGCAGCTCAGTACAGAAGGCTACATGCGCCGCCACTGGCTGCGCTGACTCTGAGTGCGGCAAAGCTCGGCCGCGAGCGCGCCGCTCTGTAGACAAGAAGACAGATGATCGTGCCTGTACCGATTCTTGCTGCGATGTGCCTCAACAGGAGCCTCCCGGGGTTGTCGCAGACTCATCTACAAAGACGACAAGTACCCAGATTAGAGATCTGGAGAAAGGGGGAGCGAGCGCTGGCAAGGACCATGTTATTCTCAGCATCTCGGGAATGACATGCACAGGGTGCGAGACCAAGCTCAAGAGAACACTCGGCATGCTTCCCGCTGTTCAGCAGGTCAAGGTCAGCCTGGTCCTTTCCCGGGCCGAGTTCGACCTCACGGGAGAGATGCCTGCTGCCGACGTCGTGAAGCATCTCGAAAGGACCACGGAGTTCAAATTCGAGAGGATCACCAATAAGGGCTCCAGCATCGAGATCATAGCCCCATGGGCCGATGCTGCTGGCTTTGTGCAGCTACCGTGGCCGCTGGGCGTTACGGATATGAGACTTGTCGACGGCGAGACGGTCAACATCTCGTTCGATTCGAAAGTCGTCGGCGCGAGGGATCTCCTCGAAGGTGGTTGGGAAGGTGGCCCGGCCAATCTCGCACCGCCTCGCCCTGACCCGACTCTTCAAGCCGGCAGCAAGCACGTCCGTAACCTTGGGTACATGACGCTTGTCTCGGCGATCCTCACGATCCCAGTCCTGGTCATGGCGTGGGCTCCCCTTCCTGAGCACGAGATTGCGTACGGGTCAGCCTCTCTGGCCTTAGCCACCATTGTGCAGTTCGCGATCGGTGGACCTTTCTATCCCAAAGCACTCAAGGGACTCATCTTCTCGCGCGTGGTTGAGATGGACTTGCTCATTGTTCTCAGCACCAGCGCGGCATACATCTTCTCCGTCGTCTCCTTTGGTTACTTGGTCTCGGGACGCCCTCTATCTTCCGGCGAATTCTTCGAGACGAGCACTCTGCTTGTCACTCTGATCATGGTGGGGAGATGGGTCAGCGCTTTGGCTCGCCAGAAGGCGGTAGAGTCTATCTCGATCCAGTCCCTCCAGACTGGGAAGGCTGTCATTGTAACCGACACTGGCGACAAGGAGATCGATGCGCGGCTCTTGCAGTACGGAGACGTGTTCAAGGTGGCGCCCGAGGCGAGAGTCCCGACTGACGGGACTGTGCTCTCGGGGTCGTCCGAGATTGACGAGTCGATGATCACGGGCGAGTCCGTCCCCGTCGTCAAGCAACCCAAATCGCCAGTGATCGCGGGCTCGGTGAACGGCTCAGGGGCGCTCGTGGTCCGCTTGACTCGCGTCCCAGGAGACAATACGATCAGCACCATCGCGACCATGGTCGACGAGGCCAAGCTCTCCAAGCCCCAGATACAGGACATCGCCGACAGAGTTGCTTCGTACTTTGTACCGGTCGTGGTTGTCCTGGCCATCCTCACGTTTGTCATCTGGATCGCTGTCGGAGTCGCGGTGCGCAAGCAATCTGGCGCCGAAGCCACGATCCAGGCTATCACCTACGCCATCACCGTGCTGATCGTCTCCTGCCCCTGCGCTATAGGTCTTGCGGTGCCCATGGTCATTGTGATCGCAAGCGGCGTGGCTGCTGAGAGGGGCGTCGTGTTCAAGTCTGCGGAGGCGATCCAGGTGGCGCAGGACACCGCGCACGTCGTCTTCGATAAGACGGGAACGCTGACAGAGGGGAAACTTGCCATGGCTACTGAGGTGTACATCGGTGATGATATTGACAACACCAAAGCGCTGTTACTGGGACTGACCGCAGACATCAAACATCCCGTTTCGGTTGCCGTGGCGTCCCACCTCAGGTCGCAGGGGGTTGCAGCTGCGGCTTGTTCGGGACAAAAGACTCTTGTCGGCAAAGGTGTCCAGGGCAAGTCGCCAAGCGGATCTCTGCTTCAAGCTGGGAACTGTCGTTGGTTGTCCATGGAGTCCAACGCGGCCGTTCAGTCGGTGCTCTCAAACGGCCGCACAGCTTTCTGCTTCGCCATTGACGGTGCGCCGGCGGCGATTTTAGGCCTGGAGGACTCTATCAGACCCGATGCTGCCTCTACAGTCGACTTCTTATCTTCCTCCGGCATCTCAGTCCATATCATCTCTGGCGACGATCACGGGGCGGTCTGTTCGGTCGCCGCACAGCTTAATATACCAGAGGTCAACATCCGTTCGCGGTGCACACCGGGCGACAAAAAGGAGTATATCGAAGGCTTGCTCGCGCAGCGCCGCAACCCCAGATCAAAGGGTGGAGGCCCGCCAGTCGTCATCTTCTGCGGCGACGGCACCAACGACGCCGCGGCGCTCGCGCAGGCCACCGTCGGCATCCACATGAACGAGGGGGGCACCGACATCGCGCAGTCGGCGGCCGACGTCGTGCTCATGCGGCCCGACCTGGGCGGCGTCGCGTCGGCGATCCGCGTGAGCCGCAGGGCCATGCGCCGGGTCGCCTTCAACTTTGGCTGGAGCTTCGTCTACAACCTGTTTGCCGTGCTGCTCGGGGCGGGCGCGTTCGTCAAGGCGAGGATCCCGCCCGAGTTTGCGGGCCTGGGCGAGCTCGTGAGCGTGCTGCCCGTTATCGCGGCTGCTATCCTCTTGCGGTGGTCCAAGGTTTAAGGGGCGGGCGGTTTTGGGTTGGTTTGGGTGTTGTGAGTTCTGTTGCTACCCGGCCGGGTTCTTGTGTCGAGAGGGTGTCTCCTCAACGAGCGCCCTGCCAACAGGGTACATTTTTACGGGACTTTTGATCTCTTTCCCTTGTTACTAGGATGTTGCCTTCTGTGGGCAATCTTGTTCAACAGGCGATTCAACATACGTCTGTATCAAACTCTTTACCATTCTTTGACAAAATTCAGGACACTCACGGTGCGACCATGTATGGTTGCTTCTGAAGGAGCCTGATACTTCGAATACAACCTATCCTCAGCGGTCCCTGCGACCAGGAAGCAGGAGACATGCTCTCACTAAAATGATCTTTCAACATAGACTGCATGGCATGCTCAAGTGACTTTTCAACTGAATTTCGCTTGTTCCACGGACCTGGTACAAATATCCACAACCTGAACCTGAGCTCCGCGCGTCGAAGAACCATAATATCCTATTTGGCATGGCGAGCTCGCGCTACGGACCCCTTGCCGCAGTATCTGTTGTATTTGTGACATGAAGTTGACGAGAGACAGCATTATCGCCAAACGGAGGTCATTGCCCGTGAGTGTGATCTGATCACACGCCCCGATTGGCACATCGTTTTGTAAGTGAGCCAAGAGTCTTGGTCCTGGGGTAGGTCCCTGACGGGTGCTGGTGCCGGCGCCGGCGGCGTTCTCCGCTTGTTTTGTTAGCTTCATATCTTCTTGTCTGGAGCCTGAACGTCTGCACGCAGGGCTCGGGGTATAGGTACCGCAGGACTGGCTTGCGTTGCTGTTTTTGGGTGTAAGTGGGGAGCGTGTTGAGGAACATGATGCTGGGGGACGGCTCTCCACCACCATCTCTCAGGGAAATACACGTTTACTATCGGTCTAAAACAGGAGCCGGAGAGCGACCCGGGCCTGTCTTCCTCTAGACACCTTCTTGTCTGGAAATCGCCCGCTTCTAGAACCCATCTTTGTCCAGGGGTCACAAGGTGTGATCGTGTCACAAGGGTCGTTGGACGACGAGTAGTCGGGAGCCATTACGCGCGGCCCAATCTCGTCGAGGTCCCGGCCCATGCCTCGTCGGCGGGCGACAACGGCGAGCGAGAAGTGGTCGGCCAGCTATGCTCGAGAACGGAAGGTCATGGAGGCTGCGAGGAGTGGGAATTTCTATAGGGTAAACGCGAGCTATCTATAGGGTAAGTATAGGGTAATTATGGGGAAGTTATAGGGTAATTGAATACATCAGCAGTGACAGGAATTGTGGTGATAGTTTGACGCCGGCCGTCATCATCTTCTCTTAGTCTAGAGCCCCACACCATCTGTCAAAGGAAGGGCGGGAATCCGATTTTTCAGTCTATCAAAAGGCCCTGTGAGACCCGGGATTGTCGGCGGGCCCTGCGAAACCGCCCTCCGCTCGCCGTGGTCTCTTATCGGCCAACTAAGACGACTCTGGAATCATCTTCTACACACCTCCGCAGAGGACCTCGAGACATTGAAATACCCCGGATGCCCACTGGCTGAGCTTCTGGACACATTCTCTTGGCTCTCACTCGCTACTCTGTCCTTTGGCCCTCTTATCAGTTGCCTTGCCGCGCTTGTCCTCACTTCACAGCCTATTATTCATTCTCAGCCATCTCGTCAAGCCCTCCTTTTTGATACCCCCCGAGCTTCTCAGCTCATCGACCACCATGGGCTCGCTCAAGGAAGACTACCCCTGCCCTTGGATCTCGACACCATGCATCTACTCGACGCCCATGTCTAAAGCAGCTGGCTGGTTCGTCTCCAAATACCTTTTCCGTTTCCCTACCTTTCGGAACCACTAACACACAACCCCTCTACTCTCCAGCAACATCTTCCTCAAGCTAGAAAACCTCCAGCCCTCGGGCTCCTTCAAGTCCCGCGGCATAGGCAACCTCGTCTCCCGCGCCGCCGCGGCGGCCCCGGCCTCGACGCAGGTTCACTTCTTCTGCTCGTCCGGCGGCAACGCCGGGCTGGCCTGCGTCACGGCCGCCAACGCCGTGGGGCGCCCGGCCACCGTCGTCGTGCCGACCACGACGCCGCCGCTCATGGCCCAGCGCCTGCGCGACCTGGGCGCCGAGGTCGTCGTCACGGGCGACAACTGGGCCCAGGCCGACGCGCACCTGCGCGGCGCGCTGCTCGCGGCCGTGCCCGCCGGCTGCACGGCCGTCTACGTCCCGCCCTTTGACCACCCGGACATCTGGGACGGCGCGTCGTCGCTGGCCGACGAGCTGGCGGAGCAGATGCGCGGCGTGCCGGGCGCGCTGGACGCCGTGGTGTGCAGCGTCGGCGGCGGCGGGCTGCTGGCGGGCCTGGCGCAGGGCATCGAGCGCGTGTACGGCGGGACCATGGCCGAGCTCGCCGCGCGCGGGTCCGGGCCCGGGTCCGGGCCGCGGGTCCTGGCCATGGAGACCCGCGGCGCCGACAGCCTCAACGCGAGCGTGCGGGCGGGCGAGCTCGTGACGCTGCCGGGCATCACGTCGGTCGCGACGTCGCTGGGCGCGACGCGGGTGGCCGAGCGGGCGTACGCGTACGCGCGCGACGGCGGCGGGCAGGTCGTCAGCGCGGTGCTGAGCGACGCCGACGCCGTGGCCGGCCTGTCGCGGTTCCTCGACGACGCGCGGATCCTGGTCGAGCCCGCGTGCGGCGCCACGGTGGCGACGGCGTACAACGGGGACCTGCGGCGGTACCTGGGCAAGGGGCTGACGGACGGGGAGTGGGCGCGCAAGAACGTCGTCCTGGTCGTCTGCGGGGGGTCGAATATCAACCAGGAGCTGCTGGTCAAGTACCAGGAGAGGTTTGGCGTTTCGGTTTGATTTTTCTTTTGGTTTTTAATGACAAGAATTGACTTCCGGTCCAGGATAGGGGATAATAATGAGCAATCTGGTAGATGGATGGGCGAGGATGGGTGAAAGATCATGGGACAACTGACTTGCAAGCGGAGGCTCTTAATGAAAGATGTTACTGGGCTTGTAGATGAACTCATAGAATCATACATCTCATGTCTGCATTTCCAGACGCACATTACCATACATCCTCTCTTCATATACCAAATCAGTTCGCCGCCCTCTCGTATGGCAGTTCCCCATATCCTTCCGGGAGTCTGGTCAAGAGCGGATGGTAGTCCTCGAGGACCATCTTGATCTCGCCAAAGTAGTTCACCTCGCCCTGCTGCTCGAAGCCCAGGCGCTTGAACAGCGCAATGCTCGACTCATTCTTGGCCTTGATCTTGACCATGAACAGCTTGAGCGCGTGCACCTCGTCCTTCTTGGCGCCGTCCTGGCTGGCTGCGTACTCGCGCAGAATCCCCTTGAGGTTCCTGTAGATGTAGTGCAGGAACGTCATGACCGCGGCCGTCCCCAGGCCTTGGCCCCTGTGGCTGTGGTCCGCGATCATAATGTCAACCTCACCGACGTAGTAGCTCGGCTCTTGGGCGGATGCGCCACCTCCTTGCTCGCTCTCTCCCCCTTCCTCATCGTCCCAGGGGTAGAGGAAGAAGTTGATGTCGCCGACCATGCGGTCTGGAGCATCGTCGACATCTGCCTTGACTACATGGACCACTTTAGAGCTGTCCAGCGGCTGGCAGAGAATGAAGGTGAGTTTGTCATGCGAGGCCCGCCATGACTCCTGGTTCTCGTACTCTTCCTCGAGAGTGAGCCGATCGGAAGCTGTCGCTTCCTGGATTGCCTGTACCCCGGGATTTCATTAGAGACGCACACGCGGGTTTTCTTTTGAAATAAATTGCTTACGGGGTCCTCCATCCATTGGTGATACTTCACGACATGGCGGCGGTCATAAGGCACGAGGAGCACCTTTGAGGACCGAACAGCTGGTTTTCAGGCTGTCAGTCGACATTTTCTTTGCGAGCAGATTTCCTGCCGCCAAGCGATTCAACAGGGCGCTTCTGAAGCCCGAAGCTGTATTGACGTACCTGTATTCTCATTGATCTTCATTTTCCGCGCATGCCGTTGCTTGTCACCTTGGTCATGGCGGAAGGGAGAACTGCTTGAGATGAATTAGTCAAAATGATTACAAACTCCCCATTTGACACTTTCACTGGGCGGCGGGTACCTGCAGGTGACATTGCAACACCTAAATGCTGCTACAGTTAGCGCCCGTGCCAACGCACTTAGTCAGGTATTCAACGTATTCAACCGGTTCTATGTGATGATTCTGATAATACAAATACAACACCCCTCGGGGTTTCTCTCTCATTTTGGTGTACATCTAATCTCATACAAGCCTCCTATAGTACATGCATTAGTCTAGTTCACAACCCCCGCTTCACGTCTCAACGGGAAGCGGCGGGAACAGCCCATCCAGCGCACCCTTTCCGGGACTCCTCAGCGGCTTGCCGTACTCGTAGTCGGCGCCCGGCCTCGCGTGAGCAAACGTCCGGTTCTGGGCCGGGACGCCGAGCACATCGAGCAGCTCGGCCGCCTTCTCGGGCATGAAGGGCTGCAGGAGGATGCCGACGATCCTCAGCGACTCGGCCGCCGTGTACACCACCAGCTGCATCTCTGCTCGCTTCTCGTCGCCCGGCAGTTTCGCCAGGTCCCAGGGCGCCGCCGCCTGGATGAACTTGTTCGTCTCAAAGACGGCATCCATGATGGCCCGCAGCGCCGCGCCCGGATCCAGCCCATCCATGCGATCGGACGCTTTCTCCGCCACCTGCGCCAGCACCTCGTTCTGGGGGCCGAGAAGGCCTTTGCTGTCCGAAACTCGCACGAGCGCGCCATTGCTTGCAGCCTCGACTGCCTCCCTCACATTCCACAGCTTTGGCCTCGTGATTCTCCCCAATAGATTCCCAAGGCCCCACTGCAGACCCTTCTTGTATCGCTCCACGATGTACGTGTTCTCGTAGTCAGAGTCCTGCGCGATGCCTCCGTCGTGTATCAGGAAGTATCGCATGGGGTCGACACCCCACCTGTCGATAGCGAAGAAGGGGTTCACGACGTTCCCAATCGACTTGGACATCTTTTTCCTCCCCAATGTCCAGTGAGCATGGCTGAGCACACGCTTGGGTAGGGGCAGGTCCAAGGCCAAGAGCAGCGCTGGCCAGTACACACAGTGGAATCTCAGGATGTCCTTGCCGATGACATGCACATCCGCCGGCCAGCCGCCCTCGTGCTCTCGCCCTGGCGTCCACCCTGGAAAGCCGGCCTTGGTCAGGTAGTTGATCAGAGCGTCGACCCAGACGTAGATGGTCTGCTCCGGGTCGTCAGGCACGCGGATTCCCCAGTCCAGCCTACTGACCGGCCGCGATATGGAGAGGTCCTCGAGGTTGTTGGAGACCCAGTGCACCACCTCGCTCATCCTCGTCGCCGGCACCACCCAGTCCGGATTTTCCCTGTAGAACTCGAGCAGCCGGTCCTTCAGAGCCGTCATCCTGAAGTGGTAGTTCTTCTCCTCGGTCCACTCGACCGCGTTGCCGGACTCGACCGACGCCATGTGCACCTTGCCCGTCATGGGCGCGACCCGCCTCTCGATCATCGTCTCCGGGTAGAACGTCTCGTCGCTGACACAGTACCACCCCTCGTGCTTCGATTCGTAGATGTAGCCCCTCTCGCGCAGCAGGAACCAAAAGTGCCGCACCGCATCGGCGTGGTCCGCGTCCGTCGTGCGTATGAAGAAGTCGTTGTCGATGTTGGACCTCTGCGCCAGGTCGCGGAAGGTGGCGGCATTGGCGTCGCAGAACTGCTTGGGCGGTATGTCTTCGAGGGCCGCGGCGCGCTGGACCTTCATGCCGTGCTCGTCGGTCCCCGTGCACATGAGCGCCTTGTTGCCCTTGAGGGTCTGCCAGCGCTTCAGGACGTCGGTCAGGACCATGGAGTACATGTGTCCGATATGGGGCGCTTCACCTTGTCAGCAACAAGAGGGGAGCAAGTGAAATTCGTTTCCTCTTCCAACATACCAGCATTGACATAGAAGATTGGCGTGGTGACATAGTATGGCTTCGATGACGGGTTTGAGTCGCTCTTGAATCTGCGCGAAAAGCTGTTGCCGTGATAGCAGGACGGGCATACCCAACGCGACCGTCGAATGGCGGTTCCCCGTAGGCCCGAAAGCCTACGAGAAGCTATCAGAAGCTCCATTGGCTCTGTATGCTGTGCTTGCGACAGCCGCGGACGATGTAGACTCCAGGTGGTCTCAGGAAATCTGGTGATCGCCAGTCCAAATTATGTTGATAAAGCTGAGTGCGGATTGGCGTTATCGATAACTGTGTGGCCCTTGTCAAAGAGGCTCCGTTGCTCAATCGTACGCTAAAATGGCGGTCTCCTAGTGGCGATTACAGACTGTATTAGGTGATCAAGGCATCCATCTGGGCCGCCTACACTGTGCGGTTCAAGTCCCTAGAATCTCAAGCTCGTCTTATTCACCATAACTTGCCTCAAATAACTTTCCCACCGTTCACATATATCTGATCTTGGAGCTCCTGAACTCAAAAATCTCGCACCCTCATTCGTTTTCTTTCCTTTGTGAGACAGAGAACCATCATTTGCACTCATTAATAGCATTACTTCTGTCTCTGTCAAGACCGGCATCTCGCTCTGGACCTCAGTCATCATCAAAATAAGAAAGCAGGATTGTCATCGACAGCCTCCCTCGGCAGCACCACATACCTCACAGTCACAACTCACAACTCCCAAGATGGCGGGCCCAGTCTCAGAAGAAGCACAGGTGAAAATCACCAGCGAAGGTATCTATCTATCTATCTATCTTTCCGTTCAACATTTCGTACATCTCTCTCACATAGTCATCCCTTGCTAAATCCACATACCAATAGCGGCGCAAACCTTTATAGACTGGTACTACAGCGCCCTCAACGACAAGAAGCCCCTCGCGAGCTTCTACGTCGACAGCAACACAAAGTACGCCTCGGCCGGCGTCAAGTCGGACATCTCGGCCAACGGGCTGCACCTCGCCGGCGGGCCCGCCGAGCTCGAGGCCCTGCTCAACAAGCACGCCGGCCAGGGCCAGGGAACCGCGAGCCGCAGCGAGCGCGCCCGCTACGAGGTCGAAGGGTTCGACGCGCAGGTCGTCAACCCGGACTTCCGCGTCGCCTGCCCGGCGCACCTGCTGGCGGGCGCCACCGCGGCGACCTCCTCGGAGAACAACAGCGGCGGCGGCGGAGGGGGGCCCGCGCCGCGCGGCCGGGGCGCCGCGGTGCAGGCCGCCGCCGCCGCGAGCCGCGTGTCGATCGCCGTGCAGGTCACGGGGTGGGTGCAGTACGGCGCGTCTAAGGAGTCGCCCCGGAGCACCTTCAACGAGGTGTTTGTGCTGGTGCCCAACTGGGACGCCGTCGGGCCCAAGGCGGCACGGGGCCTGAAGCACTGGTTGATTATGAGTCAAAACTTCAGGGCCCTGTGAGAAGGAAAGATGGATGAGAGAGAAGGAGAGAGAGAAGAAGAAGAGTTAGCTAGGGTTGGGCCAGTGGCCTGCCTTGCGAGATATGATACCAGATCCTGCGGAAGGAAGGACGAAGTGCTGCATCAAAAGTCTGCAGCATGCCCTTGAGCGAGTCTTTACAGGGGCGGCGTACTGAGTGAAGATAAAGCAGTGGCATGCTGCTCGGAATCGGCAGATACTTGACTACCGCGAAGACAGAGCACGGGGCGTCATTGAATATCTACCATGTAACAAAAGTTCGCTCGTGGATATCGCCAAGAATCAAATTCGAGTTGTATCCAAGTCATGGATACCGGATTGAGCAGGAAACGAATAGACACTACCACATTCAAGATGGATTCCAGTCAGAAAGCAGCACGGCTGGCATCGACGATAATAGTGGTGGAACATGAATATGACGGGGTCACATTAAAACAGCAAACAATATCACCACCCACAATGACAAGACCCAGTGCTCTTATTGACATTCTACCCTTGCCACGCAGCTGATTATTCTCTCTCTTTACCTCCCCCAACCCTACCCCTTCTCAATTTACTTGCTCGACAGCCCAGCCCTCCTATACTCCCAATACCCCGCGCGGATGCGATCCCACTTCTCCGCCAGCCTCCGCAGACACACCTCCGCCTTGTCGCTCTCCCCCTTCTCGGCGTAGATCTCCGCCAGCATGTCCAGGGCATGCGTGCTCCTGACGATCTCCTTATCCTCCCCCTCACCAATTTCTTCCACAAACTCCTCCACGAACCCTTGGACCGAGGACGCCGCCCGCCCGCCCTTGGCCAGCACGCCCTTGAGGTAGTTCCAGGGGCTCTGGTTCTGCGGCGCCAGCCGGATCTTGCCCTGCGCGTACGCGACCTCGCGGTCGACGACCTCCCGCGGCACCGCCTCGTCGCGCTCCGTGGCGTGCGAGCCGGGCGTCGCGCGCGCCGGGTCCGAGAAGACGAGGAAGAAGCGGTGCGACCAGGCCGAGTTGTTGCGCACGTCGTCGTCGACGAGCTTCTCGGTGGCCGCGAGCTCGGCCGCGGACCAGTTGCCCAGCTTGCGCACGAGGTACTGCCGGTACGACCAGACGTGGTAGTTCTTGGTGTCCTCGGCCAGCATGGCGGTCAGGAACTCGGTCTCCGAGGCGGCGACCTCGGCGACGCGGCCGGGGTCGTCGCGGATCTGCGGGTAGTACTGGTCCATGAGCTGCTGGCGGTGGTGCCAGATCTGGTAGTTCTTGAGGTAGTTGAGGGCGACGCCGTTGAGCCACCTGATCTCGTCCGGGATGGACAGGTCGAGCGCCGCGATGATGAAGAAGCGGTAGAGCCAGACGGTGTAGTGCGCCGGGTTCATCGAGATGATGTGCTCGGTGAGCTTGAGGCAGCGCGGCGAGCACTCCTGCTTGACCATGACGGCCCTGAGGTATCCAATGGCTATAATATCGCAACAACACACAAGTCAGCCAAATTTCTCTAAACTCCCTGCGCCTGAATTTGCAGTCCAACAAGTCATTACCTTCAGCATAATCCTCCGGGTAGGCAATAGCAGCGAGCGCCCCCTCGGGGTCCTCCTGCGGTATGGGCACCACGTCGTCCCACGCCGGGTCCCGCGCGTACGGGTCCGACCTCTCCCCGTACAGGTCCGCCCTCAGTTCCGCCATCTCTCTCCGCCGCAGCGCCTCCTCCGCGACGTCCTCCTCGCCGACCTCGGTCGCCTTCCCCGTGTCCGGGTCGATCGCGCCCCTGCGCGCGCGGTCCCGCCTGTCCAGGAAGGCCCTGTGCGCGATCTCGAGCGCCGTCAGGTGCACCCGCCGCGCGGCCCGCTGGTCAAACTGCTCGGGCGTGTACTCGCCGACGTCGCGGCCCGGTCGGTCGCGGCCCCACTGCGTAGGGGCGCTGGCGGTGCTGGTGGTAGTAGGCAGGCCTTGCTGCTGCTGCTGCTGCTGGGGATGCGTGCGCCTCTTCAGTGTCCGGAGCGGCAGGCTGGCCTCGTTGACATGCCGCCAGAGGTCGCGCTGCGCCTTGTTCCCGAGCTTGCTGCTGCTGCGTGCCGAGGATGAGGCTGCTGCTGCTGCTGCGGCTGCGCGCACGAGGTGGGCGCTGGCCCAGGCGTTGCGGTCGGCCGGGGATAGGCCGCTGGGTCCGACCTCCTGGAGGGTCTTGTGGAAAGGGTTCGTCTGGTTAAAGCGCTGCTGGGAGCGCTCGTTGACGGTGCTGGGTAGCGGCGGTGCGGGAGCTTCTTTTGCTGGAAGGGCTAGAGGTCAGTTTTCATGTACACGCCCTCGACAGCATAGTGAATGAAATATTGGAAGACTGAGCTCCAGAAGAGCAAGAAAAGACTCTCGCCCACCTTCGGGTTCCTTTGGCCTCGAAGCTACCTTTCCTTTTGGTGGCATGGCTGCTTCGCCGAGGTCAGGCGTATGGGATGATGGTGGGGTTTTTAAATGTTGACCTCAAAGTGCCATCACAGCTCCCCCACATACCTACAAACTTCTTTATCGGCCTGGTGAGGAATGGATTCCACCCCATATAATTCCGTCCCCGGCTTTGACAACGGTCTAGTCTCATCGGACTCGAGGAACAATACCAAGGCAACAATACGATACAAAACGCCACGAGCAAACATGACCACCGCGCTCCTCTTGTTTGCGCCCTAGCATGAATCTGATTCTGCAGAGACATGATTGTCTCATTATTAACCAATTAAATAAGCTTATGGATGTTACCGCAAGGTACATAGTCTAGATGTTTGCAGGAAAAAGCTGTCCGTGTAAAACAGCTCCCCGCTTGCTCTAGGTCGAACCCTTCCGGCCGATAGTAAGCTATGATAGTACAGCCAAATGGGATGAAGCCCTGATTACGCCCACCTCGTTATTGATACCATTTGTTCTCCTGCCAAAGCCGTGATCCGTCCCATCATGTTTTGCTGAAGGCCCCTGTCCGGGTTGGCCTCCTGCCCAGCCGCCGATATCCGAAGTCTGCTCACTGGCTCTCAACCTTCCAAAACTTCCAACCTTCGCGCTCGCCTCCATCCCCCCCTTGGACGCCAACCAGCTGCTCAACGCCCTCGATGCCGGGGGCCTTCAGGAACTTCTCCACATCAATCTCCATACCGCCTTCTTCATCGTCGTCCATACCGTTCCTGAGGACTGCCGGCCAAAGAACGCCGACGCCATCGCTCCCCAGAGTGGTTTCGAACTTGGCGTACCCCTCTTCTTCCAATTGCTTCTCCAGCTTGTCCAGCTTGCTTCGCGGTACATCAGGCTTCATCAAGGTAATGGAGCAGCCGCCACCGCCGGCTCCCGTAAGCTTAGTCCAGCCGATACCCTCGTGATCGACCAGCTCGCGGATGCGCTCCAGCCGAGGATGTGACACGCCAAGAGAGACCAGCAAGCCGTGATTTATAGTCATGAGCTCGCCGACCTTCCTCAGGGACTCGTAATCTTCGTTATCAAAGTCGTCGTCCGATATCGTTGCTGCTGCAGTCTGTGTGACCTTGTCCATGGCGTCCAGAATGGATCCCACCAGTTTCGGGTGAGCTTCCTTCAGCCTGCCGACCTTTGCGACCTCGTGGTGGGTGGACTTGGGTTGCTTCGTATCGACAATCAGGAGGGGGAGTTCCGGGAAGTCCCAGAGGGGCTTGACCGCCGGTGGCTTGGTGTAGTCTGTCCTCTGGAACACGACTGCCTTGCCCTGGGTGGCAACGGCGTTATCGACGCCGGAAGGGTTGCCGTGAATGCACATTTCTCCGACGAAAGCCCATCTGTTGATCCTCTCCACCTGTAGACGGGCCTCCTCTGGGGGCTGGTCGGGGTGGGGCCCAGACAGCGTCCGTAGTTGCAGCAGGAGAGCAGCTGCCAGGCAGACCGCAATAGAGGCACTGCTTCCCAGCCCGGCGCCCAAGGGGATGGTAGAGCGCAACGTGTAAACACATCCCGGGAACTTCTGATTCGCCAGGGACATGAACATGTACAGGAAGGACGACGCAGAGTTCTGGTGGATCTTTCGTTCGTGTTCAGATTTCTCGGGGGATATATTGGCGAGATGCGGCTGCAGCGCCTCGAAGAGATCCGGGTCGATCGCCGTGACGAGGTCGTAGTAGTACTTCTTCTTCGCGGGGTCGGAAAAGGTCTCCCAGGGCAGCTCGTCAATGTTCCACGTGTGGAAGAGGTCGATGTCCGGGAATCTGAGTGAGACTGTTCTCTTTGACTTTGATAGCGTCGTCACGAGAAGGTATGAGCGCATCGAGACCGCAGCAGCTATCGCAGCCTTGTTCGTGTTAGCCATGCCAGCCTAGCGAACTCGCAACCCCTTCCTCTGAGGTTCCATGCGCCTCTGACATACCTTGCCGTGCACCACGGCATGTTCGCCAAAGACAATGACCTTGCCCGGCGCCGAGACCATAAAGGCCGGCATCATGGGGCTCGACTGCTTGCGATCCATCCTTACGCGTGGGCTGGCGTCTTTCGCGACGCCGTTGCCGTTGATGTGGAGTTTGTCAACACCCTTATGGATGCCATTGACGAGGTTCGTCATTGCCCAGGGATGATGCTCGGACAGCTAAGAGGACTGCGACCTAAGGCTTTTTAAGGTTTCCTGGGGGCTCCGCGGCCGACAGAAGGTCCGCGGTGTGGTTGAGCCACCTCGTTCCTGGCACTGGGCGGGAAAAGGGAGGGGCCGCGTCCGCAACGGCAGGTTCCGCTCTGGTGGAACGAGGACTCAGACGGATGGTCGCAGCCGGGTGGCTGGTCAATGGTTGCGTACGACGCAACGAGAGGCCGCCGGTCGAATCGGTAATTGCTTCAAGGAGAGATGCGCAAGGGGGGTTGAGATCAGCCAGCCAACGAGGTGAACTAGGCTTGTGATGCGCAACACTATTGGGCAATTCAGGAGCGGTTATGTAGGATGGTTCCGGCAGTAAAAAGCAATTGGTCAAGAGTCAGGAGTGAGGGAAAAGAAGAGAATGCGGGACACGACACGAGGGGAGACAAACGAATATGTCGTCCTACCTCCTTTCCGGTGCTCACTAGGACGGGATGTGGTGACGAGGAGTCGAGAGATTTCGGCATCCAATGCGATTTCAAGCCTGGAAATTGGATAGGTGCAGTAAGCGCAGGGACCAGGAGGGACTTGCAGCGCTGGCATGGCTCCTCGACAGGGGTGGTCACCTTTTTCAGCGCCGATATGATTGGAGCTGCGCCGCGATCGCACGAACCTACCCACTCCCTGCAGTCTTCTGGAAGAGCCTCTGGCCCGCTGGGTTCTCCAGTTGAGAGCAGCTTCAGGGCTGCCCCTCCCAACGGTACGTGGGGTTTTAGTGCCATGATAGGCTGGCCACCTGGTGTAGTGAGACTGAACCGATCTTCACCTTCCAAAAACCATCCACGCACACACACACCTACCTTCACCTTTCCTGATGGTTGCATTAACTGTGAGTTGTATTGGAGAGGGCCACGATGTGCCTGCAGGAGACATTGCATGTATACGCAAATCCCAACCAAAGGGCAGCAAGCTTCGGAGGCCGCATTGCGCTAGATCCATCCAGGTAAAAGAAGAGCCGTCTGTCTGCAGCTATGGCAGCCAACATTGGGTGATGATTTGAGGGAGCCCCCTCCCCTCCAATGAGGCTCGACGATGCATCCGCGAGGTCCGCAGTCACCGATGCCCAACTTGTCGCGCTGCATCCGAAGCCGGCCGCTCGCATCACTTCAGAAGTACAGCACAGCACAGCACAAGAATATGCATGTCACTTGGCAATATGATAGACCGAACAGGCGAGAACTCTCCAGGGTGTGGGATCACAGATGATGGGCATGACAACCCCTCAGTAAACCGTCCAGCGAACACCAGAATAAGACAATTCAATCTGTTGCAGTGCGATGATACTGAGCCTGTAAAATACAGGGAGAGCTTGTGAACGTTCTTGTGAAAATGTGCATGCAGCCTTTGACTCTTTGGGCGCCTTCTGGAAACAGGTCGTTCCGTAGTTACTCTGGCTGTGATCCACCGCACCACGGTCTGAGATTCTTCACATCATTTGAAGAAGAAACGCATCTTTCCTGATGCGTTTGTCTACTCTCAGCTCAAAAATCACTCCTCTATAACGGCTCCGCCTTGTCTTGCTCCATGCTTCACAATGTTGGCAAGGCACGTCACACACAGAGCTGTTAAAGGCATACCAGTCTTGCAACACCATTCATACGCCCGATTCAGCTCTAGCTCCCATGGGTCCGAGTTGAAGATCAATGCCGCCCGCTTGCTAGAAACTCTACATGATACTTGCCAGTGGGGAGCAGCTCACCGATATGGAAGGTATCGTTCCTCATCCGCAACACTCTCGTGTCGATACAGCACTAACACTCATATGACCAGTGGTGCTACGGAGACTGGCATGGCCAGGCTGGCTCTCTCCGACGACGACGCGCGTGTCCGCCGCTGGTTCGCCGACGAGATGGAGTCTCTCGGCTGTGGCGTGACCGTAGATGAGATGGGCAACATGTTTGCTCGCCGCTCGGGATCCTCGGGCTCTCGAGCGCCGATGACAGCTATGGGCAGTCACCTGGACACTCAGCCGCGAGGCGGGAGGTACGACGGGATCCTGGGTATCATGGCAGGCGTGGAAGCCATGAGGACGCTCAAGGATGCCGGATACAAGACGCACTTCGATGTGGGCGTCGTGAACTGGACGAAGTAAGTGTGCCCTTGAGAACTAGGACACCCGCCACGGGCACTGACGGTCTGTCAAGCGAGGAGGGCGCGCGCTTCCCCAAATCAATGGTCTCGTCGGGTGCTTGGGCAGGAATCATCTCCCGCGAAGCAGCCTGGGACCTGAGGGATATCTTCGACCCGTCCATAACACTAAGATCGGAGCTCGAGAGGCACGGCATGCTAGGCGCTGTGCCCTGCTCGCTTCAGGGCTACCCCCTCGGAGCTCACTTCGAGCTGCACATCGAGCAGGGCCCCATCCTCCAGCAGGAGGGAAAGCGCATCGGCGTCGTCCGTGGCGCCCAGGGCTACCGTTGGCTCACCTTCACCCTCCTGGGCCGCGATGCCCACACCGGGACCACTCCCCTGGACATGCGACAGGACCCGCTGCTCGCGGCCTCCCGCATGATCTCCGTCTCCAACGCCATTGCGAAAAAGGCAGGGGCGCTGGCATCGACCGGCATTCTCAAGATCCCGCAGAGCGCCTCGACCAACACGGTGGCGTCGGAGACGACCTTCACTCTGGATATCAGGCACCCAGACAATGCCGTCGTGCAGCAGGTGCAGGATGAATGCCTGGCTGCCTTTGAAGCTATCGCAGGTGAGGAAAGGGTGCGGATGAGTTGGGTGATAGACACGGATTCACCGTCTACCCAGTTCGACAAAGGCTGTATTGAGACGGTGGAACGCGTAGCCACTGACCTGGTGGGAGAGGACGGCTGGATCCATATGACGAGCGGAGCTGGCCACGACAGTGTCAACACGAGCAAGTGCTGTCCGACAACCATGATATTTGTTCCGTGCAAGGATGGCGTAAGTCACCACCCGGAGGAGTATTGCAGCCCGGAGGACTGGTGAGTTCATCCCCACACATGCTCACTTCTTGTCAACTCTGACTTACACGGTATCTTTTAGCGCTCTCGGCACTCAGGCACTCTTACAAGCAGTTGTTGATTATGATAAGCGAAGGTCATCTCAATGACCTGCTTTCGAGGTAGTATCCTCTGTTACTTAATTAGATAGAGGGTATGGAGGCGCAAATAAAATGAATCCATGGCCCAAATTACGCCCTGTAAACAAGGAGATGTTGCCAGAGACCAGTGTCACCGATAGTTCCTTGTTAGGCAGAGAAAGTTCCTACGTAAGCTGTGACTGGCCCAATTTGTACACAATTTTGCTCTTTGGGCCTGCTTGTAGATCATTTTGGTTTCGCCCTCTCCAGGAATTCGCAAGCTCTTAGCTGCCTGTCAAATTACATAGGTAGGCTAATACCTAAATTGATCTTTAAGCTCGGTCGCATTGCAACACTTGAACCCTTGACAGGCCCGTCGTCAGTTTAGGAGGCCATACACACTCGGGCAGCTTAACAAACTTACTTGAGGATAACAGAGCCTTCTTCGTGTTTTATAAGATCACGATGCCAGTCACCGAAATTGGAATCTTGCATTGTCTTGGGGGAAAGGTTACACCCGAAATCCGGACACTCCTAGAGAAAGCCTTGCCAAAACAGGTACAATGGCGTCAGGACAACGTCCCCGATTCACCCTTGGACACCGAGGCGCTTGCCACCTGGGTCTTTCAACAGCGTGAAGACCCCTCTGTCATGCTGCTTACAGCTACGTGGGAGAGCGTGGAGGCGCATACGAGATGGATCCAGAGCGAGGTCAACCAGAAGCTCATGGGGGACTTGACCAAACACATCGTATTGGAAGGCGACCAAGTGCTTGTCCTTTTCCACCTGGACAAGGAGATCTTCTCGGGCCCACAGGAGCCTGGATCTGTCCCTCTACTGGAGAGCCCTGTCCTCAGCCTCGGCAGGTTCTTCGTAGCCAAGGAGGAGCGAGAGATCTTCGCGAAGAAGTTTGCAGAGGTCGAACATGTCAACCGGGACTTGGTCCGTCCTCACCAAGCACGCTCGGGATGGAGGGTAGACAAGGAAGCCGAGGAGGGGGAGGAGTTTGTGCTGATTTCGGGGTTTGAGTCCATTGATCGGCAGGCCGAGTTCGCTGAGTCAAAGGACTCTGCCAAATATTGCGAGATCCAGGCGCTTATCGAGGAGTCTGACACCAAGCACTACCAGCGCATCATATAGGAGAGCATAGCCGGCACTTTTCTGCAGCGCAATTGAGTATCTGGGCACGATAGCGGCCTTCATCGTCAAATAGGCAAGCTTCGTTTTCTTTTGGTGATCACGACCCTTTTTGACCTGAGGGCTTTCTCAATTCCAAGGTATACCTAGACGCCTCATCATGAATGCGGCCCTATCTGTCGGGCGAATGCGCGATGTCTCATGCAGCCAAAAAGTCCAACCTTTTCCCCTTCCAAGCCCCATTCAGCCCCGTCGCATTTATGAGGACTTCTTCTTCTCCTTCTTGCTGACGTCGGTGATGGTCAGGTCTAGAGACACACAAGCGTTAGTTCAATGTCGTCGAGTGTGGCGCGCTCTCGGGTTCTCAGGTGGTCGTACTCGGGGGGAGAGACTGCTTGAGCTTCTCGGCCTTCTCAGAGTCCTTCAGGACCAGGGTGTAGAGGTGAGTCTGGCATCGGACCTTGAACTTGATCTGCTGGGACTTCTTGTTCTTCTTGATCCGGGCAGCTGCGATTATCGGACACAGATTGTTAGAATTTCCGGTCGTGGTTCGCAACCTTTTCCCTCCCGACCCAAACACTCACAGGAAGCGTCCTTCCTCCGGCAGATCTCGATGAACTGCGGTAACGGCCAAGTCAGCAATCACGGACCCCCACAAGATTTCCCAGAGCACCCCGACTGGCAGGAGCCTTACCTTCTTGATGTCGCCGACTTCACGAGGCATTTTGACGGTTGTTTTTGGCTGGGTGGCTACTGAAAGATCTTTTGGTTCGGCCGTGAGGGTCTTGTTCGTCGTCAATTCGAATTTCGAGAATTAATTTTGTGGGCAGAACTCAATTCGGCGATAAACTGAGCCAAAATCTTGGCATGGTGCACGGGCCAACTCGTGGGGTCGCACTTGCCTAGGTACTTTCTTCGAGGGGTGTGGCTGACGCGTGCTATTACCTCTTCTGGCCAAGTGTGGCGTCGTCTCATTCGTTGATAGGCACATCGTCCTCATGATTGAGACGAGTGTCACAGTTGCCAGATTGCCTTTTGACCTCTTTTGCAAGGGTACAACTTTTATCATAAAGGCCTAGGGAGAACCCCAGGACCTCTGTATGCCGACTTGAAAGTTGTTTCTCTCGTTATCACTACTTCTTCCTTCCGTAACGCCAGATATCCAGCCTCCTGAGGCTGGACTCCATCGGAAGATGCCTACGTCACTTGATAATGCGATGAAGTCCAAGGCAAGCACAGCTACTTACATTATGATACTGTACTTATGAATGGTGGCTAACGAGAACAAGTAGAATGCGCTTCTGGGTAGGGTCTCCAAAAAGAGAGTCGAAGTTGACCCGTTTTGACTAACAATTGCCCGGCAGCATTTACTGGATTAGTTACGGGTGTTGCGATATGGGCAATCTGGGGAGGGGATATGTTCCCGACGGATACAGATCCCAAGGGGAACCCAGAGACGTGGACCCGAGAAGAGCTGAGGAGGTGGCTGGCAGCGGTAAGTGTGTTCTGCTGTGCTGTGGCGCTGCCCCGGTTCTTCAGAGCTCTGACGGTCGCCCAATAAGAGAAACTTGCATCCACAAGCTTCGGACACGCGAGAACAGTTATTGGAGCGTGTCCAGGTCAACATGCGGATCAAACGGTCTTGATCGGGGTTTGGATACAGGCGGTGGATCTGAATGACGGAGGCCCTGTACTGGCTCAATGCTGAGTTACTACTTACAGAGGTACTCAGAGTCAAAAGGTTAGGCAGAGCCCGGTAAGAAGCTGATTTTGCCTGTAGTGTTTAGATAGATAAATCTGTTGGAAAGAAGATTGAAAGAGTACCTGCCAAGGAAATTGAGGGTGTAACCCTGGGAAGTTGAGACTGCCGGCTTGGTGCTTTATCATACCTAGGTACCTAGGTAGCTATGAATGAGATCTTCGCCCAGAGCCTCATGTTTTCTGGAGCAACTCTTTCTACTTTCTTTGTGGTGACGAAAGCGGATGATTGCAGAATCCAAAGCTCTTGCTGACGGTTAAATTGATGCTTGTTCCGCTAAAGTCAGCCACACAGACCCAGTAATAAGCCTAAGCCACCACAGGCACAAGCCGCTTACGACAAAGGCAAGGACAGTTGGCCCGAAAGTGTACCAGCTGTGCTCTTGGACAGGTACCCAGGCTACCCCGGACTTGATATCCTCCCATCTCTCCCTCCCTCAACCAACAATCAGTCGTCGAACGGCCACTTTCTTGCGTTCACGACACCATGGATATCCTTCAGGTACGTTGTGTTTGCAATTACGCGCCGACTCTACGAATGCTTGCTCCCAGCCAGTACTAACAGAACTCACTCGGACAGCGCCTGGCGAGGTTCCTCGACCGTCCGCTCTTCCCTTGGAAGAAGCTCATTATCGGTTTCTCGGTCGCGCAATACCTCTTCGAAGGTTTCCTCTCTATAAGACAGTACCGTGTCCTGCAGAAGGCCAAGCCGCCAGCCGTTCTCGAGAAGGAAGTGACGCAGGATGTCTTCGACAAGAGCCAGGCCTACGGACGCGCCAAGGCCAAGTTCGAGCTGATCAACGGTCTCTGGGGTCAGGTCCAGAACCTTGCCTTCATCCACTTCGATGTCTTGCCCAAGCTGTGGTCGTGGGCTGGCAGCCTTCTCCTCCGCTTCGCGCCGGCGCGTTTCACGGGAGAGATATCCCAGTCCATCGTCTTTGTCCTGTCCTTCATCGTCATCCACCAGATCCTGTCGCTGCCCGGCTCCATCTACCACACCTTCTTCCTTGAGGAGAAGTTTGGTTTCAATAAGCAGACGCCCAAGCTATTCATCACGGATATGATCAAGTCGAACCTGCTCGCCTTTGTCCTTGCTCCCCCGATCCTGGCCGGTTTCCTCTCGATTGTCCAGAAGACTGGCAACCAGTTCTTCTACTACTTGTGGCTATTCGGTGCCGGCCTCCAGGTCTTCATGATTACTGTCTACCCGATTGCGATTCTGCCCCTGTTCAACAAGCTCTCGCCCCTCCAGCCTGGCGAGCTCAAGGATGGCGTCGAGGCTCTGGCCAAGAAGCTCAAGTTCCCGCTCCACGAGCTCTATGCCATCGACGGATCCAAGCGCAGCGCTCACAGCAACGCTTACTTCTTTGGTCTCCCCTGGAAGAAGCACATTGTGATCTACGATACCCTCATTGAGAAGAGCGAGACGGAGGAAGTTGTTGCTGTCCTTGCGCACGAGCTGGGTCACTGGAGCCTCGGCCACACCACCCGCCTGTTTGGCATCTCTCAGCTGCACTTCTTCTACATCTTCGCGCTGTTCTCCGTCTTTATCAACAACCACAGCCTTTATGCCGACTTTGGCTTCCTCACGGAGCACCCGATCATTGTCGGGTTCATCCTCTTCTCTGACGCCCTGGCTCCCATGGACATGATCATCAAGCTGCTCATGAACATTCTCAGCCGCCGCTACGAGTTCCAGGCCGACGCCTTCGCGCGCGGCCTTGGCTACAACGCAGAGCTGGCCCGCTCGCTTATCAAGCTGCAGATCCAGAACCTGAGCACCATGGAGGCTGACTGGATGTTTGCCAACTACCACTTCTCCCACCCTATCTTGTCGGAGAGGCTCAAGGCCCTCAACTGGCAGTCAACCGAGAAGGTTGCCGCTGACGAGAAGAAGGACAAGGAAGGTGTGGCCAAGGCCACTGGCCGTGATGAGCTGTAAACGTAGGAGGATGTTGTACACTAGATCTTGTTGCCTAGCGGCATTTCATGCTGAGGTGACTCTGAAAAGTAGAGTCGGAGAGTGTGTCGTCATTTGGCTTGCCTACTAGGTAGTGTAGGCCGGTTAAGGTAGCTTAAGATCAAGGGTTTTGAGCCCGGTAGAGCGAAATAAAAGAGATGCTGTATGCTCAAGGATCATGGCCAGTACGGCTATTAGAATCTGCGAATTTTTCTCCAATTTTGAATGCCTTTTCATACTCTTTATGTTTGGTGATAAAACTGTCCCTGTTCATAGCTCAGTGATTGTATGGTGGTGATAAGGTCCTCGGCAGCATATTGAAGTAGCGTCGGCAAGTGTCGGCCACCTGGCAGAGCCGAGCCAAAATTTCCAACCCCAAAGCTGCCCATCGCGAAACCATTTCATAGCTTCATCACGAGTAGGAATTCAATCCTTCAATCGACTTGCGGCGCAATCGGTCTCGCTCAACGGGTGCCAACACTCTCCCACTCGCGAGCCTTCTATTTCGGCCTAAAAAAAGGATATTGAGCATCGGCAATTGGCAGGCAGGAGACCCAGTCGCGTGAGCAGGAGGACGCCCCCTTCAGGATGCGGCAACAGATCATGACTGCACAGCGGCTGCTGTGCACCGCCGCGCGGCCGATGCAGCAGGTCTCAACGGCCTCTTCAGCCGCTTGCTGGATAGGCAGCTCAAGGTGAGCCCCCCACCCTCGCACTTCGAATCAATCCCCGTGTCTGCTCAGACCCGACCGCTCACGCCACCTGATCGAAATCAGATCCTTCTCTTCTCTCCCGACCCTCCGCCCGTCCATCCCTGCGTTCTCGGCCACCAAGCCCAGCTGCGTCTTCCGCCCGTCGGCCCTCCAGCCCGCGCTGCACGCGGCCTTCACGCCCGCCTCGGCCGAGGCGGCAGGCGTGGCGGCGGCGGCGGCGGACGTCGTGCCCAAGAGCGCCATCACGGCGCACCCCGCGCTGGGAGGAGGCATGCAGATCCGGTGCGGCCCGCGCAACACGCTGCAGAGGAACAGCCGGCTGATCCAGAAGCGGAGGCACGGGTTCCTGAGCCGGATACGGACCAAGACCGGGCAGAAGCTGCTCAAGAGGAGGATTGCCAAGGGGCGCAAGAAGCTGTGCACTTGAACGAGACAGTCGAAGGACGGCAGGCGTAGGTTGTGGGTGCCTATGCCTATGGGGGTAGTGTGGCCGATGGCGACCATTTTCATGTAAAGCCACGTGGTGAATCTGAGCTGGGGGGCAAGCGATTGAAATTGCTTCACGGGTGATGAGAAGGATGCAAGAGTGTACAAGAACCTGCCATGTATTGTTGGCTTCATTGGCCTGGAAGGAGAGTGTGAGATGGCCTCAAAAATGGCCGTGTATACACATTAGACAAGATGAACTATGTACTATATCAAAATTATTCCCCAATCATCCCCACCACACGCACACTGGAGAACATCTGCTGTCACATTCGTCAACGAAGCACATGGCGTCACTGCGCCCAGTCACTAGACGGGACTCGCCAGCCCACTCTCACACTTCAGCGTGTCGGTATAGCAAGCCGTGAACAAGGCATCGCTGCTCTCGCCGATCCAGATCTTGTACCTCCCCTGCAAATCAGGCACGACCCAGTTCTGCGACACGACGTCCCACACGCTGAGATCCTTCCTCGTCAGCTGCAGCTTGACCTCCGCACTGCCCCCTCCGGCCTTGAGCGCCGCCGTCTTGGCAAAGTCGCGCAGCTGCACGACGGGCGTGTCGTACCCCGTCCCCTCGGGGAACTGCACGTACGCCTGGACCACCGCCTTCCCGGCGTGCTTGTCCCCGGCGTTGGTCACCGTCGCCGTGACCTCGTACGCCACGTCCCACAGGGCGGGGTTGCCGCCCTGGGCGCCGCCGGCGGCGGGGACCTCGGTCCGCTGCGCGCCGCTGTAGCCGGCCGGGTAGGGGTACTTCTTGCCGCTGGCGGCGTCGCGGGCGGCGTCGTCGGCCTGGTTCTTGGGCAGCCACGAGTACAGGTACCGCCAGATCTTGTCGAAGGGGGCGCCGGGCTCGTAGGCCTCGGCGGCGGGCGGGATGGCCGCGTCGTAGACCGGCGCCGTGGACTTGTCTGCGCCCGAGGCGGGCGGGGGCGCGGCGCCGGCGAGCTTGCTGACCTGCCTGATGGCGGGGCGGGACAGGTTGAAGGCCGTGTAGCTCAGGCCGTGGCCGAAGGCGTAGCGCGGCTTGGTGCCCTGCCTGTTGAGCCAGCGGTAGTCGATGTACAGGCCCTCGGAGAAGGTGTCCTGCGGCTGGCCGAAGGCGAAGCCCCGGATGCCGAGGCTGTCCGGGTAGTCATCCTCCTTGACGGGGATGCTGTAGGGCAGGTGGCCGCTGGGCGAGACGTCGCCGAACAGCACGCTGGCCAGGGACTCGCCGGCCTCCTGGCCGGGCAGGTGCGCGAACAGCACGGCCTTGACGGAAGGGAGGCCGACCCACGGCTCCAGCACGAGGGGCCCGACGGTGTGCACGACGACGACGACGTTCTTGTACCTCGCCGCCGCCCGCTTGACGAGCTCGTCGCCGTTGTGCCACGCCTTGAGGCCGGCCGAGTTCCTGTCGCCGTTGTTGCCCTCGACCGTGTACTGGTTCTCGCCCGAGTCGGACGAGAGGAAGACCACGGCCACGTCGTCCGCGCCGGGCTCGGGGACGTTGGGGAAGGAGTCGGTGTTGTAGAAGGTCACGTTGGTGCGCCTGCGGAGGGCGCCGATGGGGTCGTCAAAGGTGGCGTAGTTGGCCGTCCCCGAGCCCCAGCCCATGCCCAGGGTTCCCTTGTTGCACGCCCGGTCGCCGCAGGCGTTGGGCCCGTCCGGGTTGACGGCGGCGTCGGTCCCAAAGACGCTGAGCGTCTGCGACTTTGAGAAGGGCAGGATGTCGCCGTCGTTCTTGAGGAGGGTGATGGCGTCCTGGGCGACCTGCCGTGCGACCTCGGCGTGGTTGCCGCGGACGTCGACGAAGTGGTTCACCACGCCGGACGGAGAGAAGAGCGCGGCGGGGTACAGAGGCCCAGACTCCTTGTCGGTGTTGGCCGAGAAGTTGGGCGGGCCAAAGTCCTTGTCCTGGCCCAGCTGATACCAGGCGGCCACGATGCGGGTGGTCATGTCGTCGAGGCGGTCTACCGGCACGGACCCGTTGAGCACCGACCGAGTGAGCTCGTACATCCAGTAGCTGGTCCCGAAAAGGGGGATCATGGTGTCTCCGGGCATGCTCATGTCAAGGCCGGCCAGGGCGGCAGGGACACCTGAAATCTGAGCCAGCCTGCAGAGTGGTTAATTTGGATGGTTCAAACATTCTGGGACTCCAGTGGTGACTTACCAATCACTCATAACGAAGCCCTGGAAGCCGAGCTCGTCCTTCAGGACGCCATTCTGGAGGTAGCTGTTCTGGCATGCTGCTGACCCGTTGACCTGAGAGGAACTGTTAGCTTTCGTATCAAGCAGATGGAGGCACTTGTTTTGCCTACAGCGTTGTAGGAACACATAATCGAACCGACACCGGCGCGGACACCTTCAGCGAAGGGCCAGAGATAGAGTTCATGCAATGTCCGATCATCTTGGGGAAGAACGGTCAGCAAAGCTCTAAACAGCAATCAGAAGAGGGTCTCTCGTACCGATATTTGCGCTGGTCCCGGGCTGGATGACGTTGTACATGCGGAACATCTCCTGCTCGTTGCCGACGAGGTGCTTCAGCGTGGCGATGACGCCCTGCTCCTGGACGCCCTTGATGGTCAGCGCGCCCCCCACGGCCTGGAGGACGGGGTCCGCGCCGAAGCCCTCCCAGTTGCGGCCGCCGCGCGGCTTGCGCCCCAGGGGCCCGACGGTCGGGCCCAGGTAGATGTTGGCGCCCTTGCCCCTGAACTCCTGGCCGATCGCGACAGCCCTGGCGTACATGAGGTCCTTGTCCCACGTGGCACCGGTGGTGATGCCGGCCGGGAAGGCGGTGACATGGTCCGTGGACCGGACGCCGAGCGCCGAGTCCTGGAGACACAGCTGTGGGAAGCCCAGGCGCGGCGCGCTGCCCGTGTTTCCTACGCATGGGCTGTCGGGGGGATCCAGTCAGTTTTCGCATGGTTTGTAGTAGACACGAGAGAGGGTTTTTCTTACCCTAGATGATAAGTCAGTTACGATTCTAGCGGGAGGAAGACTGGGACTTGATTTGTTTGCTACATCGACTTACCCATCCATAGGCCAGTTCCAGACGTGATGTTGACCTTCTCGGCCAGAGTCATCTGCTCGACCAGCTTCTTCGCCTTCTGGTAGCTAGCCGCCCAGCTGGCATCCCACCCTCCGTGCGGAGTAGGGTAGTAGGGAGCAGCAACGAAGCCTGCAGGGACCGCATCTCGCGCGCGGAGGCTTGCGCCAGACACTTCCACGGGTCCCAGTCCGCAGGCGAACAGGAGCGCCGCCAGAGAGACGGAGCTAAATGACATCATCGTTCCGGCAAAATTGCACAGGGGCGGGCACGCGGAGAGCACAAGAACGTGTCAATTGGGCTTGACTAAAGAGCAAACTACCACCCAGGGACTTCGCGATGGCTTCCCGACTGAAGATATACTCCGTATCCTCATGCCCAGAGATGCCCAGAGGAAGAGAGGCATCAAGAAGCGCGATACGGCGGGCGACCCCCTATCGGCCCGCCGACACCGACGACTGTGGTACCGGACGCATTGATACCCACAAGAAGGGACGAAATGAACGCATCCCAAGACCAAGCGGTCGTGTGCGGTCTGTTCCTGGAGCCGAGATGGGGACGGGCAAAGATCGACATGTCAAAAATTGGGGGTCAGGAGGGGCGACAGCCGAGGCTGGTCCGCCATGTGCTGTCAACCCCGATCGCATCTGACAATGGGATAATGGGATAATGGGGATCTCCTCTCAGATATTCCGGAGGAGAAACACATATACGCCTAGTTTCGGCAGGACTCCGTGACCGTGACGAGGGTCGCGTCATGTGGTGGACAGGGAAAATGACAGTGCGGGGTGCGGAGGTGACATTGTGCCAACTTTTTGGGTCTGGGCAAGTGTTAGCGAGGGCAGCTCTGCCGTCAGTCGGTGTGGTTCATCGAGAGCAGCGGCGAGGCCCTGTTGACATCGCGTAGATGCTCTCGGGTGTTTTGCTTTTTGACAGGAGAAACAGGCAGAGAGAAAGCAAGCCAACATGGGCCAGATGACATAGGGCTGAGACAGCTGAGCCGCCACAAGGATCCTTTCAGCTTGATGAGAACCCGCGCTATAAGCAGCCTCTTTTCGGGGAGAGAGCGAATAGGATAGAGCGCTTGCAATATCCTCGAACACAGTACAAGTAGCATAGCCCTTTTTCAACCAAGTGGAAAAAGAAACTATCACAAGACAGACCAACTGCCGGCGAGGCCTCACCACTGGCCGAGGCTTTCTCCGGAGAGGGACGAACTATCGAATCCCCGCTGGCCAATGGCTAATGCGATGCACCCGCGCGAAGTGACGACCTCAAGTGAGTGACGGCAGCCAGGCGCTGTTGACAACGGGCGAAGCACAGCCAGGGGTGCCGGACCAATGACTGGCGGTGAAGCTGTCCCCCAGACTTGTCAAGCCCGATGGCACGCGCCGGTTCCCGTTCAGGGAGGTGGAAAGCTGCCCATTGGGCGGTAGTGCCATGCAAGCCATCGGGAGATGCAACCAGCGGCGGGCGTGCCCAACTTTGATAGGCAAGCGAGGAGGCACAGGCTGCCGAAGGGCCCGTTGTCGTTGTTGTGATGGGCACTCAGTAGTTACAGTTCCATCCATGGATTGTCGTCCGGGGGAAGAGTCTGGATTCGGCTTAGGCGATCTCCTCGCCCAAGATCTTAGGTTGCTTTTAACAGGAAAGCGGCCCCCACTCGAGCTCGCTAAGATTACGACAAGCAGGGCAAGGTACTTGACATGTTCGATGTTAAAGCAGAGTTGACAAGGTTCGTTCACGTGGAGAGCAAGCACCCAGAATTTCTCCGATGTAAATTCGTCGCGGCGTAATTCAACCACGCCGTCGACAGGATCGTCGGGATCATCCTCGACCTGACGGGGCGCAGGAGAGAGTGTGTGTGCCTTTTGGGCGAGCAAGGCGAGAGGGAGATGGATGGAGGCGCTGAGAAGAGAGGCGTGTCTGAGAAAATGGGACAGCACCTAACAAGACTACAGAATACCATGTGCATGAATGGAAGCGCGTGCCCTTGCCCACCCACCACCACCCCTGTCCCCGGATATGCTGAATGACTTCACATTCGCCCATCCCACTGCCCTCCTGCCATATTCATAGCACAGCTAGCCACCATTCCATGGTCCCTCCCGTGTGCCACCGTTACATAAACGTCTGAGCCGCCAACGCTGACAGGCTGCTGACCGAAAAGTACCGAATCGAAAACTGTGGTGGTCAGAACCGTACCTGCAAACGGCCACCACATACGCCCCAAGACGCCTTCGAGTGGGCGGGTTTCAGCTCCGCCGGTTTCCTCGAGACACCCTTCATGCTCTCAAGTGTTCTTCGTAGCCGCAGCGCGGATGATCTGCCCCACCACCATCCAATGTTGCCCACCAGCCGGTTGCGACGATCTCATCTCTCGTCTCCAGCTTTCGCGCCCAACTTGGGTGAGGAGGAGGAGGAGGAGGAGTCGAGCCTGCGAGCCTACCTACCCATCCTCTCCGGCTCCGGTATCCTCGCCGTCTCTTCGGAGACACTACTCTTCGGAGGCCACTCGAATGTGGTTAACGCGGCCCAGTTCCCCCACGATGATGTGTCCATCACATCCTTCTAGCGCTTCTGGCAGAATGCATCTTGTGCATGAACCCCTCACATCTCGACCCCATATGCTAGCAGAAACCCATCGTGACAAAGTCCCGAAAAGTCTGACGAATCTCAGCTCACCAGCAGTTCTCGTGAGGGATCTTCAGCCTTCGGGAAGGACCCACATTGCTGCCGGGCTTATGGGCTGCCGCCGAGGAATGTGACCGACCTGGGGGATCGCAAAGCCTCGCCATTGGCCCAGCCAAGGGAAGTCTATCTCGTAAGATGGCTGCTCATGTTCCGTTCCTCCTCCTGTAAGCTGCAAGTGCCTGTCTGTGCCTGGAAGGGTAGTGGCGGATGTTGAACTGGTCGCTTACACCGGTGATGGCCCCAAAATGGCTGCAGACCGTCCACGAGCTCCCTCGTTCTGAGAGGGATGGGCGAGTACATAAGGCCCGGGTAGGTAATATCTGTCTCCTGTTTCGAAAGAAGAGATGGATCGACAGAGTCGAGCAATCGTCTTTCTTTATCTGGGTTGTCTCATCCCTCTTGACCTCTCCAAGTCTTGTGTGTGTTCTCCCATCTCGCAGCCATGCAGCTGTTCAGCCTCCTCCTGCTAGTGGCAGGTGTCACAGCATCACCCTTCAAGGGCGTTGTTACTACCAAGTTTGCGCAAGGACGAGGTTAGTCGTTGTCTCAGCCTGCCTCCCATGTAGCCACGAAAAGCCCTCTGTCTAACACGAAAAACCGCCGCCAGCTGCCACCGTCAGTGAAGCCGACCTTTCCAACCTCAAGTTCTTCGCCCAGTATGCCGGAGCCGCCTACTGCAACATGGACTCCCCGGACGGGTCGATCGTGACCTGCTCGGACAACGTCTGCCCCCAGCCCACGGCTAACAAGGCCGTCATCGTGGCCACCGTCAAGTAAGTACACTGCCGTTGTTGTCCATCTCGGGTTACACTGTATTACCAGCATCAGCCACTAACACACACCGAAAAAAAAACAGCGGCAACACAGACAACAACATCGACGGCTTCGTCGCCGTCGACCCGGCCCGCTCCCTGGTCGTCGTCTCCTACCGCGGCTCCTCCTCCATCCGCAACTGGATCACGAACCTCCAGTTCGCGCTGACGGACTGCCCCTTCGTCCGCGGCTGCCAGTTCCACTTCGGCTTCGCCGACGCCTGGCGCACCTCCGGGCCCGGCATCACCGCCGCCGTGCGGGCCGCCCTGCAGGCCAACCCGTCCTACAAGCTCGTCGTGACGGGCCACTCCCTCGGCGGCGCCGTCGCCACCATCGCCGCCGCCAGCCTCCGCGCCGCCGGCCTGCCCTGCGACCTGTACACCTACGGCAGCCCGCGCGTCGGCAACGCCGCCTTTGCGCAGTTCGTCACCGACCAGGCCGGCGCCGAGTTCCGCGTCACGCACACCGACGACCCCGTCCCGCGCCTGCCGCCCATCCTCTTCGGCTACCGCCACGTGAGCCCGGAGTACTGGATCTACGCCGGCTCCGGCGGCGCCGGCGCGTCCGCCGCCGACATCAAGGTCTGCGCCGGCACGGCCAACACGGACTGCAACGCCGGCACGTCCGGGCTCGACGCCGCCGCCCACGGGCAGTACTTTGGCCCCATCGCCGGCTGCAGCGCCGGCGGCGTCGTCTGGCGCCGCTCCGGCGCCAGGGACCTCACCGACGAGGAGCTCGAGGCGCAGCTCAACGAGTGGGCCGAGAAGGACCGCCAGATCGTGCAGGCCGGCGCTGCGTAGGAGGGCTCTGTTGGGGGTCAATGAAGCGAATGAGAGAGTTGCTGGGGAGGAGTTATTTGGTCTTGGGGGGCATATCATGTTTTTGGTGGCGTTTAAGCGGCTTTGGCATTGGGGGTTGTTGATTTAACTTACATGGACGAGTTGCCTTCATTGAATGTAGGCATAATCTATGGCATCAGGGATGCTCCTTCATAGGTCAAAAGGGTCTGCACACACACTTCTGTCGCAGGTGTCACTACCAGTCAAAACTCTTTTTACAAATAAATACAGTGTCCATTGTAGTGCATGCATGCCGATATGTCTTGGACATCAAAGTCCACTATGCATGCAGTTATCTCGTGCCAGTAGGTAGTTACAAGTTGAATGAGCTCAAATACAGCGACTCGACATGAAAGTAATCGAGTGATCATGCTCATGTGCAATGTGCCCTCAAACGCCAGATATTCCTTCCCTTCCCTTTTTGGTCGCAGTCCATAGCTATGCCTTACAGCTTGCTGCGATCATGAATGTCCCTCTGAAACTCCGCTTCAATAACAATGGCCGATATGCCCTCCTCTGCTCAAAACGCCGAAAATCGCCCAAGATGGGCGGGGAAAAGGAGCCCCTTCTTCAAACATTGTCATCATCTCCCTCGATCATCATGCCATCTGCATTAGGCACACCGACGAGAATGCGACCACGCGGCACGCCGATCTGACCCTTGACCTTCATGCAGCCAAAGACATTGAGCTCCTTGAGGTTGGGGCACGCACGAAAGATGGATGCGACCTCCCAGTCGGTGACGCTCCAGATGAAGCTGACCTCGGCTTTCTTGAGCTCCGGGTACACCTTCTCTTGCTCCGGACCGAAGACCTGCTCGAACGCCTCGGACGAGATGTGCCGACAGGCATGGATGTTGAGCTCTCGGAGGCTCTTGGCCGAATGGTTCATCATGGCGATGAAGCCTTCATCGCAGAGACCGATATTGTTGGTGTTCTCGCGCGACTCTTCAAGCTCGCGGCACTTCTCCAGGTCGATGAACTCGAGAGGCGGGTTGGCCCAGTCAGTGAAGAGACGCTTGAAGCCACTATCAGTCATCTCGGCGCTCTCGGTGATGCGGAGCTTCTTCAGCTTCCTGCAATGAGCATGGACCGCGTCCAGAACAGTGTTGTCGACATTCTCAACGTTCTCAAGGGAAAAGGTCCTCAGGTTGGGGCCGATGTCGGCGAGCAGATCGACAAAGACGTCAGAGTGAACTTCAGTGGCGAGACGCAGGCTGAGCTGCTCAAGTTGCTTGAGCTTGGCAAGCGCCTTGAGACCAAGGCCAGAAACGCGCTGATTGCCGATGAGCTTGAGGCACTTCAGTCCGGGCGCATACACAGGCAAGTGGTCCAAGAGGTCGTCAGTGACGTGCATGTCCGTGTGGTGGATTTTGAGGGCCCGCAGACTTCGTCCCTTTGCCTTGATGTACTCAATCCACTTCGAATCGCTGATCAAATTGGCGCCTTGGATATCAAGGCTCTCGAGGTTGAGATTTCTGGAAATCAGGAAATCCATGACTTCGTCCTTGAATTGGACAGCGTTTCGGAGCTTGAAACGGCGAAGATTCGGAGTCGTCTGGAAGATGAGCATGATGTCATCAGAGCTGAGCTTGCCTCCATCATAGACCTTGAGCTCGTGGGCGGACGATTGCATGAAGAGGTGGATGGTCTTCGAGTTGACCAGTCTTCTCTTGGAGAGGATTCGAGCAATCTTGTCAATGACCGGCTCGGGAAGGCTGCCGAGGTCGTCGGCCAGGTCAATGTTCTTGGCAAGCGTCTCGACACAGAGTGTCACAAGGTTCTTGGCGCCGATGGTATAGGTGCCGTCAAGGATGGAGCTGGCGACCTTCCTGCGCTGTCCGATAGCGCCGCCCGACGTTCTCGGCTTCTTCTTCTTTCGCTGAGCACCGGCGTTCTCCTTGGCTAGCTCCTTTCCACAGGGACTGCACAGGAGACCACCGTTGGGGCCGGCAAGCGAGTAGGGGGTGACAGTGAAGCGCTTGGAGCAGATGGCACAATTCTCCATCTGGCCCGGCAGGGGCGCGGAAAGATTGACCATCTGCCTGAGGATTTCATCCTCATCTTCGTCGGACCACTCCACCCGCCTCTTGTATCCTTCGGACTTCTTGATTTTCTCTCTCAAAGCCTGAGTCTGCTTTTTGCGCTTCTCATCGGCGGCGGTACTAATCGTAGCATTGGCGGAATCCTCAGTGGTGCCAGTATTGGCTTCGGAGGAGGATTCGGCTTGCGCTCGTCGCCGCGCTGCGGATTCTGCAATCTCCCTCGCCGAGATGTTGTGAGCCTGATGCAAGGACGCTTGTTAGCAGCTAGGATGAAGGTTCATGAGAAACAGGCCACCTACCGAGAGGTAATCTGTCAGAGCAGATTGGCTGCAAGGATCGTTAGGCTTATGCAAGATTGAGGAGGGTGTGTCTGAGGATTGCGGGCTGACTTACGGGCCCATGACACGGTTCCGCCGGCCGCGGCCGTTCTGGGGCGGAGGCGGAGGCGGTGGTTGATTGTTGCTCCTGAAATGACTGTTAGCTGACTTCAATGATGGCGACGAGATGAAACATCTGGAGATCTTACATGATGACCGCCTGCGGACAACTTCTTGTGATTCAAGTCGTGGGTTTGAAGATGAGAGGAGGAAGAAATGCGGGCCGCAAGAAGTGCTTGCAGATATTGCTGCGCCCTGAGTTCTTAATTTCCTGGATTTCTGCGCTGGTCAACAGCAGAGTTGGGGGGAAAGTGAAAAGATTTTGGTGGAGGACGGTCTGCTGGCGTGAGGTGGCGGATTGCCTCTGGTCCAGGCTCCAGCAAGTCTAGAATCCAGAGAGAGAGGGGAGAGAGAGAGAAGAGAGTGCGAAGAGACGCGTCGAGGGGTAAAAATCAAGGTACGTACCTCACACGAGCTCATGTGAGTCCGCTAGAGTGCTTGCATTGACCTCCTGTGCACGGACCACAGCGGTGTCTTTTGGCCATTTTAACTACAAGTACTTAATTTACCCAAACACCATCCCCTTCTTTGTTCACCTCTCCTCTGGTCCAACTGATGCACTGCCAACTCCCTTCCTCCTATCATGCACATCTCCGAGCCTCTACCTACTGTACCTTAGGTATGTACTACATCACGTATGCATTTAGTACATGTCATTGGAAGTAAACGCTGTGGCTATCGCCCTTAGACTTTGTTCTCAAGAACGATATTCTCGCCAATGCATCCCTCCTCGAAAGCCGCATGCACCCGCTTAGCTCAGGCAGTTATCTCTTGATGTACTTTTCCAGAGTTTCCTTCAGCGCTACATGCTGCTTCTGGAACAGCTTTTGCCGCTCATTCTCGAAGCCGCCCTCTCCAAGCCAGGCTGTGACATGCCCAATGCCGATATAATCCTCAGCACCCTTGGCCAGCTCATTGAACATGGTGTCGGTATACTGTTGCAGGGGCATGCCAATCTCACCGCCATTCAGCAGATCTGGCTGGTGTCGTTCGTCATGTAGCTCCGTCTGCACTGCTGGCGGGAACACCTCCACCACACGGAGACGGCCATAGCCAGCATCTACCAGCTGCTGCCGTAAGGCCATGATAAGTGAGTGAAGGGCTGACTTGGTTGCATTGTAATTTGGTGTGCGCAGGAGCCCCGGCACCAGGCCCATGGTGGCGCTGATGAATACCAGGTGTGCTGTTTTGCCCTCCTGCGAAGCCAACCTTTGCAGATGTGGGAGAAATGCGACCAGAAGATGAACATATGAGGTATAGTTTGTTGTCACCTCTTCATCCACAGCACTCAAGTCGATAGTCTCGGGCTTGCTGAAGTCAAAAGCCCGCTGGATGCCACTGTTGAGAATGACACAGTCAAGGTCCGGGTGTTCTGCAAGCACTGATGCCGCAAACTCGGGAATTGAGGCAAGCTTTGTCAGATCAAGAGCTGCCGTGAAGGCAAAGCCGTTGTCATCACGATGTGCGGCCTGGAAAGCATCAAGCCGCTCTTGGCGCCGGCCACTTGCAATGACCCTGGTCCCATTCGCAATCAACTTGTCTGCAAAGGCCAGGCCGATGCCAGATGTGGCGCCGATGACCAGTGCCTTTTGATATATAGGAGCCATGGCATGTAGACTTATGCTTATGTAGGAGGTAGGTAAAGTGTCATCAATATGCATGTAGCCAGCAGCCTTGAAGGATCGGGGCTGTACAAGTTAGAATGGAGAGCACAGGGCCTGGCCGGGACGACCCAAGGAACCCCACTCGAATGTAGCGGGACCCAACTGGTGGATCTGGTGGAGGTGGTGACTGGGTGACTAAGCAAACGAGCCCTAGCCAATCGCTTGCTCGAAGGCCCACACCGCCGCACTTTCCACCACAAATCTAAAAATTTGTCAAATCGTCCTGGTCCATTCTTGCAACCACGAGTCGACAATCATCGCCAACTTTCCCGTCGAAGCAACAACAGCAGAGATGGCCGCCACCAAGCAGGAACAGCCCCGTACCGGCCTCACGGTCGTAAGTTTGCCTCTGCGCGATTCCGCCGCCCGAGTTTCTCCATTGGTCACCGCATGCTAACGTCGAACTTTGCAGGGTCTCAACAAGGGCCATGTAAGATCTACCTCGTCGTCTCACCTCGTGGAGGATCTCTGCATTTGCCCCCCACGAGGGAACGAGGCATACCGCAGGTGATGGACGTCGTGCTGATCTCGAAACCTGTATTAGAAAACCACTCCCCGCGTCGTCAAGCCCCGCGTTAGCCGCACCAAGGGCCACCTGAGCAAGCGCACTGCTTTCGTCCGCGAGATTGTCAAGGAGGTTGCTGGGTAAGTCGCACCCTGCATATCCAGCAAGAGCTCCCATGGCGTATTGAGATGCTAGCATTGGCGAGCAATAGACCGGACGAATTTGGTTATTTGATCGTTTTGCTGGTGGACATGCATCATGGGATATTTCTCTGCTTTGAATACATCTTACTGACTCTACCAATCAGCCTCGCTCCCTATGAGCGCCGCATTGTCGAACTCCTCCGCAACTCCAAGGACAAGCGCGCCCGCAAGCTGGCCAAGAAGAGAGTACGCAGATATCTTCCCCCGTCAGACCTCGAGATGGTGATGCTAACAGGCTCCTTCAGCTCGGTACTTTCGGCCGTGCCAAGGCCAAGGTCGATGAGCTCCAGAGGGTGATTGCCGAGTCCCGCCGCGCTGGTCACTAAACGACACCACGTATTCGACTCGATGGGAATGGCGAAACGGAAAAGTTAGATACGGTCTGGCAGGGTTACGGCATTAGCCCTGGGCATGAAATCTACATCATTGAACGGAGTTCTTGTTGTTTTATGGCACGGATGTTTCGTTATTCCTGATATCCATTGTGTTTCCCAAACCTGTCAGGCTCCGTGACCGTCATTGTTTGGCACATGGTGAATGAATGCAATCACAGTCCTACTTGCTTAAGCGCCCAGCTCACATTGAATTCCGGATTCCACAATGCAATGCAGTGCAGGACTATGTCATGCAGGTATTTACATTCCTAAAGCCGTGTTGCTTGATCCGTGATTAAAAGTTGTTTTCTGAGGCAGGGTCATGAGAAGATACCTCAACGCTCACCCTCAACGCTCCCAAATACATATCTCGACTGAATGCCACAGGGGCCATTCCACTGCCTAGAATTGATTGGTTAGTTTGATAGCTGGGGGGAGTGCTCCTGTTGCTAATTCTGTTGACTACTTGTAGCTGAACATTGAAGGGGCAAAGGGATGCGCAGTTTGTCGTCATGAGTATTTACTTATGTCTGGTCCCTACCTAGGTATGCTTGTCTCGGAGGGTGTGGTCCGTGTGTCACCTAAGGCTCGGAAAAAGATAAGCTGAAAATCTTTGAGGAGGTAAGGGGTAAATTGAATTATAGCGCCCACGTGACCGCGTGTAGGTTTTGGAACGTGAAATTTCTCAGGACGCGAACATCGCCGCTATCGTTATCGCCATTAAACAACTTGGACTTTTTGTCAGGTTGGTTGCCTGGCACCTGGGTTCTTTGTCGCCAAGCGTCTTTTGGCCCCCCGCCTCTCCTTGTCATCTTTGGCCAAACACCCGCTCACCTTTCGTTCACCCTGCGTTCAGCAGCTCATCAATTCTGAACCACCTTCATCCCTCTTCATCGTTCACCTACTGGTGGTATGTCTCGACAATTCATGCCATTTCTAGACTTTGCAAACACTGACAATTTTATCTAGTCTTGCCCAGGCTCTGGTACTGCTAGCACTGTCTGTAGCCATGGGTAGAATCACCAGGTCTGCCACCTCTGGCACCGGTGCTGGAGCACCTGCGCCAATCCCGGCGCCTAAGAAGCCCCGCGGTCGTCCCAGCAAGGCATCTGTCGCGAGCAGCAGTGTGTCGCTGTCTTCTGCGCCGACTCCCACAAACTACTCCTCAGGAAGCGACTACTCAACCCCCATGACAAGCACCGTCGCCACCCCGGCTGCCACCGAGCTGAAGGGCAAGGCAGCTACTTCTGCCTCAATGGAGATTGTGCTGCCGTCCATCAAGTCTGAGGCTGAGGCCCCGAAGGACAGCATTCGAACCCTGAGGAAGAGCAAGTTCTCTCTTGTTCCCGCTTCAAAGCGCAAGCGGCTCGATGTATCTGGCGAGAGCGATGATGAAGACATGGATTCCGACGACACACCCGACGCGAGACTGGCTCGAAAGCTTCAGGAGGAAGAGTACAATAACGCAGCCCCCAGCAGCATGGCATCCAGCAGCCGAGCCCTGCTGCCCATGCACACCAGAGCCAAGCCTGTGATCGCAGCCGCGTCGCCATTTGATCATGTCAATTCAGATCTTGATGACTATGATGACCTCGAGGACGCCATCCCACAGGGCAAGGGCAAAGGCAAGCTCCTTCCCTCGCGACCCAAGAAGCGTTCCAAGGTGTTTCTTACTGTCTCTGATGTCGAGAACGAGTCGAAAGGCTCTTTTCTCAAGGAGGAAGACGAGGATACCGACGAAGATGTTCCGCTCGCCAAGTCGAGGCGATCTACTCGCCCCACTTCAAAGGACAAAGGCAAGGGCAAGGCGCTCGTTGACGACACCGATCGTGAGAGCGATGGTGACTGGTATGCCGGCGACGCCGATAGCGACGGCGATGATGACGACGGTGATGATGCCGTCTATGTCCCCCCTGGCGTTAAGCAGAGGCCTACTGCATCCAGGACGAGCAATGCCACACCTGATAGCGACGGCGATAGTGACTCTGCCCTCGAGCCCGACACGACGGAGTCAGACACTAGCAGTGCTGTCGTTGTTTCTCGCCCTGTTGCCAGTGGTTCTGCTTCCCGTGTTCTTCGCCCTCGTGTTCGCGTTCCTCGCCGTGGCCGTTCAGGGCTTACCCGCGCTGAGAAGCAAGAGAGGGATCGAGAGCTTCTCGAGGAGCAACACCCTGTTCTCAGAACTCTGTGGATAGACCTCGAAGCGCTTCCTATTCAGAAGGCCGGACGAGCCAACCAGCCTCAAACTATTTCGAGACAACTGAAGCCCTTTCAGCTCGAGGGTCTTGCCTGGATGATGGCAATGGAGAAGACCGCTTGGAAGGGCGGCCTCCTGGGCGATGAGATGGGTCTGGGAAAGACTATCCAGGCTGTTTCCTTGATCATGTCGGACTACCCCGCCAAGAAGCCCAGTCTTGTTCTTGCACCGCCGGTTGCCCTCATGCAGTGGACTTCAGAGATTGAGTCATACACTGATGGAACCCTCAAGACCATCGTGTATCATGGTACCAACTCCAAGTGCAAAGGCTTGACTGTCAATGCCCTCAAGAAGTTCGACGTGATCATCATGTCTTACAACAGCCTCGAGTCCATGTACCGCAAGCAGGAGAAGGGCTTCGCGAGGAAGGAGGGTGTCTACAAGGAGAAGAGCATCATCCATCAGAGTCACTTCCACCGTGTCATCCTGGATGAGGCTCACTGCATCAAGGTAAGCATCTACTTAGACGATGACCCAGTCGCCAGAGTCAAGCTAACGTCTACGATAGACCCGAAGCACCGCGACAGCCAAAGCCTGTTTTTCTTTGAAGGCAGACTTTCGCTGGTGCCTATCCGGCACTCCGCTGCAGAACCGGATCGGCGAATTCTTCTCTCTTGTCCGATTCCTCGAAATCCATCCGTTTGCAAATTACTTGTGCCGTGATTGCGACTGCTCTTGCATGGAGTGGGTCATGAACGACGAAAACCGCTGCCAGGATTGCGGTCACTTTTCCATGCGGCATGTCTCGGTCTTCAACCAGGAGCTTCTGAATCCCATTTCACGCTTCGGAAACCGTGGTCCCGGAGCTGAAGCATTCAAGAAGCTCCGTCTTTTGACTGATCGCATGATGCTTCGTCGTCTCAAGAAAGACCATACCAATGCCATGGAACTTCCCGTCAAGGAGATCATTATTGATCGCCAGTTCTTCGGCGAAGAAGAGAACGACTTTGCCAACAGCATTATGACGAACGGCCAGCGCGAGTTTGACACGTATGTTGCCCAAGGCGTCCTTCTCAACAACTATGCCAACATCTTCGGATTGATCATGCAGATGCGTCAAGTCGCAGACCATCCCGATCTTATCCTCAAGAAGAACAGCGAGGGTGGCCAGAACGTGCTTGTCTGCTGCATCTGCGACGAACCAGCTGAAGAGGCGATTCGCTCCCGATGCAAACATGACTTCTGCCGTGCCTGTGCCCGGGCCTACCTTCTGTCTGCTGAGCAGCCCGATTGCCCGTGCTGCCACATCCCTCTGGCGATCGACTTGGAGCAGCCAGAGATGGAACAGGATGAGGCTCTCGTCAAGAAGTCATCCATCATCAACCGCATCAAGATGGAGAACTGGACCTCATCGTCCAAGATTGAGCTTCTTGTCCACGACCTTCACCGCCTGCGCTCCGACAACGCCACACACAAGTCGATCATCTTCTCGCAGTTCACCACGATGCTGCAGCTCATCGAGTGGCGCCTGCGACGTGCTGGTATCACGACCGTGATGCTGGACGGCAGCATGACTCCGGCGCAGCGCCAGGCGTCCATCGACCACTTCATGAACAATGTCGATGTCGAGTGCTTCCTCGTGTCTCTCAAGGCGGGAGGTGTTGCCTTGAACCTCACGGAGGCTTCGAGGGTCTTCATCGTTGATCCCTGGTGGAATCCCGCCGCCGAGTGGCAGTCTGCCGACCGTTGCCACCGCATTGGACAGACCCGCCCCTGCAAGATCATCCGTCTCTGCATCGAGGACTCTGTCGAGAGCCGAATGGTTCTTCTCCAGGAGAAGAAGACCAAGATGATCAACTCCACAATCAACTCGGATGATAGTGCTATTGAATCTCTCACCCCGGCTGATCTGCAGTTCCTCTTCCGAGGCTCTTGATTCTCTCTTACCGAATCGTTCTCGGTAGCAAAGTGCGAGCCTTTGCACATATCAGCAAGCTGTCTTTCGGGGCATTGATCAGGCTTGCTCGTGTATACTTTTGTTTTTCTCTTTCTTCTTTCCGAACTGTTTTCTGGTCTCTGAACAGTTTGACAGAGTTCGACTTCACAATACCGAAGTCTTCACTTCCTCTGTCTATTGAAGGTCGACTTCCCCTGTCTATTGAAGTCCATGTCGATTGAAGTCGACTTCCCCTGTCTATTGAAGTCCGACTTTACATGTCGATTGAAGTCCGACTTCTCATGTCGATTGAAGCCTGACTTCTCATATCGATCGAAGCCTGACTTCCAATATCTCGCGCAACTGGCTGGCTCAGGGACCATGGATCTACTGTTTGCGAGGGCTGCTGATATCTCCCTGGCATGTCCATGTCCTCTGGCACTGATTGGCCCGAGATTTGTACATTATTTGCGATGGATTACACGGACTTGAGCATCACGGAAAAAACGGCGTTGTATTGTTAGATACCAGGACGGAGCATGATCACAGCTGTGGCTACATTTCCCCAGCAATGGGCTTCTAGCTAGCTAGATAGTCAAAAAAAGATGCATTTACTGTATTGATTTGCACCCGTGACTATTTTCTTGCGGTAGGCTACACGCCAGCAGAGGTGAAGTGAGCAGTCTAATATCCTCGATGCCTCCGCAGCCATGTCAGGGACAAGCAGAGACGATCGGGCTGGACAAGATGAGGCGGTACAGGCAGTTTTGAAGTGCAGGATCCAATCGAACTGGGAGACCTGAAGGAATATCGCACCACCCCAAACAAGGTTCTGAAAAAGCGCCTGGGGTATTTTAGCACCTAAAGTTACTGGATCGACAGCAGGGACTTAGCGGCAGCCAGCTGTACACCTGGTTGGCTAAGGCACGGTTTTGATGTGGGTTTTCAGAGCACCACCTGGAATATCGCGATTAAAGGCGACCTAGTTTTCCATGTGAAACGCTGTCACTGAAAATCGATTGAGAGAGATCGTTTCTCGCACACATCCACAGCCTCCCAACAACAATTTGATGAGAATGCAGCATCTGGTTGAGAGCACTGCCGTTCATATGACAACTGCGGTTGCGACACCGCCATAAAAGGACACACGAGAGCGAAAACAGCCCGTTGGCAAAACCAGCTCTCATCTCAACCCGTCTACGTCTGTCTCACAAAACATCGAAACGATGGCCAAGAAGGGCAAAGGGAATGCCCCGTCAGGCGGGGGGTCATCTTCCAAGAAGCCCAAGGACCAAGCACCATCGGAGGGCGACTTCATCGTGTTCACCAACTCTACGAAAGAGCCCAAGCCCAGGCGAGGAGGAGGAGAAGCATCTGGGTCGGCGAAAGCTGGCTCATCGTCCGAGGTGCCGCAAGACGGCCCTCCCAGGCCCACGGTCAAGCAGATCATCGGCGGTGCTTCCTGGACGGGCAAACTGCCGGTAAATCTCTTGTCTGAGCATTGCCAGAAGCAAAAGTGGGAGAGGCCCGAATATGACACAGTGAGTCGATGAGTGGCACACAGAGAGAGGTTGACAACTCTGTCGTACTAACACCTTCGTTAGCGGAAATTCAAAGAAGGCTTCTCAGTCTTCGTCACTTTGAGTGCAAAGAACCCCAAGACCGGCGAGGTGACCAAGCTGGATCCGTTCAAGCTGCCACCCAGCCACGTCCACCTGGCGTACAAGCCCACTGCCCTAGAGGCCAAGCACTTTGCCGCCACCTACGGCCTGTTCAGGGTCTGCAGCATGAAGAACATCCACATGATGCTGCCTCCCGACTACAAGTCCCTATGGAAGGAGTTCGAGGCGCTCAAGAAGCAGGACGTCAAGGAAGGCAAGGCTTGGATGTACGAGGCCGACCCCTTTACGGCCCTACGGGAGCGGGAGGAGGCGAAAGTGCTGGCCGAGAAGAAGAGGAAGGAGCAGCAGGCGGTCAAGGAGAAGGCCGCGAATATGCCGGGCGCCTCTGGCTTGGTGCTGCGGAGTAATGCGGCCAGCAGCTCGGGCACCGGCTTCAACCCCATGAAGGGCTGGTCTACGGCGCCCAAGATCGAAATGGGCGGCAAGACGCGTGCGCACCTGGAGGAACTCATACGGCGGGACTCTGTGTGGAACCCCCACGGCGTGGAGATTTCAAAGCCCGAGAAGGACGCCATCATCAAGGAGTTCAAGGGCCTGGGATTCCGTCAGAGTCACGTCGAGGAGGCTGTCGGCGAATGCAAGGACCGCGAGGAAACCCTTGAGTGGCTTCTCATCCACGTTCCCGAAGACGACCTCCCTCGCTGGGCCCTGCCAGAAAGCTATACCGCAGGTGTCAGCGTTGCCGCCACGGACCTTAGGAGGGAAGGTGCCATCAAGCGACTATCCCAGTCTGGATACTCCGTAGAGCTGTGCAAGAAGGTCTACGACGATAGCGGTGCAGATGAAGGCAAGGCTGCTGAGACCCTGCAGAGGATCCTTCTATCCAGCGGCTCAGAGGAGGACAAGCCGGCGGACGATGCTGGTGAGGACACCTTCTGGGGCTCACCTGACGAATGCTGGCAAGAGGAACTGGCAAGTCTGGAGTCGGTATTTGGCGAGCAGTATAGCCGGGTGTCTCCGGATGTCTGCCAAATCAAGATCCCTTCCGTGACCAACGGGCCCAACAAGAACGTTGAGACGTTCGTTCAATTCCGAAAGTCGCCGAGCTACCCCTCGAAGCTCATCCTGGCGGTCGTGGCAAACCTGCCTGCCTATATCAAGCTGAGCGTCATCAAGAAGGCGTTGGCCTACGTGGCCGAGTCTCTCAATGGCGAGGAGATGAAGATATACTTCATCGCAGACTGGGTGCAGCATAACATCAACGAGATCATCGAGAAGCCTGGTGCGCTGCGCGAGGTCTCGGCGGTCGCGTCGGCGGCTTCGGAAGAGAAGACATCGGTGGCAAGAAAGCTGGCCAAGAGGGCGCCCCGACATCCTCGCCGGGTGAACTGGACGCCGAATCCGCGCAGTCGTGAGGAGTGGTTGAAGCGACAGGAGGCTTCATCGTATAAGAATATGCTCGCCCAACGCCAGAGACTACCGGCCTGGCAGGTGCGCGACAAGATTGTTCATATCGTGAACGAGTTCCAGGTGACCATCATCTCTGGTGAGACTGGTTCCGGAAAATCCACACAGTCCGTACAATTCGTCTTGGATGATCTGTATGACCGTGCGCTTGGGAGCTCGGCCAATATCATCGTGACTCAACCCCGGAGGATCTCCGCGCTTGGTCTGGCCGACCGTGTAAGCGAGGAGCGCTGCTCTCAGGTCGGCGAAGAAGTCGGCTACACTATTCGGGGGGAGAGCAAAACGAGCAACAAGACCAGGATCACGTTTGTCACCACTGGTGTTCTCCTGAGACGACTTCAGGTCTCTGGCGGCCGCACCGATGATGTGGTTGCTTCGCTTGCAGATGTGAGCCACATTGTCATTGACGAGGTTCACGAGCGCAGCCTGGATACCGACTTCCTTCTCAGCATCCTTCGGGATGTTCTCAAGAAGAGGCGTGATCTCAAGCTCATCCTCATGAGTGCCACCCTGGACTCTGCTACGTTCCGCAATTACTTCGTGGGCGACGGCCTCAAGGTTGGCATGGTGGAGATTGCTGGCAGGACGTACCCAGTTGAAGACTTTTACCTCGACGATGTCATCCAGGCGACCGGCTTCGGGTTGGACTCGCCGTCGGACGGGCCAGAGGCCATTGCAAAGGCCATTCAGAAGCTCGGCAGCCGAATCAACTACAACCTCTTGGTCGATACGACAAAGGCGATCGACGAAGAGCTCACGCAGACTCAAAAGTCAGGAGGTATTCTTGTCTTCCTGCCGGGCGTAGCAGAGATCACGCAAGTCTGCAACCTGCTCAGGTCGGTGCCGAGTTTGCATGTTTTGCCCCTGCATGCTTCGCTGGAGACCAAGGAGCAACGCAAGGTATTCGTGCCTGCCCCTAAAGGAAAGCGCAAGGTCGTGGTCGCGACCAACGTGGCCGAGACCTCCATCACGATCGACGACATCGTCGCCGTGATCGACAGCGGCAGAGTGAAGGAGACGAGCTTTGACCCCATGAACAACATGAGGAAGCTGGAGGAGACGTGGGCGTCGCTCGCTGCGTGCAAGCAGCGGCGCGGTCGTGCTGGTCGTGTGCAGGCCGGCACCTGCTACAAGCTGTACACGCGGAAGCTGGAGCAGCAGATGCCCGAGCGACCGGAGCCGGAGATCAGGCGTGTTCCTCTGGAGCAGCTGTGCCTGTCGGTCCGTGCGATGGGTGTCAAGGACGTGGGCGCATTCCTCGCGCGTGCGCCTACGCCTCCTGAGGCGACAGCTGTTGAAGGGGCCATAAAGCTGCTCCGCAGAATGGGTGCGCTGGACGGCGAGGAGCTGACCGCCCTAGGCCAGCAGCTGGCCATGCTGCCGGCCGATCTCCGCTGCGGAAAGCTCATGATCTTCGGGGCTATCTTTGGCTGCCTCGACGACTGCGTCACCGTGGCGGCCATATTGAGCTCGAGGAGCCCGTTCCTGTCCCCGCCCGAAAAGCGAGACCAGGCCAAGGAGGCCAAGCTGCGTTTCGCGAGAGGCGACGGCGATCTGCTGACGGACCTGCGGGCGTATCAGCAGTGGGACGAGATGATGAGGGACAGGTTCCCTCAGCGCCAGCTCCGGTCCTTCTGCGACGAGAACTTCCTCTCGTACAACACCCTGTCCGATATCGCTTCCACACGAACGCAGTACTACTCCGCCCTGTCGGAGATGGGCCTCGTGCCCCCGGGAGAGGTACCCAGGGCCAACGGCGGCACGCAGTCGAGAGCGTCGACCTCGACGACGCTGCTGCGCGCGCTGACGGCATCGGCGTTCACGCCCCAGATCGCGCGGATCCAGTTCCCGGACAAGAAGTTCGCGACGTCCATGTCTGGCGCCGTCGAGCTGGACCCGGAGGCGCGGACCATCAAGTACTTTACGCAGGAGAACGGGCGCGTCTTTGTGCACCCCAGCAGCACGCTGTTTGACAACCAGGGCTTCTCGGGCAACGCCTCCTTCATCTCGTACTTTACCATGATCTCGACGTCCAAGATCTTTATCCGGGATCTCACTCGTAAGTTTCGTTTAATATTATCGTTGAGACCTCGTCTGTGGATGGGTGAGACTAATAACGTTTGTATCAGCTTTCAACGCATACACACTGCTGCTCTTCTCTGGCGCCATCGACCTGGACACGATGGGCAGGGGTCTGCTCGTGGATGGCTGGCTGCGCCTGCGGGGCTGGGCTCGGCTGGGAGTCTTGATCTCGAGGCTGCGGATGATGGTCGATAACATCATTGCGCTCAAGGTGGACAACCCGACGATGGACATGAGGAATAACGAGGTCATCAAGGCGGTGACAAAGCTCATTGAGCTGGACGGTCTGGATGCATAGTCCCACACACACGTACCTTCAATGCAGATGGGAAAAGATACGAGAATAGAAAAAAATGCAGGGCTATACAATGAACCAAAGTGACCATACATGACGATATGACTGCAGTGCTACTGTCCAAGCATTCTGCCTGAAAAAGAAACGCAATGTGATGCGACCCCGTCCATGCCTCTGTCTCTCATCACTGAGCTCCTCCCGCCCACGGCTTCTGGATATAGTTCTTCTCCAGAGCGTCCCAGTCCACCACACCAGCAGGCCGGTCCTGCATCGCCGGCACGGCCCACGACTCGTCGAAGCTGAGCGTCTCGCCGCTGTCGGACTGCTCCACCCGCGCGTACCACCTCTCGCTGTTGTCGTCCCCGCCGCCGCCGCCCTGTCCCCCCAGGGCGCTGGAAGAACCGGCCTGCACGCCCTCAGCCTGCGCGCCGCCCTCCCAGACGACCCACCGCCGCGGCCCACCCCCCTGCGGCCCGACCTGCACCTCCTGCCCGCCGGGTCCGAGCTGCACCACGCCCCTCGTGCCCTCGGGCACCGCGATCTCGACCACCACGCCCTTGCGCTGCTGCTGGCCGTCGGCGGGCTGCGGCGCCGCCGTCACCCTCCGGAGCGCGACCTCGAAGCGGCCGAGCGCCGTCGCGAACCCGCCGCGCGCGAAGCTCAGCCAGGGCGTCAGCTCCGGGCGGATGGACCACTCTGCGCCCGCGGGCGCCGCGAGCTCGATGCCCAGGACGCCGGCCACCAGCACGGCCGTGGGGCCCGCGGCCCAGCCGTGCGCGTGGCTGTTGCGGGCGGCCGACGGGTACGCCGGGTACTGCACGTACCCGTCGGTCCGGAAGCCCTCGGCCAGCGTGCTGTTGGTGAAGCCCGGACCGTCGAGGAGGTACCCCCACTCGAGGAGGCAGAGCTCGACGGCGTGCGCGACGTTGCCGGCCGCCGCGTGGGCCATGAGCTCGAAGCCGGAGGCGAAGGGGCTGATGACGTTGGGGAACTCGACGGCGGGCGCGCCGAACTTGATCCACCGCTTGCGCAGGTTGTCCGAGACGTTGCGCGGCACCGAGGGGTTAGTGGCCTGCAGGGCGGCCAGCCGCGCGATGAGGGCCCAGCTGTTGCCGTCCTGGGGCTCGACGCGGTCGGTCCCGTTGCAGGACCGGTCCTCGGCGTTGTCGGAAAAGAGGCCCGTGTCGGCGCAGTAGAGGCTCAGCAGCCCGCGCTCGAGGCGCGCGCGCATCGCCTGCCAGGGCTGGCCGTCGGGCTCGGCCTCGCCGGCCCAGGCCGCCAGGCGCAGGGTGCGGGTGAGCACGGCGTGCAGCAGGGCGCTGGCCTCGCCAAAGTGGCCGCTGACCCCGGGCCGGATCCAGTCGTCGCGGCTCGTGACCTGCAGCAGGTCGCGGCCGTCGACCTTGGCCATGCTGACGGCCAGGGCGCGCAGGTACTGCGCCCAGCGGCGGCCGGCGTCGCGGCGCAGCCAGCCGGCGTCGCCCGAGTAGAGGACGTAGTTGTAGGTGCCGAGCAGCGTGTGCAGGTGGTACGTGTCGCTGAACTCGCCGCGGAAGCCCAGGGGCGGGCCGGCGTAGGGCATGCTGCCGTCGGCGTACTGGTGGTCGTAGAGCACGTCGAGGGCGTTGCGCACCGAGGCCATGTCGTAGGTGGAGACGGCGATGCCGGGGACGGCGATGGACATGTCGCCCGGCCAGACGAGGCGGTCGCGCTTGGCGCCGTCGGTGGTGACGGACCGCCCGCCCGAGACGGTGTAGTTGGAGTACCACGTCCCCGGGGCCGCGGGGCTCAGGCCCAGGATCTGGCGGTTGAAGTCGACGAGCGCGGACCCTTCCTCGGGCACGATGGTCGAGAGCTGCAGGGTCCAGGCGCCGGCGTACCAGATGCGGTTGAGCAGCGGCGAGGACGAGTGGAAGTAGCCCGTGTAGGCGCGGCCGTTGGGCTGCGAGGGGAAGGCGCTGCAGTTGACCCAGAGGTCCGAGATGGCCACCTGTGCGGCTGGTGCGGTCGCGGCGGCGTCCTCGGCGGCGGCGTTGGTCTGGATGGTGAGGTACTTGAAGGACCCGCGGAGGAAGTCCTTGCCGACGCACTTGGTGCCGGTGGAGTTGTCAAAGTTGAACGGCAGGGCCAGGTCCCGCGGGTTGTCGCCGGTGGCGTCCGGGGTCGGCCCGGCGAAGAAGGGCGACTCGGAGTAGCCCAGGTTGGCGGCGAGGCCGCCGCCCTGGACCGAGCTGACAGTGAAGCAGACCCTGCGTTGTCAAGTCACAGTTCAGTATGATGTGTTCTCCTGTACTAACAGACCTGGTCCGACTAGCAAATGAAACGAGCGCTCACCATCCACCAATGTTCTCCGCAAATTCGACCGTCAGCTCGGCGCCCTGACCGATGACGATGAGGCCCGGCGACGTCTTCACGTCGCCGTTCGCCTTCCAGATCTTGGCGGGCGTGATGTGCGACTTGTCGACGGGCGCACAGATGTACTGCTCCCAGGGTCCCGGGAAGATGGTCTCGCCCGGCAGGTTCTCGTAGTCGATGTAGGGAGCGCCGGCCGCCCGGGAGACAACGCCGGCCGCCACACCTGCGACCAGGCTTGTTGTGGCCAGCATCGTCCTCACTTTGGCTGCCACCATCTTTGATGTGTCGTTTCTTTATCAATTGAGTAATATCAGTGAATCATGAAGTGTGATCTTGCTCAGCCAAGTGAGAGGTGAGCTTGCCATCACAAGCTAAGCTCTTTGTGATGCAGTAAACTCCAAGCAAGATCAGATGAGATCACGCCTGCTCCAAATGCAAAAAGAGCAATGCCGCTGATGATCAATGCATCCAAGGAGAAATGGGAAGCAGATATATACCCCCGATGTATGTCATAAGAAAGGTCCTTTCCAAGGCCGATCGGGATCGACCGAGACCTGCCAAAAAGCTCAAAGCTCAACGGCCGAGCTGCAACACACACACACACACACCGACAGCGGTCCCGCCCGCCTCGGGGGCCCGTCACTTTGTGTGTGGAGAGAAGAAGAGGAAGGTGTGTGTGTATGAGTGTGTTGTGTGCGTGGGTGCGTTATTGTGTTCCCTTGCCTATAAAGGGCCGTGATACCAGGCCGTCACGCCGACAGCCTCGCAGATGCAACCCGGAAAGGGGGAAGATAATATAAAATTAACCTCGCACGTGGGTTGCCGTGTACACACACTCACAGCAGAGTACACACACACGCACATACACACACCCAATATCCAATATAATGAGGGAATTGCAACAGAGAGAGAGCGAGACAAAAACCGGGAAGCCCACATGCCCCCCCGCCCCCAGTTTCACATGGTCCGGCAGCGGGACCCCGGCGCTGTGATGCTCGTTGTGCACTTGCACACACTGGCTTTCCCCGCATATCCCCACGATCCCCATATTTCTCCCTTCCCTCGTGATCCTTCATCCCATGCCCAAGAGGATGTAACTGTGCTCATCCTTCTGTCGTTTTCGCTTTCGCTGCTTGCATTGATAGATGCCGTGGCCGGTGGGGGAAGGGCCCTTGCTGCGTGCGTGACCTCATGGATGTGCACTCGACGTAGGAATGAATATACGAATGTTGTGTGGTGTGCCTCGACACTTGATTGATGTCTCATGCGACCTACCTTACTTGTGCTTGTCCTGAAGAATGCAGACGCTGGTTGGTTGTCGAGTGCAACCTGGTCATCAAATCATTTTCATTGCCAGTCTCCCGCCGCAACAACACAACCTTGCGTGTATGGCTCGAAAAGATGAATACACTGGCTTCTCTCGGGCCTCAATCACCCGAGTTAGAAGGGCACGGCACATGCATGTGCCTGTTCAACATCCTCACACATCTCTCTCAATGCCCAGGCAACATGACTTGCACACATTTCAAGAATAATTTATTCTTTTCGAAATCTCAGCGCTGCCAGCTCAAGTATTTATGCCTTTGCTGGCCACGCTTGCTTGAAAGTTTTTCATTCAGACTCTGCTTGATCGTCTTCCGGGCAGCCACTTGGCTGTCTCGAGGAAGCACAACATCAAAGTCTCTTGTATCCATCCGCTGGTATCCGGGGTATCAGTCATGCACTAGCAATGACCTTTCCCAATCCTAACACCTCCGCCCATCCTGTGTCGTCATATCCATCATCCACGTCTGCCGCCACCCCGGAATCCAAGACCGCCCAATCGGTGGACAAGGAGCGACTCCTTGAGCGGGCGAGCAGAACAATCCCGTGGCACCGACGTCACTCATTGAAAGGGTTGGAGCTTTAAAGCAACCATTCAGACCCTTGAACCTCTCTCAATTCTCCGCCCTGTTGATGTCCCTCATTATTCCCCAATCCTCCTCAGGTGTATCATTTCAGGCTGGAGCTTTCAAGCTACCAAAGGACCTGCTCATAACTACGGGCATGTCTCGTCCCGTAGATCTCCAAGAAAAACAACAAGAATATAACGCCGATTCGTGTGAAGTGTCGTGGTAAAGGGGCTGGAAGGGTGTTGATCTGCGTCCGACACATGGCCATTGGGTGCTGTGTCGTGTCGTCTGGTGTAGTGTCGTTAAGGGGTGGACCGAATGGGGGGAGAGTAGAGAGCGGCAGAAAGTTCTCTCAGATGCCCGAGCCCGGCAATCTTCTCGATCAACGTGACAGTCTTCTTGGTCGATGCGGATCACATGACCTACATGTCCATGGAATCAGCGCCGTTGGCAAAGTTGAACCCGCCTTGCTGCTGAGCGCCGTTGGTGGTGCCGAAGCCAAAGGTGCCGTTGGGGCCCTGGGTCTGCGCCATGCCGTCGTCGGCGTTCTCGTCCTCATCAGAGAAGTACTTCTCAATGATGTTGTAGGCCTTCATGTAGATCTCCTCGTTGGCGTTGGTCTGGCACTCGTGGATCTTCTCCATGCCACCGCACTCCTCGATAAACAGTGCGTAGCGGTTGATCGAGTCGGGGCCGTCGCCGGCAGCCTGCTTGTCCAGGTCGCCAACCTTGAGGATGTTCTCGAGGCCGTCAAGGGCGACCTGGATGATCTTGTTGTCGGGGCAGCCGAGGAGGTCGCACAGAGGCTTGATGCAGCCCTGCGAGACGAGGTAGCGGATCTGCTCGGGCTTCTGAAGTCCTCCCGAGGTGGCGTTGCTGATGGCCCAGCAAGCTTCCTTGCGCGTCTTAAGATCGCCGTTTGACAGCAAGTGGATCAGGGGAGGGATGATGTTGGCGTCGATGACCGACTGGATCTGGGCCGAGTTACCAGCAGTGATGTTGGAAATGGTCCAGCAAGCCTCCTTGCGGATACCATCCTTGGTGGAGCTAAGGAGCGAGAGGAGCGACGGCAGGGCACCGCAGTTGATGATGACCTGGGTCTGAACGTCATCGCCGGTAACAATGTTGCCGACTGAGCGCAGAGCGGGCGTCTGCACAGAGGTGGACGCGTGCATCAGGAGCTCCACGAGGCGGCGAGGAATACCGGCCTCGATCACAGCCTGGATCTTGTCGTTGGAGCCATCCGAGAGATACGAGATGGCCCAGCAGGCGTCGATGAGAACCTCGTCATCGAGGCTGTAGACGAGCTTGGCAAGGACAGGCAGAGCAGGCGCGATGGTGTTCCAATCAGGCTGAGGGGTCTTGCCACGGCAGAAGTTGCTGAGGGTCCAGGTAGCATTGCGGAGCATGCTGAGCTTGCGGCTGTCGCCAAGCAGAGCGAGAAGGGGCTTGAGAGCACCGCAGCTGAGGACATAGTCCCGGCACTGAGGGCTGTCGCCAGCAATGTTGCCAAGGGCCCAGACAGCCTGCTCGCGGACATCGGGCTCGGGGCTTCCGAGAAGCTCGACAAAGATGGGCACGGCACCGGCCTCAATGACAACCTGCGTCTGCGTGGCAGAGCCACTGGCAATGTTGGTCAAGGCCCATGCTGCCTCAAATTGCACAAGAGTGTGGGGTGATCGGAGGAACTCGACGAATCGGCTGACGACACCAGTCTTGATAACCTCCTCGATGGGCGGGTTACGTTCCTTGGAAAGAAGCTTCCTGAACTTCGTGGTGGCCTGGATTTGGAGATCGATCTGGTCCGAGAAGACGCCAGCGCACATCTGCGGGAGGTCCTCGTTCAACTGCAGCAGAGAAGCAAGGTTAGCCAGTCAGTCAAGGTATGCGGTACATCCAAAGCGTGCGCGTGTATCTCATCTGCCAACAGATGAAGGGCAGCAACTACAGCCCGATAGTCGGTTGCCATGAAGAGCAGGGTTTCCCTTTGCTGGCGCAAACCCCGAGAGCCCGGTAGGAAGCTTTGGGGTTCGAATTTCGCAATAGGTTCACGAAAGGCGGTCGGAGGGGCGACCGCAAATGAGACCCGCAAACAAAACAACCGGGCTGAAGGGTGGCGAGGAAGGGGGAAGGAAGAGGGCAAAGGGAGACAGGAATAAGGAGCAACGAGAAGAAGAAGGGACTCGTAGCAGAGATAGACATACCTGGCTCTCGGTAGGAACGGTCTCATCGTCGCTGTCGGGGGCAGCACCGAGGGAGGCACCAGGTCGCGAATCGCCAGTGCCAATGCCTCGCCTCTTGGCCAGGTTCTCCTCACGCTTGGCCTTTCGGATCTCGACCTGTTGCTCTTCGCGGCGGCGACGCAGCTCCTCGGGCTTGAACGTGTTCTTGGCCTTGAACTGCGTGCGCCGATGCTCTGGGATGTAGCGTTCGGCCATGGTTGCGGTGGTGCTGGATGCGAATCTTTTTTTTCTCTGGTGCTCGACTTGAGGAGGAGATGAGGAGAGTTTGTTGTTGACTTTGCGGGCTGTTTTGGCGGCGAAAATTAAGTAAATAAATGGGACCCCGCTCTAAGCCAGTAAAGGATAGAAGGGAAAAGCCTGGATGGACAGGTTGCCTTTTTTGTTGGAGGAGATGAGTGGGATAAAGACGAGAAACAGATGCGGGAGTCTGTTCCTTGGTTCTTTAAGCAGGGAGAGAGAAGAGATTTGGTGGGATGGCAAAGAGAAGGTTATGGAGGAAGGGCGTGCAGTAGTTGGCTGCAGTACACTTTACGTACATATGATTTTTTGGACCTTTTTGGGGTTCGAGGGGTGAAGAAAGCAGGAGCAGGGAGAAGAATCGATTGGCGAAAAGGGAACAGAATGGGCGCTATGCTAGTGGGGGAGGGGCCATCCATGGCGCTTCTTTACAGGCAGTGCACGTTTGATGAGACCCCCGGAGTCATGCTCCTCCAGGGAGACAGTGACTGGACACTGTGTGGGGAAGGGCCTCTGTCCTTCGGCCTCTGCTTGTTACCACCGCTGTTTTTGGCTGGTTCGCATCATCCCAACTCCCAACATGTCCACACCAGAGCAAAAAGATATGGTAGTACGCACACAAGCTCGCCAAACAAGAACATCCAAGTAAAAAGGACGGACATGGCCGGAGTTGAGCCTGTTGAATAGTGAGAAACCCAGGTGTGAATGGTACTTGGGGTGCAGGGAGCACATCCTGCATTACAGGCAATAGAAGCATTCCGTCCTGCCTTAGGTAAAGCTGGAGGCAGTAGCAGGTAGGTAGGTAGCAATTCACCTTGACTATCCACGAGTTCCAGGGCTGTCAATGACCCCAATCCCGCTATTGTGCTGGTGAGCGCCCTGAGTCGAGTAGCGCCTTTCAGCTCTTCGAGTCTGCCAGCCCTTTCTCAACACAGTGCGCATTGACTCGAGATCTCGAGCGACGAGTCAAAATGACTCGATCTGCCTCCCTCTGTCCTCTGAAAGTTCAGTGCAGTGCATTGGATGACGGCCTCAGGCCATGCGACGGTCAAGCCTGAAACCCCGCCATGCATGCGCAAAAGAAAAGAGGATGGATGGTCCGTGCGCCGCCAACCCTCACATGCTACCGCGTCAAAGGTCTAGGGCGCAAAAGGCAAAGTAATAGGGGCCCTTGGTAGGCGCGCGTTACACCTGAAGCTATCGACGCGTCTCACAAGGCGGCTGCTTCCCACACCGTATCACGTACTGCCCAACCAGCATGAGAATTTGACAGAATTAAGACTGCTTCTCGAAGAAGGATGGTCGCATCCACACACGAACATCGCCATTGGGGATATACTCACCTCTCAAGCTGAGCAACACCAACCCGTCTGAAGCCGTACACGGCTTACAAGCAGCGGCCATGCCCTTAACGAAGCCCTCCGGCTCCGGCTCTGTGCCACCTTCATCGCAAAGGCTCAGGTCTGTCCCGGCCGGAGTTGTTGAGTTGAACGATATTTTCGATGGGAAGCTCTCCCGTGACCGCATAGTCAACGCTGTGGGCCTCGTCTCGGACGTACAGTCTCCCATCAAGACCAAGGGCACAGGTATGATGCAGTGCTCCGCCTTGATGGAGAACAGCTTCCTGACCAGAGCCCCTCGCTAACCATTGGTACAGACTACAAGATGACCCTTACTCTCTTTGATGCGTCTTGTCAACACAACGGGAGAGTCAAGTTTGTCATATTTCGCCCTTCTGAGGAAGAGATGCCTCAGATCGACAATGCAAACGATGTGGTTCTCATCGTCGCTGCCAAAGTAGGACTGTCAAGGATCGAGCCTCGTCTTAGAGCGCCCACTGACATGCACCCATAGGTCCAACACTACAACGGCGAGTACTCCCTGATTTGCAACCGCAGGACGGGCATTTTCGTGTACTCTGGGCCTCGCATCCCCAAGCCGCCCAACTCTGCCGAGCCCGCCCTCATCACCAGCGGCAACAAGCAGCCTTCCAGGGAACCCACTGTAGACGAGCACAACTATGTCTCTCGCCTCCTTCACCGCATTGATCCATCGTACATTCCCCTCCAGCACAGTCTCGAAGAGGCAAAGTCCAGGTCAAGGAACATCAAGTCCAAGTTCAGCACCTTGGCCGATGTGCGTGACATGACCTTCTGTGATCTCATCGTCCAGGTCGTCAGGGAGCCCTACCTCTATGGAGATAAAGCGACCCTTTGGGTGACAGATTACACCGAGAATCCTGCCTTCTACAGCTTCTCCTACAAGGGGGGCGAGCTCCTGGAGCGGGACGGTGACGAGTACGGCTATCTAGGTCACTTCTCCGTCGGCACCAAAAAGGAATGGACCGGCCCCTATGGCCAGAGGTCTATGCAGGTCACCTGCTTTGACTCCCACGCCAGCACAGTCGATCAGTCTGTGAAGGAGGGAAGCTGGCTCTCGCTGAGAAACGTCCACATCAAGTTCGGCAAGAATGGCAACAACCTCGAAGGGTTCCTGCGCGGCGACGAGAACGCATATGAGCAAAAGATTCAAGTGACAGTACTGAGATCGGAGGGAGACGCGGAAAACGTCAGCCCGCTGCTCAAGGACGCCGTACGCAGGAAACTCGAGTACGAGGTCACCAAGAAAGCACAGGTCCGCGCATTGAAAGAAGAATGCCAGGGCCAGGGCAGGAAGCGAAAGGCAGAGAACGAGCAGCCCACAAAGAAGGAAAATGCGAAATCACGCAGAAAAAAAGAACGGGATGCCAAATTCGCAGCCAAAGCCTGTACCACCAAGCCAAAGGAGCAGGAGACGGAAGAAACAGAGAGCCAAGAACCGCAGATCGACCTCAATGCCCACGGTGAGCCCCTTTGATACCAACATTCCTTTTCATGACGGAACCTCTCTCTAACAAACATACGCAGTGAGATGTGAGCACCACAAGCAACGGGCGTCACTCCTCTCCAGCGTCCTGAAACCCGTGTACCACGAGACCACGCTGGACGGCCAGGAGCACAAGCTCCGGCTCCCCTTCATCAACGCAAACTACCGAGCGCACGTCCGCGTCGTCGACTTCCTCCCGGACAGGCTGGAGAACTTTGCGGTCGGGCGCGTCCCGACCGAGTTCGACATGCTCTCCGACTGGGAGGGCGACTCCTCGTCCTCGGGCGGCTCGGACACGGAGGGCAGCCGCCGCCGGTCCCGCTCCAGGAGGATCTGGGAGTGGCGCTTCGCCCTGCGGCTGCAGGACGCGGCCCCAGTACCGGATGGCGACGACGGGCCACGGCCCGCCTCGCTGTGGGTCGTCGTCGACAACAGCGCGGCGCAGCTGCTCACGGGCCTCGACGCCAGCAACCTCCGCTACGACGAGCGGACCCTGGCGGCCCTGCGCGAGAAGATGTTCACGCTGTGGGGCGACCTCGAGGAGAAGAAGGCCGGGGCCCGCCAGAGGCAGGAGGCGGCCAGGAAGCGCAACGTCCTGCTGAGGCCGCCGCCCGTCGACGCGTCCTCGGACGTCGAGGCGTCGCCGCAAAGGAAAGCCAAGGAGATGGAGAAGGGCGGCCAGCCCGACGAAGAGGAGGGAGAAGATGACGACGCGGCGGTGCGCCCGATGAGCTCGCAGGCGCGGAATAAGGCGTTTACATGCTGCATCCAGCAGTACGGGGTCAAGGTCAAGGCCGAGAGTGAGCAGGAGGCGAATGTCGGCGACGGGAAGCACAAGTGGGAGAGGGTGTTTGGTCTGTTTGGTACCAAGATCGCGGGTTAATCCATGAAGATGTGGATAGAGACTTGTAATGGGCGTGGCATGATTAAAGGCTAGCTTCTTTATCGAGCAGCATAGCGTTGTGATTTCGATATACCCTCCAAATGTTTTCCAAGCCTAGACTTCATGTTAATCTTTAAACCTCTTCTTCCATCACACACGAGCAGAACTGAGACTACAGATTGTCAAGGAGAGAATCATCACGAGACCACTTTCATTGTGCCAAGAGAGTACGAGCATGTAATGTACGAAAACAACTTATACCCTTTCCCCCTACCCTCCCCAACTCCCGAGAATAAAGCCCTGCCTGCCTCTCGTTCCAACAAGACACCGACCGTCCAGCGCCCACAATATCGCCCAACCCCCTTTTGGTCAGCAGCGTGTGAACGTACGTATCTTCGAGCGAAGAAGTAAAAAAGAAGAAGCCCAGTACAAAAGATGGACGTGGAAGGGGGGGACCCCAAAAACAGGCATCGACCCGCTTGCCTGATATACAACCCCCGAATTCCCTCCCTTCCCTGCCTTCAATAAGAGAAAACAAAAGTCCCCAATTTAGTCCCCAATAACAGAGTCGTCATCCGCACCGCGGCCCTCCTCATCGCTGCTCTCCGGCTCCTCGACGCCAGGGTCATCAAGCAGCTCCCGCCTCCGCAGGTCCTCCTCCGTGCCCTCCTCGGCCTGCTCCTCCTCCTCCTCGCCAAAGGGGTCATTCAACCCCATGTCCTGGTCCTGGTCCTGGTCCTCGTCGTCCCCGCCCACGACAATCTCCTCGCTGACGGCCGTCTTGCGCTGCGCCTCGGCCGCGGGTCCCCCCGCAGGCCCCTTGGCCGCGGCCCTCCTCGCCGCCGCGGCCCTCGACTTCTTGGCCTTGCCCTCGGCCAGCTCGCGCAGCCTGCGCTCGTCGAGGTACGCCACGATCTCGCGGTAGTTGTTGCCGAGCCGGTTGTGGTTGCGCAGCATGCGCCGCCGCAGCTTGGCGTCGTCGCCGCCGACCATGCGCGCCAGGACGGCGAGCACGTACTTGGCGCTGAGCTCGCAGAGCGCCTTCTCGGCGCGCAGCTCGGCGGCGCGGCGCTCCTCGGCCGTGAGGCCGGCCTCGTCCTCGTCCTCCTCGCGGCCGTCCTCGTCGTCCGAGAGCTCGTCGTCGTCGAGCGGGTCCTCGTCCTCGGCCAGCTCGTTGAGCGTCTTCTTGGCGCGGCGCGCGTAGGCGCGCTCGGCGCCGTTGAAGATGGAGATGAGCTCGCCGACGAGCCCGGCGGGGATCTCGAGGACGAGGGCGCGCAGGGCGCGGTACCGGTCCGCGTTGACGACCTGGTGGTCGAGCTCGCGGCGGAGGGAGCCGAAGAGCACCGACAGGTCGCAGAGGGAGCCCGTGGCGAAGAGCCGCAGGTCGTCGTTGACGGCCCGTGAGGACAGGGTCTGGATGAGGTTGGTCTGGAGCTTCTTCTCGAGCACGACGAGGCGGTCCGTCTCCTCGTCGGGGATGGCGTCGCCGCTCGCGACGGCCTTGAGGATCGCGCGCATCTTCCACATAAAGTAGAACTGGCAGGCCTTGATGGCGTAGCCGGTTATCTCGTCCTCGACATTATCGAGGTCGTCGTCGGGCTGCTCAAACTTGCCGCGGTGCACGGTGCTAGCGAGCACGTCGATGGCGGATGAGTTAGAGTCGATCGACGAACCCTCGGCCTCGAGAATCTCGGTGCAGTCTGCCACGCTCGAGAGCTGGCTGATCTTGAGCAGGATCGTCGACAGCTCGTTTGCGGCAGCCAGGTCCAAGTTGCCCCGGACTGAGAGCTCGCAAATCTTGTCGAAATTCCTAAGCGAGTTGATCGCGTCCTCCCACAGGGTGTTAATCTTGGTGTCTGTGATCTCCTCGAGCTCCGCGTAGTGACGGGCGTGGAGGAGAGCAGCAGTCGCCTCGGTGATGACGTCCTTGTCGCCGTGTCGACTGAATTGTGTGCAAATCTCGTCTAGTAATCTCTCATACGTCGCGGAGTCTTGCCTCAGTTGCTGGAAGATGTCCAAGTCGAGCGAGTGCTCGAGACGCAGGACGATAGTAGCCGTGGTAGGGTCTGCGCCGAACTTGCTCAGGAGTTCTGGGATGGCGCTTGCCAGTCTCACACCCGGATTTTCAACCGCATCCTGGTCGTCTACGCGGCCTCCCTTTCGCCTGTGCTTCTCACTCTCAGCGCTGTGCGCCAGATTGACCTTGACAGCTGCTGCGAGAATCTCGAGAAGAATCGTCTCTTCGGGACCCGACGGTGCAACGGCCTTTTTGAAGCTTGCCTCTGCTGACTGTCCCTTAGACTTTGACCGAGACTTGGTGCTAACACTGTGGTCATAAAGGAGGTAACCGGCTAGAATCTCCCAGTTGTTGACCTCGTCAATCTTGTCGTACAGAACTTGGGATGCAAGAGAAACCCTGTTCTCCGGCAGACCCGAGCCCAAAAGATCGGTGGCGGCTTCGAGGCCCCTGACTGTTTCGTCGGGTTGCTCTTCTTCTAGCTGCGCCTCATATGCAGCCAGTATCTCGGCAAGACATTTGATGTTGATCCAGTCTCGCCGTGGAGAATCGTACGTCTCGTCGTCAATAGAAAGCTCCTGCACAGCTTCCTCACCACCAAGATCCTCAATCTTGCTCTCCACTGCATCGTCGACACACTCGGCAAAGAAGCCCACCACCGCCTTGCGCACGCGCAGTTCCGCATCGAAGATCAGTTTGCCAATGGCATCGAGCTCGTCCGGCTCAAGCATACCAGTAGCGCGCAGGTTTTCAATGACGGAGATGGCGTTCACCCGGACGCTGACATCGGCGTCCTTGGTGGCCATTTCGATCAGACGTGGCCTGAAGCGGTCGATGAAGTGACCGAGCTTTTGGGCATCTCGCTTGAACACTCTTGATAGTTGTTTCAGAACCTCCATACGTGTTGCTGAGACAATATCAGAGAGCATCCAGCCCAGGTAACGAAGGTACTGGGGCTCCATGAACACCGTGGGCAGAATCCAGATCCAATTGCCGAGGGCCTCGACACACTCAGTACGGATCTTGGGGTCGACATCGCGATACCGATGCACGAACACGACATCGAACAGCTCCTTGATCTGCTCACCACACAATTCCCGGTTCTGATTCGCGTCATCCAAGTTCTTTTGAATGGCAGCGAGCCTGTCCTTGCTCGATTTATCTTTCCTCTTGCCCTGACGACTCTTCTCGCCCTCGATTTGTTGGGTCAATTTGGTGATTCGCTCGTCTAAGATGCCGGCAACTTCGACCAGAGCATACTGCATTGACAATGCGACAGTAGTGGCGGTGTGGCGGAACGGCCGAAGGGTGGCCGATGACATGGATGCCACCCAACGCACAATGTTCTCCATCAGAGGAGGGTCGGTGTACAGCAAATCGGTCTCGTGGAAAACATTGATGAGAGATCGGAAGAAGCTGACAAGCAGATCGCGGAAGCCCTTGGCAGATTTATCCCGAGAGATCAGGGGGTACTCAGTGATTTGTTGCTAAGATGACGGGTTAGTATTGGAGATACAAACAACATAGATTGTCCAATTCAGAGTGCTTTACCTCTTCATAGAGACTTTGCAGTTCGGTCAGACGATTGTTACAATTGTCGGGATCATTGATATCATCTTCCGTTACCTGCTGGTCACAGCCAGCAGCGAGGAGCACACAATTGACCAGGTCGGTCACCGCCCCGGTATGGTCATTCTGGTATTTCGTGTACCATCGGCCAGCGACATCGTCGGCAGTGTCACCGGACCCGAAGACATCAGCTGCGCGGAATGACGCCCTGTCAGTACGAGTGCAAGGGTATCCAAAACCGCGGCGGGGTAGCATACCGTATAGTCCATCGCCTTCGCCAGCAACGGCAACGCGCGCCGGCTTCTTCGGCCTGCTGGGCAGCCGGGCAGCATGTGAGCCAGCGGGCGCTGAGCCGTTGATCTTTGGCTTCTTGAGCGCAGGCTTCTTGGTCTTTTTACCCTGCGCCGGCCGCTTCCGTTTGGATCGCGCGCCGTGTTCGTCTGCGTCCTCGTCGTCTTCGTCGGCCTCATCGTCGCTCACTTGACCGTCAGCATCAATCTCGTCATTCTCGAGATCTCCGTCGTCCTCATCGTGGTCGGCGCCACGCTTGCGCTTCGAGCTCGCGATAGCATCGGGGGCGAACTTCTGGGGCACCTTCACGACGCGTCCAGAGCGGCGGCGAGAGTCGGCATCTGGGCCTGGAGAGGCTGTCGCATTGTTGTCTGGACTGTCCATGAGTGGCAACCAGTCAGGTAGGATCGATTGACACGAGTTGGTAATGGAGGAGATCGAGGACGATGCGACGATATCTCCAGAGTGGTGGGTGGGTGGTAAATAACGGTCGCGTCCGCAGATTGGATGCGCGATTGGATTTCGGACGTGATTGGCAGTGCACTGTGGTGCGCCTAAGGCACCAAAAGCCCCGCGCTATTCAGATATGCACCTAAGCGATATCCCATTGCCTGCCAGGGTGTGATTGTTTCAAAGCCATCCACATGCATCTAACCGAGCATTGTTCGTTCGTCTCAATACTGTTCAATGAATGCCACATTGGCAATTGCTTCTCATATTGCTACTATTTCAGCTTCGCAAGCAATCTTGTAGATGTTCTTATTCTGCTCTTGTACATCTTGACATATTAAACCATGGTTGAGCAGACGCTCATGAACCAAGCTTCAGAGCAGCCAGTTGATTGTTAGCGCTCACATCACTCCCTATTGTCCCTCAACACGCAAATCCGTATCAGTTATCCATGCTAGAAATAAAGTCCATTGAAAACCAGATCTACAGCATAACGGCAGACTCGAGCTGTATGAAGACCAGTAATACCCTTCCGTACGCCATACGCTTCCCACAAGAGTAACCACTTTTACCTGGTTGACATGGGGAAATTCCTCGTGCTGAGCAACACCCCCTTGACCCGCCTAATGTTCTCCTTGGCCTGCTTGATCTCGTCATCCGGCTCATTGCGCCCGGCGCTGCCATAGAAAGAGTAGCTGGCCGTAGAGCCGTAGTCGGCGGTTAGGGCCGCCGTGGAGATCTTGTCGATCTCTCCTCTCAACTGGTCGACGAGCACCGTGACGTCGCCATAGTCCTCGCTCTGGCTAACGAAGCCCTCGCTCACAGTCTTCATGGACGCGACCAGCTCTGCCAGGCGTGCCGATTGTCTGGCCGTCGGCGACTGCGCTTCGCTGCTATCGGCGCCGGGGTAGAAGGGCTCCGGCGCGGGAGTGGCGGGCGGAGAAGTCTGGACGCCGATATCGCGGTGGAACAGCTCGGACGGGTCGTCGTAGCTGCTAGCTACGCTCCGGGTGGTGTCGTCATCCTCAGCTGTTCTGCCGACGCCAATTTGGAGTCTGTCAGCAGGAGCAAAAGAGGGCACCTCAGAGACAGTGCTTTCGAGTTTCTCGATGACTTTGGAGAGATTGTCGGCGGTAGTAGAGTGTAGATCAACACGGGCCTCTGTCAAGGCCTCGACCATGGGGGCCAGGATAACCTTGCTGGTACCGTAGACGAGGGTGGAGAGGCCGGCAAAGCCGTAGAGCGTGTTGAGGAAGCGGTCGACGGTAATAAGCGGTGGCGGCTTTGCAGGCTTGGTGAGGAACTCGGGGTAGGTGACAATAGGAGGGCGGTCTGATTTGGTTTCGGAGACTGGGTTTGATGGGGATGTCGGGGAATCTGTGCTGCGCGCAACTTGTGATGGCTTGTCTGTTCCTGAATCTGACTGTGCCTATAGAGTGAGTTAACACCATTGTTCATGTGCAACAGATATCTGCAGTAGTCCTGGGCTACCTTTGTTGCAGTCTCGCTGGACTCTTCCTCGGCCAGCAGCTGGCTGATGTGCGCCTCGTCGATTCCTTTACTCTTCAGGAATTCAACCTTCCTCTCTCTAGTCGCCTGTCGCACTTCGTCATCTTGCAGGAATTTCCTCGCCTGCTCGACGGTGCTCTGTTGGGTAGAAGCAGCCGATGCCGAGGTGGCAGAGTCCGGGGTAGCCTTCCCCAAGGAGGACGAGTCGGACATGGTAGACACGACGAGCGCAACGAAGGTCGCGTCCACCTCTGCACGGTCGAGAGTGTGCGAATAGCTCTTCGAGTATGCAGTTCCAAATAGAAGTGTCTCCCGTAGGGTGAGGATTCTTCAGGCTCTGCCAGGCGTGTGATTAGTTATGGGACGTATCAAATGACATCAAATGGAGGGAAGAGGGTGGATGTTGAAGCCGGCGTATGAAACGACCTCGGCATGGTGTTTGTAGTGGATCAGCAGCTAAAAGCATACTGGGCAAAAGCTGGGGTTGGACAGTGAGGAACCACATTTCAGGTGTGAGTCCAACTAAAACAGCCCTCGATGTACAAAGGTACCGCGGTACCTTAGCAGGGACCCCACACACCTGTCGAGCGTGCACCCCTGGTTGGTCCCGGCTTGCTGCTGTCGAACACGGCAAGGGGGAAAAATTGGCAGGCAGGGCTGACACCACAGAAGACAGCCAACGAGCTTGAGAGCAAGACGGACACAAGCAATTGAACGCGAGAGGAGCGAGGCATGCAAGCGCACCCGACACGGCGCGCAAAAAACGAGCAATCTCGAGAATAACTCGCCATAGAGCATCCTCGTGTCGGCGGACAAGCCACGGCGCCCAAAACGAGCCAAGAAAGCGCCACCAATACCCAATCGAGAAGAAGAAACTTGTCTTGAGTTCGGACAAAGCCACGCCAGTCTCAATTGTGAGTTGACACTTCCCGCTTCCTTTTTCCTCTCTATATTACCATCTGCACACAAGGCCTCAAAGGAATCCTTCCATGGATGCCAATTCTTACCCACTTATCTGAGTTTGGTTGGTTGCAACACCTCATCCTTCTGCAGGTCGCCTTCCGTCTTCCCTGCCTGCACTTTCACCACATGAAGATTGATTCAACACCAACACCCCAAGTAAAAGAACAGACTCGCACATTTTACTCTTTCATCTCATTCGTACCAATTTGCTTTATAAGGCTTTGTTCCACTCCCATCCCGTCCTCTTATCCATCGCGTCGGGAGGCTGCGCCACTTGCGCCAGGGTTCGGAGGCAACAGATTGTATGAGGCACGCAAGGAATCAAGCGAGTGCCTATCAAGATTTCCCCGTTCGACAGAGCTGCAAGGCGCCGCGCCGCTACTGGCCTGGCCTCTTGGTCTGGATCCCCTTCTCCGCCACCAATCTACGTACCAGCTCACACACGCACGCGGCTCCGTGGTTGGCGCAACTGGCCCTAAGAAATACCCGTTCATCCCGTTGTCATACTCATCAAAGCCACTCGTTGGGACGTCTCGAAAGCCTTGTAACCCCTCATAAACACCACTCACCACCCTTGCTCACCTAAGCAACCTCGCACCCCGTACCTCATCCCCGCCTCTGCTATTGACTGCCACACACCTTCACCCATCGCACAACCACCAGAGCCGCGATCATGGCATCGCGACCGCGTCGTTCCGCCGCTCAGCGGGCCACTGAGGCCATCACTGACATGGCCGACAGAGACAACGCCCTCATGTCTTCATCCAGGTCCCGCCGCTCAGCGGCAGACTCTCCCTCTGCAGACTCGCCACACATGCACCTCACCGTCAAGGTACCGGCGTCCAAGCTGCGCCAAGCCACCGGCCGTCAGGCCGCAGCCAGCAAGCGCGACCAGTATGGCGGCCGGCGCTCAGCGCGAGCCACTAAGAAGAGGTATGTAGAGTCTAGCGAGGACGAGGATGAGGAAGACGAAGAGGAGGAAGAAGAGGAAGAGGAAGAGGAGCAGGACGAGATTCGCGTCGGAGATGATGACGGTGAGGAGGACGAGGAGGACGAAGAGATGGATGATGCCGAAGGCGAAGAGGACGCCGACGGCGAGGTGGACGACATGGAAGTCGACGCCGAGGGTGAAGACGATGACGCCGCCGCCGATGCCGATGGCGACGTTGACATGGATGTCACCCCGGCTCCGGCCATCAAGATCACCAAGCCTTCAAGGAGTGCAGCCAGCAAATCCAAGGACACCCCCACCAAGGGCACCTCAAGAGCTGCGCCAAGAAACATCGTTGTCGCCGATGACGACGACGACGATGATGAGCTCAGCGAGCTCGAGAGCGATGTAGAGGAGGAGATTAATGACACTGTCCGAGTTGGCGGTGAAGAGGATGCCGAAGGCGAAGAAGACGAAGAGGAGGAAGAGGAAGAAGAGGAGGAGGTCGAAGAGGAGGACGACGACGTGGATGCCGAAGGCGAAGATGTCGAGGTGGAGGAGGAGGACGCCGAGGGCGAAGTGGAGGAGATCGATAGCGACGATGATGGCAGCCGAGCCGAAACTCCCGACCTGGCCAAGATGACCAAACGGCAAAGAGCCAGGTTCGAGGACGAACCCCAACAGTACATGAAGCTGTCCGATGGTAAGATGGTCCCCCTCGATACTTGTGCCTGGGCTGTTACTGACAAGCTATCTCTGCTGTAGAGGTCCAAGTCAAGAAGGTTTTCACTGCAGAGGAGCTGAGCATGAGGCGGGCAGAGATGGCTCGCCGCCGTCGCAACCTCAGCGAAAAGCGTAACGAAGAGGTCAAGGTAAGGCTCACAGACACACCTGGATAGCATTGAGCGAGCAGAGGACCTAACAATAACTTGCCTAGACCGAAACTATCAACAAGCTCCTCAAGCGCCAGGCTCCCAAGACCACCAAGAAGGGTGCTGGCCTGGCAGGCAATGAGACCCCCGATGTCGAGTCGACGAGGCCTGACCCGCTGTTTGTGCGCTGGATCAGCAGCAAGGAGGGCAGTCGTATCGCCGTCCCCGGGGAGATCCTCGAGGCTCCTATCGGAAGAGTATTTGTTCCTGGTGGCTCTGGACCCTTTGGAAGGAAGATGGTCGAGGAGGTATCATAGGATATTCCGGACTGGAATCGGTTGGGTCCGTCCTGCAGGGATCGGACGTGCGCGGAGTGCATTAGCTAGTCGGAGATTACAAACGCTGCACACAACGGTCTCTCTGGCGAGAAGGAAGCAAAGGTGTCGTTCAAGGACAGTGTTTTTTTGGTTTGGGGTGGTGTGCTGACAGACTTGCGAAAGGGTGTCGAAAAGGGCGATGGGCAGTGTACATTATCACGATATTTTCCACCATACCTAATCAAAGCAGCGTTGTGCCTTGTTCCCGCGAAACCAGTCGTCAGTGAAGCTTTAGCTTTCTAATTTCAACAAAGTCCTTGTCTTGCAGCGTTGACAAGCCTCGGCTGGCTTCTCTCTGTCGTGGACGTAAATCATAAACATGCTCCCTACCCGGGTTGCTCCCTGCTGCCTACCCAAGGCGGCACTACCAACTACTGCATATACCTGCATTTGATGATTTCCGGAGAACGACACCGGAGAACGACAGTGCCACATTGAAGCGATGGTGTCCATGGGATCGCTGTGGATCTTATATGTACTCATTCCTTCTCAAAAGGAGAAAGGAGGCCAGCGCCGCCCTGGTGAACATAAAAGCCCAGGCATCTGCTCAAACTCGATGCTGTTGAAGCACCCTCGGAAGAAAAATAAAAGCGCAAAGACACCTACTCGACACCACAAATCAGGACCTGTAGACCTGTAATATCCTATCTTTGGCAGAAAACTCGGTGACTTGAAGCCACCCACCTGCTCCTTTATCTCTGGTTGATATCTCCACACTGGCCATTCATCCATCCACCAGCATCTTCAGTCCCCTTGTCACCAGTCCGTCCCCCTCGGTCGGTGACGCCAGTCGCAACAAGTCACTTATCCAACTGGAAAAGAAAACAGTCCCTCTTTGGGGGTGGCCTCATTGGTCAGGACGCAATAAATTCGAACCCTCGCCTGATCCCTGCCTGTATCAACTTTCCTCTTTCGGTCTACCACCCATCACCACCACTCCTCGACTCTCTCTGGACTTTGCGTCGACTTCCACCACCCACGCAACCTTCGTCCAGCGGTAATCACGAACTCTGGATTCGATCTCCGGTAGACGCTTCATCTTCGGCCTGCCTCCATCCATCTCGTCGGTCGCAGTTCGAGACCGAGGTCTGGTGTGTTGGTAGTACTTCGCGGGTATCCGGGGGGAACATCAAGTCACGAGGACACCGTGACATCTGCAGAGCTTGCCCATCTTCAACTGTTGGGGACTTCCAGGTTGTAAGCGGATTTGAGCAATTTAGGCATCCTGATTCGATCAACTGACCTTGGACAACTCCCTCAGACCTGACTCACTTTACCTCTCACTTCGATCCTGACTTGACCTTCGCCTCTTCAACATCCCTTGACCTTCACCTCTCCAAACCTCCCTTGACCTTCACTTCAACACTCACGTCGACACTCACTTCGACACTCACCTCAACACTCACCTCGACACTCACGTCGACACTCACGTCGACACTCACCTCGACGACAGAAGCATCTCTTCTCTGTCCAGTGAAATTCGTCTCCCACCGCGCCATTTCTCTCGACATCGTCCATTAATTCGTGCGTCGTCGTCTTCTTCCCCCGACTGTACACCCACAAACTCTCAACTTCATCGTTGTACATCGCCGATATCTGTCATCATCGTGTACACGCACCGTCAGTATTCATCAGCATCGTTTCGTAACCAGAAGTCCAATCTTCGACGACAAGATTGCCAGAACTCACCATCACCAAACCATCATGACTTCTCAAACAACCCAACCCAAGGTGTGGCCTAATCTCCCACTCCCCCCTCTCCCTGAAGACCCCAAGCCAGGTCAAGCCGCCGCCACGACCGACAAGGACAACGGCGCTACCCAGCAGGCCCAGCCTGTTCAGCAGACTGCGCAGACTGCGCAGACCCAGCCCGCCCAGCCGGCGGCTGTGCCCCAGCATATCGAGACCCAGGCCGGCATGGCGGCTCCCAGCGCAGCCGAGCAGCCTAGGACTGTCCCTACAGAGTGGAACATGCAAATGACCCCCGACGAGGTCGCCGCAGTGTACGACCAGCACGTCCGGAAGACAGAGGGACAAAAGGATAAAGACTGGGAGAAGAAGCAACTCGAGAAAGAGTTGAGGATGCAGCAAATCGAGAGAGACATGGTCCAAAGCATTGACGTGTGGACCTCCACTCACGACGACGACGGCCAGTACATCGGCCCCCCTCGCGGCGCTGCTCCCGCCGCCGCCGCCGCCGACGCCGCGGCCAACAACCCCGAGGTCAATGTCGCTTCCACCTCAGGCGAGCCTGCTGCGGTCCCGGCTCCTGTCCTCTTGACCCCTCCGGGCCTGGTCAACGACCCGTCCGGCAGCTCTCAGGAGACGCTCGCGCCCCTGACTCCCGAGCAGCGCAAGCGCAAGGCCGACAACGCCCTGGAGAGCAGCGCCGCCAAGAGCCAGGCGATCGCCGGCCAGGACGACAAGCCGGCGCACGCCGCCAAGACTCTCGAGCCCTTGCCATCCGACCAGCTGGACAACGTCCCGGATGATGACCATCAGCCCGACCTCGGTGACTGGACCATGCCCACTGTCGAGGCTCCTGAATCAGCGCCCTTTGATTTCGGCGAGGAATACCAGGACTGGATGCATGGCGACTTCAGCGGCATCAACTTCGGTGACGATACGGCCAACGGCAGCGATTTTAACTTTGACCTCAGCTTTGCACCCAGCCTGGATGCCGAGGCTGGTGTTGTCAGCGCCGAGCCTTCTACTGCTGCCTCGAGCAGCAGCAGCCAAACTGCAGCTTCGATGGCCGCGCCCGTCGAGCAGGCCGGTGCTGCTTATGTCACGCCCGCGGAGCTTTCTGTCGTCAACTCTGCCCCTGACCAGCAGCCAGACCCGCTCCAGAAGGCTCTCGCAGACATCGAGAACCTCAAGGCCGAGCTGGCGACCGCCCAGAACGACGCCGCGGCGAAGAGCGGCTTCCTGGGCCTCATGAACCACGAGGTCGCCGGTTACAAGCAGCTCCTGGCCCAAAAGGACCACGAGATCCGCACCCTCGTGCAGGGGTCCCAGCAGAAGGACGCCGTGGTCCGCGAGCTGCAGAAGCAGGTCCAGTCCACGCAGGCCATCCGGGACTACAAGGAGCAGCTCGAGGGCAAGAAGGCCAACGACGTCCAGGAGGCGGTCGCCCACGTCTTCGGCAAGACCATCATGCCCTGGTGGAACCAGGCCTTCTTTCATCATAACCTCGTCGGCTTCCCCATCCGGTTCCTCGAGGGAAGCCCTAGACCCGAGGTCCACCGCCGGATCATGGGCATGGTCTGGGCGGCAGTCCAGAACGCTGCTCGCGACTTTGTGGAGCCCAAGGCGCAGCCCCAGGCGCAACCCCAGGCGCAACCCCAGGCGCAACCCCAGGCGCAACCCCAGGCGCAGCACCAGGCGCAGCACCAGGCTGCTGCCAGCCCTGCTACTCCTGGTGCTGTTCCCGTCGCCCATGCCGACGCCCCCCACAAGGCCCACAAGATGCCCAGTGACGAGGAGCTGCAGAGGATGCAGGAAGAGGTCCGCAAGGCCTGGAAGCGGCCCAGCCAGATAGCCGCCAACGCCGGCGCCCCCCCGGCCGGCATTACAAGCCCCGAGCAGCAGCCGCACACGCCCGCTGCGAACCGCGCGCCCGCCTCGGGCGGCAGCAAGTCGGTCGCGTCCTCGAGCAGCGGCAAGTCGACGGCGACGACCAAGCGCGCGCCGCGCAAGAGCAACCGCAAGAACTCGACGGCGCAAAGCGCCAAGTCCAACAGGTCCGGCGCCAAGTGCCCGGCGCAGGTCCGACCCGAGATCTACAAGGACATGGATAGCAACCAGTGCCTGAGGCTCATGACCGGACTGGCGGTTAACCTCCACGATCTCGATAGCCCGGCGGGTCAGGAGGCACCGCAGGAGCAGCAGCAGCAGTGTCCTCACGTCCCGGGGCAGCAGCAGGCCCAGCCCCAGGTGCCGGCCCAGATCCAGATCCAGCAGCAGCAGCTGAGCCCCGACACTCCGCTCACCATACACACAGACCTGCAGCAGTCGCTGATGAAGAATCTGAGCCCCGGCGTTCCGCTCAACCCGCACGTAGCTGCGCTTCAGGCGCGGCAGCAGCAGATGAACCCCGGCGTTCCGCTCAAGGTGCACGTAGCCCGGCCTCGGGTGCAGCAGCGACAGGAAATGCTGCAGAACATCTCCCAGGCCGTTCCTTATGTGACCATCCCGGGCCCCGAGGGCATGGTCACTATGACACAGGCGAACTATGTCCGTCTACTGGAACAGCGGCAGCAGATGGGCCTCACGATGGTTCAGCAACCGCAACTGCAACTGCAACCGCAGGCGATGCCAATGCCGGGCCAGCTCCAGCAGAACAGCAACGCTGCGCCCCGCGGCCAGGCGGCTGGAGGCTTCGCACAGCAGACCCCGCCGCAGACGCAGAATTAGGATGCGACGCAGTCCGTGCAAGGTCAGGTGCAGAGCGTGAACACGCCGGGTGGCCAGGAAGCGCAGTCGGAGGCGGAGTGCGATATCGACCCTTACCTGTTGCTTGAACAGTTGTACCCGACGAACCCCTTTCGTGCCCCCCATCCTTCCCACCCTGGTCCTGCGTCTGGAGGCCAGCAGCAGTGAAGAGAGGACTGTTCTTCTGAAGAGCAAATGGAGCGATAGAGGGGAGGAACAGAGAGACAGAGACGGATGGCGAGAGTGTGGTGGAGGAGAGATTTGTGTGGACATGGTTCCATAATGGCTGGTACTTCCTTGCTTATACTCATCATAACTGGCTTCGGATTTGTCGTCTCATCTCAAACAGGGAGATGAGCAGAACAAAGATGTCCGCAATAATAGATGGGACATGCATCTTTCCGATGGCTGGTAGATTTTACTATGCTGGATAGTTTAATCATCCAATAGGGAAATAAAAATTGACCTTGAGACGATTTGCCCGAACTCTGAATCATCGGCGGTGCCTACAATGCAATACACAGTCAACAATAAGTTCAATATGAAAGAGGACATCTGAATTCCTTACTCGCCCTTGTGTTCTCAATGGAAGCATGATTGTAAAGAATATCGCTGCTCAAAGTCCAAGGTCCAAGGTCTTTGAAGAATGACTCACAAATAAATATTGAACTTTACAGAATCCAAGTACTACCCATTGATCAAAGCAGAAGTGTGCTTCTTCTTAAGGCGTAACATATCGGACACTTTCCCTGTCCAAAATGAGATGTTTACATATCGGCCATCAACAATTTGGCGATGCAAACAATGAGGCCATACCTAGGTAGCAAACCAACAAAACACACCTGTCGGGCCAAGACCGCTTGATTTCCATGCCAGGAAAGGGGGGTGCGCTGAAAACGACACAGCATGCAGCATCGCTCCATTGCGGCGTCGAGGAGGGTGCCACCAAGAGCTGCAGCAGGCCGGGCATGTGAGCTCGTCGTGCAGTAGTCTGCCCTCCATCAGCGGCATTTGGGGAGAGAGAGCAAAAAAATAGATGGTGGTCCAAGGGTCAAGACGGTGTACGGAAGTATGGAGCTGTTTCCACTCCTGTCACACGACAACAATACGGGTGTCAATCTCCGCGGGGCAGGACAACAGGACAGGGCCTGGCACAACATACGCCAGAGGGGTGCGGAATTGAAAGGAAGCGGCAAGAGCACAGCTATTGATCTCAGTGCTGTGGAAACCTTGGAAGGGACGATTGATCCCTCGATACTACGAGGCCCCGACTTTACATGTACCTGTTCAGTTCGGGAAGGGCAGATGGACGCCGTGCCGGCTTCGGTGTGGCTAGCGCGCTCTTTCTCTCATCATTCGACCATTATAGGTTCCGGCCAGGACGCCGCTGTGCCTTTTCTATTCCATCATGGAAGTCAAGTACATGTAGTTCTACCACTTTCCTTGTGTGGTGGATGGGAGGTATCGTCCGAAAATACACTCTTTTTCCCTTCACGAGAGAACATGGGAGAGCAGAACTGTTTCGAGAAAGCTGTTTCGGTACTCTTGTCTGCAATGAGACCCTGTCTTGGCCGAGAAACAAGGATGCTGGGGGCACACACACACACACACACACACCATCCTTGAAGGTCGGATCTTTACCGTGACACTGCTCGAGACCCCTGTCCCCCAGTCCAGTCCTCCAGTCCTCCAGTCCTCCAGTCCTCCAAATCCCCAAGATGACATGTCAACCAACGAATCAGGAAAATCGAGCAAGAGCTGCACAGGCATCCAGCATAGGTGGGCAGCTATCCTGGATGGGCTGATCTCAACATGAAGCGCTGCCTGCCTTGACTGCCTTGACTGCCTCTTCTCCTGCTTCGCAAGGAAGGCACATGAATCTCTCTTGGACCAAGACTGACTGCCTCAAGGACAGGGAGGCACATACTTGCCTTAGGTAAGTGAGGTAGCAGTCCCTGCATTTACTCGAGGAATAATAGGTAGCCATCCTCTCCCTCTTGCTCTCTCCTGCCGCGGTGTGCGTGCGTGTGGATGCAGCTAGTGTATTAGACTTTAGCTCGCGGGCCATTCCTGTAAAACATGTGTATGTCAGCCTCTTTTCAACCATGACCCTCTTTTCAAAACTCTACTCTTAATCGTCTTTGCTCTCCATCCTCAGCTGTTCAGCCCTTAGACCGCCAGCTTTTTACCTTCTTGGGAGATATACCGTGCTGTGGGAACATTCATCTATTGCTAGGACGACGACCGAGGGCTGGCTTGTTCTCCTCTCACGGCGGCAAACCACGCAACCCGCTCCATGCTGCATGCCGACCATCAATCAGGCATTTGATGCGAGAGCGTCGAGACTGCATGTGCCCGAGTCAATGCGCTTCTGCTCGCTAAAAACGTGAGCACCTGCCCTCTTCTCGGCTCCAGCGCTCTTATAAGCTGGCTGGGGAGTGTCATCATCCCACCCAAACTGCGACCTCGCTTCTTAATACAAAAAGCCAAGGGCCTGCGGTCACGGCTGTGCCTTCACACCCCGCATTTTGCCTGGTTGTATTTATAAGAACGTCGCCCACAATCCTGGACCGGCGTGCTGCTCAAATTGGACCTTTTTCGTTCCCTTTCTCTTTCTGCGGTGGCGACCTGGGCCCCAGTCGGTAGTCTCTGTCGTCGCCAGAGGACGACGGCATAAGAGAACGAGGCATTGATCGAGACATGCCTACCATGCCGTTTTCTGATCTCTACAAATCCCCAAAGTCTCCTCTCGCCAAGCTGCGCCACGCACACCACCTGCCCCCAGATGATATCTCATCGCAGTCTCCCGATTACCATGTCGACCTCGTCAGCAGGGACAAGGCGAGGCAGAAGGAAGCGGTCAAGCGCTATCTAGCGGACAAGGTCCGGGACGACTGGAACTTCGTATGGCCCCCGGCTGGCACCAATGGGCATGATGCGACAGCCCAGAAAGCAACTGCGCCGGCCAACAAGGCCGCGGAGCAAGGCTCGTCCAGCTCCGACTCTATGAAGATCACACCGGCACCACCGCTGCCCGGGGAGGAGGGGCAGGCTCGAGACCTGGGAGGCGACGCAGACTCCGAGACGGGATCGGTCTACAGCACCGTCTCGGAGGACCCGCAGCACTACCGCCCGCGCCAGGAGTGGACGTCTGACCTGTCGGACGATGACGAGCCAGCCGCCACCGGGTCGCCCTTCCGCTTTGACAATCCCGAATCTGTCGGCGCTGCGGTACAGACCTCGGCCATGGCGCGCAAGGCGAGGAGGAGAAGGGAGGAGCGCGCCGAAATGGCCCATAATGAGGGCCTTGCTTGCTTCAGCGCCAGGCGGGATGCCTGGACCGGTGCCCGGACTGTGCACGTGAAACCCAAGCCAGCTCCTCCACCATCACCAACTTCGAAGCGTCGCAGCCTCTGGAGATTCAACTCACATACGAAGCACGAACAACCTGCGCCGGCGGCACAGGGTTCGACCGGCGCCCAGGCCAGCGCTACATCTCCCATTTCGCCCGTCACCTCCAACTCGCGCCACTCGCAGCAGTCCGTCCGCGATACCACGACCCCCCTCACGTCTGATGGCGATGACTCCCGCAAGTCGAAAGAGGGGAATGCGCCACCTGCCGTATCCTATCCCGTCGAGACGCTGCTGCCCATCCCACCACCCCTGCTGCCTCCCGAGAACCCCATGAGGGCGTCCATCTCCCCCAACATCTACGTGTCGCTCTATGACAAGGTCATTGTCCATTCGCTACAGCCCTCTTGCCCGATCAACCTCAGCGACATGCTCAAGTCGTGCGTAGCCGGGTGGAAGCGAGACGGGGAGTGGCCCCGGCGCTCGGTGGAGCTTACTAATGCCGCCGCCGCTGCTGCTCGGAAGAAGAAGAAGGAGGAACAGAGGGCGGCCGCCAACAAGGAGAGGAGGGGCAGCAACGCAGGAACAGGCGTGACGAGGACGATCAGCGGTGCGGGAGGATCTGGGTCGGGCGGTCGTAGGCTGAGTCTGACCGGCCTCCTGGGGCGAGTCAGCGGCGAGAAAGGCGCCGAGGAGAAAGACAAGGACAAGGTGAAGGCGCCGGACAAGAGCGGGGAGGCGGCGCCCGCCGATCATGACCCCGGGGCGCCCAGGAACATTAGGAGGAGCATCCAGCGCGCCCTGGGCCTGGGACACAATCACGGCGCCTCGGTTGGTTCCGTCGAGGGCTAGGAGCAGAGGTGGAAGAGGAGGTGGAAGAAGGCCGGGGCTGCCATCCGCAGCTGATGTCATGCGCGCCGCGATGCATCCTCTGAAGCGAGAGCTTCATACGAACGTTACGCGAGACGAGACGGCCTATTCATGGTTCCGGAGTCTTCTCTCTTTCATCGAGTTTGAGCATCTCTGTTTTGGGAGAATGGTTCTTCTGCATTTTTTCCCCCTGCTGTTAAAAGAGGAAGACAGCGTAGCACTTATACCTTATACCCCGAGCGTTGGATATAATTATCTTACATATGTAGCTTTGATCCGGCACACCCGAGTCACATATGGACATGTCTACCTACTATACCTAATCGAGAATGCACACGCGTGACGAGTGAATGATGAGCGAAGTCGGTGCAAAGCTGTTCGTCAAAAAATGGACCACGATCTATTGTGCTGGGCGTGTGCACCCCCCCACACTCAGCTGAGATAGAGTGGCATGCTTCCTGGTCGCCCAGCATGGTGTGATCCTGAGATATGACTACCATTCTTATCTCCAGGTATCTTGAGATCACTCCTCCCTGACAGATGACTAAGTAGGCAAATTTTCATTGCATCGTCTACAGATGTCTAACTCTAGAGGCAGAAAACGCCAGCCACGATAGCGATCTCGTCCCTGTGCTATCTGACCTAGAGGGCAGATCCACGCAGGGCTTCCGTTATGTCAGTAGTACGTAAGAGCACCTCTCGTACGCCTTGGCCTGCATGTATGCCTGAAACTTGACATGCTGGCCAATAGAGTCGGATCTTATTGTCATTGTTGTACGGAGTATCACCCGAACCCGCTGTGATTCGGGCGAAAGAAGCCAAGGATGAGAGCTCATCTTGAGAGTACGTTGCAGTCGCTCTTCAAGCCCCCGCTGGCCACGATGCCCACCATCAGCATGGGAACTCAGTTACAGATGTCTCAGGGCGTGTGTGGTCGTGTGGACGGGCTAGTGAATCCACGGAAACCTAGCGCCAGCCTCAGCACAAGTCGTGCTAAATTGGGCCTAAACCATTGGTTCCCTGTCTTGAGCCACACAAAAATCTCCCCGATCCAACCCAAACACACACTTGACTTGGCTGGCCCCGTCATGGCATCGTTCTGCGCCGCATCGGCCCAAAAGACCCTGGAGGCTGTCAGACTACCGGTGTTGGCGTCAATCGACGCCCCAAGATCCAAACCTGCTCTCCCTCCTGCATTTCGACTCTGTCTAGGGAGCCCGCCGTTTGCCTCTCGCCCACACCAGAACCATCCTTCTCCAAGGTCGCGGCGCGGCGCACGCATCATCTGACACACCACCACCGCATACCTACCTACAATAAAGAATAAAAGCCGTTCAAAATAACCCGACTAGCCCGCCTCCCGCGCGATCCCTCCTCTGATATCACCAGCACCGAAGCAGACCCGCCGCTAGCTGGCACCACGATCAGTCCGGCTAGCACCAGCACCAGCAGCCCTGGGTACCGGCACAGCTTGCTGCCCGGCCCTTCTTCGACTACTGCTGCTGCTGCTGAGACTACTGCCCTGCACACCGACGACAGAGGAGGGAGTGCCAGCACATCGACGCCCACGGTTCGCACCACCGCCCCCGCGCAAGAGCCTGCATCGGTACCGGCGGAGCAGGAGCAGTACGAGCTCGCAGACTACACAGAAGTCCGGCGCCGCAGGGACCGCGAGGAGCAGGACAGAGCAGAGGAGGTCAAGAGGGCCGAGAAGCGCCGCTGGCTCGACGAGCAGGACGACATGAAGTTCTCGCACAGCATCCAGTTCAATGCCGTTCCGGACTGGAGCAGTCATTACATCGCGTACAGCAACCTCAAAAAGCTGTATGTTTTGCCCACCGACCCGCCCTTGCAACAATTATTGCGCCGACCGGCCCAGCGAACACTTTTGCTCTTGCTACTTTGACTTTGTGCACTGACCATCCCTTGCGTGCAGGATATACCAGCTCGAAAAGGTCGTCCATCAGGCTGCTGGCACCGATGCCGAGTCAAGACCCCTCATCCAGACTGAAGACCCCGAGGCCGTCTTCATCAGGGCGCTCGACGTCGAACTCGAGAAGATCTCGTCCTTCTATGGAGTCAAGGAGCAGGAGCTCATCGACGACGTGAATGCGATCCTCAAGGACGTCGGCGTATTCGAGCTGGACAACGAGAATGGCGAGGGCGGCCGCTCTCCCTTCAACGACAACCAGAACAACCGCCACCGCCGGCAGAGCGTACAGAGCCGCCAGTCTACCGAAGATGGAGTAGAAGACGATAGTGACGACGACGGCGACGAGACCACGGGCCTCACGCGCAAGAGGAGGTGGAGCGGTGGAGGGGGTGCTGGCACCGGTGGCCCGCGGCGCAGGACGGTACACAACATCGGCGGGCCTGCGACGGATATGACGGCGTCTACCGAGATGACCAGGTCCTTCCGCCGGTACAGCGTGACCGTCGACGACTTTGACGACCAGGCCGTCCTGTTCTCGACGGGCATCATGCTCAAGAAGCGCATCATCAGCCTCTACGTGCAGCTCTGCGAGCTCAAGTCCTACGTCCAGCTGAACAAGACCGGCTTCCGCAAGGTCCTGAAAAAGTTCGACAAGATCATCGACAAGTCCCTGCGGCCCAAGTACATGGCCTCTTATGTCGAGACGGCCTATCCCTTCCGGCCCGAGAGCATGAAGACCATCGAGGAGAACATCTCCAAGATGGAGCAGGCCTACACGGCTATCGTCACCGATGGCGACGTCGAGGCGGCGAAGCGCGACCTGAGGTCACACCTCCGTGAGCACGTCGTCTGGGAGCGCAATACCGTCTGGCGAGACATGATCGGTCTCGAGCGCCGCGCCGAGGCGGCCAGTCTGGGACGAGCTTTGTTGGGAATAGAGAATGACCCGATCAAGACCAGACTGCAGGGCGACGACGAGCAACTTCCCTCTATGAAGGTGATCAGGACACCGTTGGGTCGCCTCAGTTGTCCGGTCTGGCTGGTCAGCCCTGGACTGCTCAACATCCTCATCATCCTTGCCGTCTTCCTCCTGCTCGTTCTCCTGCCCATCATGGACAGGCCCGAGGAGCAGAACTGCCTCGCCCTGCTGGTCTTTGTCAGTCTGCTGTGGGCGACGGAGGCGATCCCGCTGTTCGTCACGTCCCTCATGATCCCTTTCCTTGCCGTCCTGCTGCGAGTGTTCCGTTCGGAGGACGCGCCGCACAAGAGGCTGGACGCGAAGCCAGCTACTGCCTACGTCTTCGCGGCCATGTGGACGCCGGTGATCATGCTGCTGCTCGGCGGCTTCACGATCGCGGCGGCCCTGTCCAAGTGCACTATCGACAAGCGCATTGCCACCTTCGTCCTCAGCAAGGCGGGCACGCAGCCCAAGACCGTGCTGATTGCCAACATGCTCGTCGCTGCCTTTGCGAGCATGCTCATCAGCAACGTTGCCGCCCCTGTGCTGTGTTTCTCAATCATTGAGGTTAGCAGTCCTTTTTCTTCTCTCATGATAGCAAATGATGAATGCGATACTGACAATTTCAACAGCCGATGCTTCGTAACCTGCCCTCGGACTCCAACATGTCCAAGGCTGTTATCATGGGCATCGCCCTCGCCTCCAACATTGGCGGCATGCTCTCGCCCATCGCCTCTCCGCAGAACGTAGTCGCCATCGGCATCATGAAGCCCGAGCCGACCTGGCTGCAGTGGTTCTTCATCGTCATCCCCGTGGGCATCCTATCGCTAGTGCTGATCTGGATGCTGCTGCTCGTCACCTTCCAGCCGGGCCGGAACACGACCATCGTGCCGATCCGGGCCGTCAAGGAGAAGTTCACGGGCCTGCAGTGGTTCGTGTCGGTCGTGACCATCGCGACCATCGGCCTGTGGTGCGCGAGCAGCCAGCTCGAGGATGTCTTTGGCGACATGGGCGTCATCGCCATCATCCCGATCGTGCTGTTCTTCGGCATCGGCATCCTAACCAAGGAGGACTTCAACAACTTCCCCTGGACCATCATCATTCTCGCGGCGGGGGGCCTGTCGCTGGGCAAGGCGGTCAAGTCGTCGGGCCTGCTCAACACGGTGGCCACGGCCATCTCGCGGCAGGTCGAGGGCATGGGCCTGTACGTCGTGCTCATCGTCTTCTCGGCGCTGATCCTGGTCATCGCCACCTTTATCAGCCACACGGTCGCGGCCCTGATCCTGCTGCCGCTCGTGTACGACGTCGGCGCGGGCATGGAGGAGCCGCACCCCAACCTGCTGGTCATGGCGGGCGTGCTCATGTGCAGCGCCGCCATGGGCCTGCCCACGAGCGGCTTCCCCAACATGACGGCCATCATGAAGGAGGACCCCGCGGGCCAGAGGTACCTGCGCGTCAGGCACTTTATCAGCCGCGGCGTGCCGAGCAGCGCCCTTACGCTCGTCGTCGTTGTGACGGTCGGGTATGGGCTCATGAGGGTGTCGGGGATGTAAGAGACGGGTGGATGTCAGAAGGGAGAGGGGAGAGTGTTTTGGTGAATGGGTGGTGGTGGCGGTGGTGATGGGAGATGGGAGGTGGGAAGCAGGAGGTGATCGCCGAGAAGGAAGGAGAGCGATTTACGGTATGGGGTGGTCCAGATAGACAAGATGTGTTTCTTCCTTTTTTGTGTATACCAGCATGGCCAGGATATGGGAGGGAGCGAACTGGCGCCCTTCGGAGCATTCATTGTATTCCTAGAGAGACATCTGGCACTTGATTATGTCAAGTCGTCTACTACACGGAAGCGCAAATCCCATTGTTTAGCACCTTCACAGTTTATCAGTATGATTAGAATGGCAAGTAGCTCTGCAGAGGCGCTCATCGTCGGCGTAAAAAGCAAGTTCATGTGGTCTAATAAACAGAGTGTAAGTGCTGATGTCGGTACTTGCGTGCATAGATTACGGATATTTGGCTGGGAGCCGTTGATTGGGGATGGGATGGTGTGGGGCCGCCTCGGTGCAATGCGGTCATGCCTGGTCTTCACACACCCAAGCAAGCTCCATCGAGTTCAGACTGTCTACCATCCACACACGACCTCCCATATCACGTCTACCACAGCTCCTGCTTTTTGACCATAGCTTGAGGAACACTACAGCTTGCTCCCCATCTTGTTTGTGAACCATCGTATATAAGAGTCCGAAGTCCGTACCAACAGGCTGTCCCGACACTCCCTCCCACAACAAGCAGCCGAGGCGCCGGGCGGCCCTCATGCGCATGACCTTCTCCCCGTAACTGGCAGCGGTGCTCGGCCGGAGCTGGTGCAGCCGCGATGCTTTCCGCTTTCACCGCTCGACCCATCATCGAGCTCAAGCAGAGGGACAAGTCCAAGATAGAGTCCATCCTCACCTACGGCGACCGCGTCCTCGTCGGCCTCAACACCGGCACCCTCCGCGTCTACCGCCTCAACGAGCTCTCCACGACCCAGCAACCTGCTCCCTCCAGCAAGGCAGCCCTAGAGACCGCCATCAACGGCTCCTCCTCCTCCAACACTGCTGGGACCACACCCCCCACCTCCTCCAGTCTGCCCAAGAACGCAGCACGACAAGATGCTCCCTCCGCCGCCGCCGCCGCCGCCGCAGCGCCGCCACCTCCCCAGAGGCCGACCGACCTCCTCCGCGAGGTGGAGAAGTTCGCGCCCCGCGCCGTCGAGCAGCTCGCCGTCATCAAGGAGGCCAACACGCTCGTCTCGCTGTCCAACCACGCCGTGTCGCTGCACGACCTGCGCACCTTTGAGCCGCTCGAGGCGCCCCTCGCCCGCGCGGCCAAGGGCGCCGCCTGCTTCGCCGTCACGAGCAACATCGTGCGCGACGCCGACACGGGCGTGCCCGAGATCATCAGCCGGCTCGCCGTGGCCGTCAAGCGCCGCCTGCTGCTGTGGAGCTGGCACGAGAGCGAGCTCGGCGGGTCCTCCGGGGACGGGGACGGGCTCGAGGAGGTGGTGCTGCCCGAGTCGATCCGGTGTCTGACGTGGGCCAGCGCGAGGAAGATCGTCGTGGGCATGAACGGCGGGTATACCCTTGTTGACGTGTTGAGCGGGGAGATGGAGGATATCATGGGTGGTGGTGGTGCGCCTGGGGCCGGCGAGAGGGGAGGAGCGGCGGCTGCGGCCCAGGCGGCGGCGACGAGGTTCGGGGCGTACAGCGGCGCGGGCATGGGGTACATGGGGCTCGGGGGGTACATGCCCAAGCCGCTGGCCACGAAGCTCGCGGACGGGCAGATGCTCCTGGCCAAGGACATCAACACGCAGTTCATCACGGACGAGGGCCGGGCGATCGACAAGAGGCAGGTGCCCTGGCAGTCGGCGCCCGAGAGCATCGGCTACAGCTACCCGTACATCCTGGCGCTGCAGGCGCCGTCCAGGGGCTCCCTCGAGGTGCGCAACCCGGAGACGCTGAGCCTGCTGCAGACCATCTCGCTGCCCGGCGCCGCGCAGCTGCACTTCCCGCCGCCGACGGTCAGCCTCGCGCACGCCGGCAAGGGGTTCCACATCTCGTCGGACCGGTGCGTCTGGAAGATGGACGCCACCGACTACGACAGCCAGGTCGGCGAGCTGGTGGCGGGCGCCCGGTACGACGAGGCGATCAGCATCCTCGCCATGCTGGAGGGCGCGCTGCTCAGGGACAAGAGCACGACGCTGCGGGAGGTCAAGATGCTCAAGGCGGAGCTGCTGTTCCGGCAGAAGAAGTACTGGGACTCGATGGACCTGTTCAACGAGGACGACGTCCACGCGCCGCCCGAGAGGGTCCTGCGGTTCTTCCCGCGGATGATTGCCGGGGATCTCTCCGAGGAGCCAGAGAAGGAGGCGGCGAACGAAGAGGAAGGGGCTGAGGACGCTGGTGGGGCGGCGAATGGGAAGGCCAACGGGGACAGCAACAACAAGCCGAAGCCGGAACCCGTCGTAGATGCGGCCTCGCCGCCGAGGGACTACGTGGGCATCACCAAGATGCTCCTGGGTGGGGGGCGCGGCAGAGCCAACCCGGAGACGGCGTCCATCGCCTCTTCCAGGAAGGGGGCCGCCGCCGACGCGGACGACGCGGCCAGCGTCGCGAGGTCCAAGTCGGGCGACGAGGGCGCCCTGGAGGGCAAGGACCTCATGACCGCCGTCGAGGCGCTTAACAGCTACCTCGCCGGCACGCGGGCCCGGCTGCAGCGCGTCATCGACCCGTCGACGGGCCGGCTCAAGCCCAAGAAGGCGGAGAGCGGCGGCACGGAGGAGGCCTTCAACAGCCTGCTCGCGTCGACCTCGCACGTCGACGAGTCGGACGAGCAGCTCGAGAAGGAGCTGCAGCGCACGTTCAAGATCGTCGACACGGCCATGTTCCGCGCGCTCATGTTCTTCCGCCCGGCGCTGGCGGGCTCGCTGTTCCGCATCCCCAACTTCTGCGACCCGGAGGTCGTCAACGAGCGGCTGCTCGAGCACGACCGGTACACGGAGCTGGTCGACTTCTTCTACGGCAAGAGGCTGCACCGCTCGGCGCTCGAGCTGCTCCGGCGGTTCGGCGAGGGCGACCGGCCGGACGAGAGGGCGCCCGGGCTGCACGGGCCCGGCCGCACGGTCACGTACCTGCAGGCCCTGCCGCCGGAGCAGGTCGACCTCGTGCTCGAGTTCGCCGAGTGGGCGCTGCGCGCGGACCCGGACCTCGGCATGGAGGTCTTCGTCGCGGACCGCGACAACGCGGAGCGGCTGCCCCGGCAGCGCGTGCTGGACTTCCTGGCGCGCATCGACCCCGCGCTCGAGGTGCGGTACCTCGAGCACGTCGTCGGCGAGCTCGGGGACGACACGCCCGAGTTCCACAACCGGCTTGTCGAGGCGCTGGTGCGGGACCTGCGGGAGGGGCGGCGCCGCGGCGATGATGATGAGGATGGTGATGGTGATGACGGGGGCCGCCGGCGGCGGGAGAAGTGGGATGCGGCGATGGGGAGGTTGGTCCAGTTCCTGCGGGAGAGCCGGCAGTATAGTCTTAGTCGGGCTTTTGGTCTTGTACGGGGTGATGGTGAGTTCTTCAGTCTCTCTCTCTCTCTCTCTCTCTCTCTCTCTCTCTCTCGTCCCTGTTCTGGGTGTTCTGGTGCTACGGTATCATGACAAGGATTGGATATCTCAAGTTCCTTGCGTTTTGGTCTCTGTATACCGATGCTTTTGGATGGTATGGGAACTGACTTCTGTCGATCATACCAGATCCGGCTTTCTACGAGGCGCAAGCTATCGTGCTCAGCAACATGGGCCAGCACAAGCAGGCGTTGGAGATTTACGTGTTCAAGATGAAGGATTATGCGAAAGCAGAGGAGTAAGTTGGATTTTTATTTTCCCTTTTGATTTTTTGGGACGCTATCTCCTGGCTCTAACATAATGCCATCGTCACCAGGTACTGCAACCGGATTCACAAGGCCCAAGAGGCCGCAGAGCAAGTCTCGCCAGGCGAGGAGGCAGCTCAACAGACTACTCCTACTCCTGCTACTACGACTCCAGAGGACGCAGACGATGGCAGCAGCAACGGCGGCAGCAGCAGCCCGTCCATCTACACCACCCTCCTCTCGCTCTACCTCACGCCGCCGCAGCCGCACGAGCGCAACCTCGGGCCGGCGCTCGACCTCCTGTCCCGGCACGGCTCGCGGCTGCCCGCGTCGTCGACGCTCCGGCTCATCCCGGACTCGCTGCCCGTCGCCGAGCTCGAGTCGTACTTCCGGGGCCGCATGCGGCAGGCCAACAGCGTGGTCAACGAGACGCGCATCGTGCAGGGCCTGCGCAAGACCGAGGTCGTGGCGACGCAGGCGCTGCTGCTCCTGGGCGGCGGCAGCGGCGGCGGCGGCGGCGGCGGCAAGAACAGGCGCGTCGTCATCGGGGACGAGAGGGTGTGCGGGGTGTGCCACAAGAGGCTGGGCGGCCGGACGGTCGTGGCGGCGCTGCCGGACAACTCGGTTGTGCACTATGGCTGTCTGAATAGGGCGGCGGCGGCGATTGGGAACAGGCCGGATAGTGCTGGCGCGGCGGCGGCGGCGAGAGTGGGGAGCTGGGGTAGGACTCGGGGTTGAGGGTTTGTAGGAGTACTACCTATGCCGGGGGCCGAGGAGGAGGGATGAGGAGGGAGGAAGGTCTTGGGTTGTGTTCTTGATAAAAGTAGCGATACCCCTTCCAAGCATAAAGCATATCTTGTAGGACAGACGGCGCGCTGCTGGCGAAGATTTTGATATCTGAAGCTTTTTTTTGTCCTTTTCGGACTGGAGATGCCAGAGCTGTACGGGATGTGGTTTTTTGTAGTGTCTTGTTGTATCGGCCCGACGATCAATCCTCTTCCTCCTGGACTTCCTCGCCGTAGTTCTCCTCTTCCTTGGCGTCGTCGACAGCCGCCTTGCCCGAAGTGGCGGCGTCGCGGGCCTTGTCTTGCTCCATGCGCGCCGTGAGCTCCTGGTTCACGCGCTCCTGCACGGAGCTGATGCGCTCCTTCAGGTCGGCGAGGTACTTGGTCTTGTCGCCCACGCCCGTCGTCGCCGGCGCGGGCAGAGACTCGGTGACGGCGAAGGGCTCGTTGGCCGGGCTGGCGTAGGTTGCGGATAAGGTGAGGGGCTGCTGTTTGCCGTCGGCGGCGGCAGCTGTGTTTCCGTTTGTGGCGGCCATGATGTCTTTTCTTTTCAGGTTTAGATATCCAGGGTATTTAAAAGGTGAGGGAGTACCTGAGGGTGCTTGTTGGTACACAGGCAGTGAAGATTTGGAGATTGTTCTATTACAATAGGTAGGGCTATCTACGGAGTAAATTAGGTAGGCTCATGGCATTTCCCGGGCCCGCTTTTCTTTTCCCTCGCGCGTCCTCCACTCGCCTCCAGGTAGTTGAGACATGCGACGACTGCACATGTGAGTAACACGCTGCTCCAACTCCTTGAGCAACGCCGCCGACAATGCCGAATCCTTCCCTAGAGCCGGAAATACTCATTTCTCGTCTGTCCCATCGTCCCCGCCACCTCCTCAAAGCCATGATCACGGTCACCAGCCCGCCAAAATCTACAGATTCAAAGCTAGCTGACCGTGTCTGGACCGACCGTGGCTCGTCACTCGGCATCCTCGATCGTCTCCCGCCGGAAATCGTGTCAATTCTCCTTGGTATGCTCGATACCCAGTCAATTGCGCGTTTCGCTTGCCTTTCTTCCCGAGCCAACACGTTCGTTCGGTCGCAGCGTGCATATCGAGACCTGGCCACACTTGTTCCGCAGGTGCTTTTGGCCTTGGGCAGGGTAGGCCTGATCGGTCTTCATTCCGTCGCTGAACTGCACGCCGCTTTGCGAACGGAACGGTGCGCAACTTGCATCGAGTACGGCGCGTTTCTGTTCCTTCCGACCTGCGAGAGGTGCTGCTGGGAATGCCTCCGTTTAAATCCGTCATTACGGGTGCTTTCACGCAAGGAAGCTAAAAGATATTTTGGTCTCTCGGATCGGCATCTTCAACGGCTACCTACCCTTCGCGTTATTCCTGGCGACTACGGCATATCCGCCAACCCTGCACCGGAACATTGCGAGCTTATTAGCGTAAAGGCAGCGAGAGGTCTCGGACTCATAGTGCACGGGTCTGCGGGAAAACTAGCACAGGCCATGGCGAGGAGGTGCAAGTCCACAGGACTCTTCGTCACGGGTCGGTACCTCCAGGGCGGCTGGCCAGCGGTATCCCAAGATCAGGACCTGCTGCTGCTGCCTAGCCAGGGCAATATTCCGACGGATGACTTCTTTGGCATGGCTTCCATTCCGTTCCCTTCACTCTCAAAGTCAGGCAGGATCGAGGACGGTCTGTGGTGCCTAGGCTGTGAAGTCACCCTCCGCCGATACGATAGTCTACGCTTACCTCGAGATGTGCTCGCGGCCATTGTGCCTTCTAACTGTGGGCCACTGCGGGTGTTGCTCGGCTTGGAACGGCGGGCCCGATCGAAAGAGTCATTCTTAGACCACGTTAAGCACTGCTACGGCGCGCAGCAATTGATTCCTGAATTGGCGACAGGAAATGGTTGAGATTGGACAGTTTCAGCACGAAACTTGACATGAAACACAGGTTGCCCGACAACTAACTCCAGACAGCTGTTGCCTCCTCCTTGCCTACTCTGCCACATCAACTTGTCTAGCCTCCTTCCAGCCTCGTGCTTCTGCTTCTCCGACAGATATGCGGCTCAGTTCCTAGGATGACGACCCCGATACTCTGTTGTAGCCTTGCCTTCCTTTGGAAGGTGTTTGGGACAGTAGTTGCGCGATACCTTGACATGCAGGCCGAATACCTAACAAGCCCAACAGCAATACTCTGACCTCTATTGCACAAACAAGCAATGCCACTTGAGTTACCTAGGTATAACAAAGTGGTCAACAGGCCATCCTAGGAGTCTATAGTCTCGGATGAGACTATAGAGGTGGTTCCGTTTCGCCACAAAGTTGTGCTCGAATTCAAACGAGGAGTGTGAGTAGGAATGGTCTATATAGATATCAAACGATCATTCAGGTTTGTCCGAATTGGTAGAATACCTTGCTTGATTTACTCTGTAGAAAGGAGGAGGGTTCTCGTTGAAGCTGTCAAGCTTGATTTACTTGAAGAAAGCTACTTGAAGCACACTAGATCCCTAGCCTCCTGCTGAAGGCTATAACTTCTAGGAATACTGCCATCTAGATAAAGCGAGATAGTCAACAAGTTCAGTGTGATATGGTTGCGGAAAGATATCATCGGCATAGTTCCTCCAGTCACCATCTGCAATAGAGGACCGTTGAAAGAATTTGACGTATTCCCAATACTCTGGATACCAGCCAGCGTCTTCCCAATCCAGCAAGCCTACAATATTCCCATCACGGACAATGATGTTTCTTGGTGCAATGTCACTGTGTGTGAAAACAACACGATGGTCATCACGATTCCATCTCTCGACAAATGCTCGGTGGACCGGTATTGGGATCTCTGGCACTAGAGCATCGATCAGAAATTGGTTGAAGCCTCGTTCGTCTTGACAGGCCGGGGCGCTATGGGTGAAATAAAGTCGAGTGTCGCGGATCTGATTGCCCGCACAGTCCCCTATATAGCCCTCTGGAGGTGGGATAGAGCGCATGATGGTAAGTATTTCTCTTAATTGCTGGACGACAGCTCTTTTCTGGACTTCTGAGTACTCGGGCCATGCTTTGGTAAGCACTTGGCCTTCTATATAATCCATGGATATATGATGTTTCCCGTCCGGGGTTGTTTCGACCTGATGTACATGAGGGACTGGTAGGCCAGCTCGCTCGGCGACTCGTAATGCATCCGCTTCCTGGAGACAGATGCGTTTCCCCGACTTCTTAGCTATGTTGCCAGGATGAAGCGTGACTCTTCGTCCGTACAGCTTATGCAGAACAGTCGCACCTTGTCGCATTGTCAATCAGCCTGTGAACAACAAGACTGGGTTGTTTGAAGTGCACCCAGTCAATACACACCTTCTCCAAGCGGCTCGTCCTCAGGCTCTTCCTCGTCGGATGACCTGGCCCGGCCCAGCTCCTTTCTACGTCGCCTAAGCTTCTCTTTGAAAGGAATGGGGCTTGGGGAGCGGCGAGGTGGTGCTGGTTCATCAGCCATAGCAGCAATGATAGAAGGGCAGATGGACGCAATAGTATGAGGGCGAGACAAGGAATTTAGTCACCATAAGAAACGGAGAAACAAGCATTTTAATAAACGGCATGAAAGCCCGTTTCCCGTGATGTAAACGGTGCTAAAATAGGACAGGTGTTCCACTTTCCCCCCATTTCTGGTTTTCATTTACGGGCGACTCTTTTCGGCTGCCTAACAAACGTCAGGATTTCGGTCTTTTTGAGTTGCGTACGCGGATCGCTTTTGTGTCTGTGAGACGACTGAAAGCATACGCTCTTGAGCCGATAGATGACTTTGATGGGCAAAATCAAGACTGTCGGCACGAGTGTGGTTGATGACGAACGTTTTCGACTCACATCTCGGCCAGCCCGCCCCCTTTACAGCTACAAGCCTGCCCAGTAAGTTGCGAATAGACTACAGACAAGCTCCACTTAGAGCTGAAGTTAGTAGTCAAGCACGCGACCCTCAGACCTTGCCGCAACAAGGATACGGCCATTCTCTGGGCGGCAGCACACATGTGAATTAGACTCGGGGCAGCTTTTAGTACTCCGTACAGTGGGTTTGGACCGGTTCAGTTATCGCAGGGTCTGAGGGCTGACGTGTTTCGGACCCTGAGCTCCAAAATGTGGTGAGGCTTGGCGGGTCAATGGGAACCCGCTTTGCATCCCAAGTCAAAGAAACATCGAGAAAGAAGAAACAGAATCACTCTAGGTTTTGCTTAAAATAGATCTAAAAACAAAAATAGTTATCAGATGTGGTGATAGCGTCTAGGCAGACTGTCTCCGAACGGGCAGATATTTGTTGTCGTATGTCCCCTTCGCATACAACTGTCACTTGGTCAGTCCGTCTCCACTCTCCCCAGGCCCTGCTCAGACATGGTTCAGGACCTGCCCAGTAGAGACCTGGGTCGTCGACTGGATTTGTTTTAGGTAATTGATCCCTTGAAAAGGGTCATGTTTACCGATATTTAATGTAAGATATTTTTAGATATCATGCCTTGTCTAAAGGGCCCGTCTATCAGTCCAAGATTTTAAACCCGCGTTACGCTATTGCTAAGACACAAGTTGAAGTGACATAACGAAGACAATACCTGAGTTCCAGAGACACTATCACCTATTTTATTATGACATTATGAAGATCTAGTAGAGTGATAAGCATATCCTGTAAGCGCCCCGTCAAAATCAAGGGATTGTCTTCAAAGCCAGAGTCAAAGAACTCTGCCCGAGAATGACATGGTAAGACTTACGGTATTCTTTTGTCTCTCAATCAGTCAAGCTTCACTAAGTGACAACTGTCTACTTGTCTTGTTGCATCTAGACTAGCGTGATGGTTTGTGTAGGCATGCGATCAAGAATTGCCGTCACTCGACCCCTGAGGGTCCTTAGGACTTCAACGCTTATATCTGAATCGATTCGAAGACGGCCTGCTTCGTCCCGCAAATCTGCCTCGTAAGCCATAACATGGCTCACAGCACCAAATCCAACCCTTTGAAACTTGTCCGTGCCTGGCTTTCTCTGAACTTGAATAGCCCATACTCTGTCCCCGGTGCCTGGGGGACTGATCCCGATGGGCAAGAAATATCTTTGCAGTGACTCCTCCGCTGTTGCTCCTGTCCCTTCATCTAGGACACCATCGTAGAGATGCTGATAGCAGACTTTCTCATCGTTCCAGAAGGCTTCCACGTCCAGCTCCTCGAGGAGCACGTTCGCATCGGGGTGATCAGGGACGGATGAAAGGCGGCTTGCCCGCCCTAGTAGGTCCGGGCCCCTGTCAGGCTGGCATCTTGAAAGTCTTTCCAAAGTGCTTCGCACATTTCGAACAAGTTGGCGTGACTCAACCAGTGGTGCCTGCAGAACAATTTCTGCTCCAGATGGGAAGCCCATATGACGCGGCCCGCATGGTGTATAGTTTATTCCCTTCACGCAAACCGAGGCAAGGGTTGTAGTCAAATGACTCTTCCAACCTACGGGGTTTTCTCTGGATGCCCAGGTCCAAGAAGGGAAATTTGAATTCATCGACGGGAACACCGCGGTGAGCTCGGGAGATGGCAGATATTCGTAATTCCAGAGAAGGTCCAATAGCAGTGTCTTCTCCCAAAGGCCCAAGATATATCTGTCATTGACCCTCAGCTCTTCCATGCGCTTGGTCAAAGCAGACAGGGCCACCAGCTTATCAGTCTCAAAGCTGAGTCTCAAGCCTGAGTATTCGTGGACAGTTCTGTGCCAGAGCAACAAAGGTTCTCTTTCCAGTCTCCAATACGGCCACGAGGCATAACCCTGGGTGTCATAATACGCATCATCTGCTGCCCAATCCTCATCGTTCAGCCCACTCTCGCACCTCCTCTGGCTTGCGCATTCCCAGGTGACTTCCTCTGGGCCGAAGTGAAGAATGCGAGTTGATAAACGTAGTTCTTGATATACCCAGCCACGTGTTAAGAGTGGCCATTCTGGCATCTTTGAGTCGTGCATGGCCCAAATCGGAGGCCACCTTGGGGTTAACACGCGCACGTAAACACCACTATACCCAGAAACAGGTGCAGCAATAAACCTCGAATCCGTATCGGCGAAACATCCTCTCGAGCTGTTAGGAGATCTTGTCGCAGCGATGGTGATGAAGGCGTTCTCGTAGATATCAGCCATAACTGCCGCCTGTTGTTCCCAATCTTCCGCACTGTCTTGAATAATACACAGGGAATCGATCCAGAGGTATCGGATCCCCAACCGACGGCACACGCTTATCGCATCTTTGAAAGTTTGCGGGATATCCTTCCAAGGAACCTCTGATTGGAAACTCTGCAACGTTTGAGATGTCGTTCTCAGGGGATGCTTACTGCTTCCCCAGCAATGACTCAGACAAGCATACGAAGATGGTTGAATAGGTTCCCGAAGGATGACCTGGTTGTTTCCAAGATCCAAGAGACGTCGAGGTACAAGCCTTGGTAATCTCAGGTCAGTACCACACCGTTTATGGGAACCGGTGCATTCAGAGAGCCAAGATGCTATCGTTCGAAAAGTTGCATCAGATGATGTGCGGCCAGGAAGGCGCCCTCCGGTGTGGACTGGAAAAGGGCAGCTGGTAGCATCTACATCGATGTAAACAATACGATGCTGCAACGCAATAGTTTGATGACAGGATTTTTGCTCACAATTCTCCTTGAAGATGGCCAATTCAATCTCCTCTTGGTGATATCTAATCTCTATGCCCTCGGAGGCAAGTCTGAAATCTCTGACCTGATTGATAGCCAGTGAACTTTTGGAACAGAACGCGGCGATCACTTGCTTAATGAAGAAACAGGAGGGGCAACCCCTGCTCGCGCGTTCCATGAGGTTGTCAACTGATTGACGGGCGAGGAAAGCCAATGACCTGGCGCATTCCTTGTCCTCGCAAAACGGCATAACATTGGTGGCGCCAGGACTTCGACGAGCCTGCACGTTGTCTAGGATTTGTTGCCATGTTAGAAATGGGGAAGAGGAACGCAAGTGAGGGGTATAGCATATCAGGTCATCTGTGGCAATGCTTCAACAAGATCGCTGACGCTTGCAATTCAGGGGACCAGACCGCCGGACCGTTTTGGGCCAACTAGCCAACCCCGCATGTGTTCTTTGTTAGACCGGAGCTTGAATTGAATTTACCTTCTTCCCGCTCCCTCAGCTCGTATCTGCCCAGGTGTGCGTCTGACCTACATGCGACCAACTTCCGACTTCTTGATTCAGCCGCCTTTTCCCCAATAGAAAAAGGCGTATAAGAAGATCCTATAACAGGCCCTCCCCGCCCAAAACCTGTTCGCAGACAGACGAAACACGCGTCCGATCGACAAACCCCAGCCAGCCAGCCTATCCACAAACAGCCTTATTTGACCACCCCCGGCCAAGATGTAACAGACCCCTAATAAGCCCAAGAGAGATGCAGCCAGCACGAAACCAGGCCCGAGCACCGGGCAGCTTCGCGCCCCTGCCGCCCATCAGCAGCAGCAGCACCAGCAGCAGCAATCATGCCTCCAACATAGACCTCCCGTCGTCATCGCGACCGCGCCCGCACCGAGTAGCATCAGCCTCGAGCGACGAATCCTTTGCCCCGCCGGCCCTGAACCTCTCCAAGGCGCGCAGCTCGCCCCAGCCGCCCTACGGCTTCACGCAGCAGGCCAATTCCAGCACCCCCAGCCTGCAGAACTTCTCGCGCCCGACCCTCCTCCCGTCCAACTCCAACACAGCCGCCGCCGCCGCCGCCGCAGCCAGGGCCGGGGCCGGGGGCAGCAGCAGCGGGTCGAGGTCCGGGTCGCCACTCACACTGCCCGAGGGCCGCATCAGGGCGCACTCTAGGAAACACTCCCAGACGGCCGGGCTGTTCGACTCGACGCTGCCCTCGACGAGCGTCAGCAACCTGTCGCAGATCGGCATGGCCGCGCAAGGAGGGCCCTCGGTGCACCAGCACCGCGAGCTGAGCGCGAGCCAGATCGCCGCGCAGGCCGCCGTCATGCACCACCAGAACCAGCAGCAACATCAGCAACCACACCTCCAGCATCAGCAGCAGCATCAGCAGCAGCAACACGCTCGCCAGCGGTCACAGACGGTCCCGGTTCCTGGAGAGCCGTACGACAACCTACCGCCGACGAACAAGAGGGGAAGCGGAGGGCCGCTAAGCCCGCCGATGCTGAGCCTGACGGAGGCGAGCGCGCCGAGGGATCATGGGTTCGGAAATCCGGGATATCACAATGGGTTGTTGGGGAACCAGAAGACGGCAGCGCAGGCGGCTGCCAGCGTCGCGTTCCCTAGGTCGGGACAGTCGTCCCCTGGCTTACCGTCGCAAATACAGATACCCACACCGCCGCCGCCCCCTCCGCCGTTACCAGAGAGGAAGCCCGAGAAGTCAAAGGTGAAGCTGTTCTCGAGGCCGGGCAAGATCGGCACAAAGGGCGAGCCCAAGGAGAAGCCCTTGCCGAGTCCCAGCAAGATCGGGTCTGCTCTGGCTTCTCTCCAGCGCGGCAACTTTAGCACCACGAGCTTGGACTCGTCCTCGCAGTCATTCTATAGCCTGGGCAATTCATCGTCGGCCACCATCAGAGCAGTCGACACGCCGCCCGCCGAAGGCAAAGAGAAGGAGAAGAAGCACCACTTTCTGTCGAGGCAGAAGCACAAGCTCAAGGACAAGGACGAGTTCCACCTCCCGCTGTCGTCTGCCTCGAGCAATTCACGGCCTACGGATCCCAATGCGCCGAGCAGCTTATACAACTTCAACCTACCGCCGAGCCCAGGTCCGAGTACGACGTTCAAGAGCGTGAGTGGCCTGGACTTGCGGCACGGTGGACGGGCACTGCGGGAGCAAAAGGAGAAGGCCAAGGCTGCGGAGTCCACAACGACTTTGCAGTCCGACTTTGGCCCCAGCAGCTTGACCTCCAGCTCCGGACCGTCCACGGTATTCTTGAGTGACTCTCTCGACTCTAGCAAGACGGGGCTCAGTAACATGAGTATGGACGATGCCTGGCCTTTCCTCAAGGCCAAGCTGCTCGTAGTCTTCCAAGGCGAGGACTTGCGGCTCCCAGTGGAGGACTTCAACAGGGTTGTCATGGTACACATACAGTATTGCATCCAGCGCCGGTCACCAAACATCATTATCGACGATCTTCGCGAGCTGCTCAGCACCGGGTTCTCCTCCCTTGACCTGGCACTTCGCAAGACACCGGAAGACAAGCTCATCCCGGGCCTTGTCGAGTTGTGGGTATTTACTTTTACGAGCATCCTGCCCTACATGCAGGCCGTCTTCCTGCCTCTGGACCTCGAGTTCCAGGGTGCGGGCCCGCTGCTCCCGGGCGACAAGGCCCGTGATTTCTGGGGAGGCGTCATCGCGCCCTCTGTGGCGGACCCCGCTAGACCGTTCGCCAATATTGCCCCCGTGGCAGCCATCCTCGACGTCCGGCGTCTCGTCCTGACGGCCTACAGGGACACGGTCATCATGCCGCGCTACGAGAAGCTCAAGACCATGTTCTCCCGCCTCTCCCTCGAGTTCCTGCCCGGGTCCGGGTACTTCTCCGCCGGCGCTCCCGGCGGCAGCGGTGTGGGCAGCGCAGCAGCAGGAGGAGCGCCCCTCGCGGCGTCTCCCATCCCGATACAGTCGCAGCAGGACCTGTTCTCGGCGGCCGCTGCCGCGCACCAGTTCGGCACGAGCCCGTCGGGCGACTCGACGGGCTCGTACCCGCTCCGGCCGGGCACGGCCATGAGCCTGGACCCGAGCGTCGCGAGCTACAACTCGACGAGCACGACGCTGCTGGGCGACGGCGGGTCGGCGGGCGGGGGCGGGGGCGGCAGCCGGGCCATCAGCAACGTGTCCTTTGGCAGCAGCGGGGCCAGCGACCCGCGGCCGTTCACGCCGGGCGGCGGCGTGGGGCTGCCGCAGCAGCAGCAGGGCTCCTTCGCGGGGACGACGGGGACGACGCTGCGGGAGCTGCAGAACGTGGACGACGGGAAAGCCGTCACGGACATGGTGGGCCGGATGCTGCAGTGCATGAGCGTGCTGGCGAGCGTCGGGGTCGCGGGCAGCGGGGGCGGCGACGAGGGCACGCGGGCGGTCGAGGAGCTGAGCCGGCTGCTCAAGCTGAACTGGCTCGGGAGGGGCAGGACGGGGCGGAACAGGAGGGGCATCGTGGGCGGGAGGGTGCGGCGGGTCGGGGCGGAGCAGCCGCCCGTCAGGGAGGAGGTGAGCGTTGTTTAGACGTGCCTTTAGCAGCAGCAGAGGAGAGGAGAGGAGAGGAGAGGAGAGGGAGGCAGGCAGGGAGGGACGGTATGGGTTCGGTTCTTGTCACTGTGCCATCACTGCTTTTTTGGGAGGGAGACCAGGGTGGTTTGGGCCTTGATTATGGCCGGCGTTTCTAGGGGTTAGTGAAGATGTGTGAACACACACACACACTCAGATAGATGCACACACGATACACAATGAGAATGCATGATTCAAAAACAAGAAAGCAAAAAACATCTTGAGTTTCGATTGCGGCAGCTGTGGAACTATGGAAACTGAAGCTTGCCGATGCTAGTCGGACGGACTGTTTGAAGGGCATATCTGCAAGTGCATGGTTAGCTTTGAGAACCCTGCATGGCAAGAGGAGGAGATTGTGACCCCGTGAGCAGAAGCGTCTCCCTCTCAAACAAAGCATATGCACCAGACTGTGATCAGACAAGAATTACTGGCAAGTAACAGGTCGCTCCTGTCGAAGACGACCCGAACAGACGAAATTTCTTCATGGTCGATTCAGTTGGGAAAAGAAGACATTTATAGATGTTGTCATCATGAAAAGAATGGCGATATGCTTTGCTGCCGAGAGGGAAGGGGAGAGAGAAATGCGTTTGAGGCGACGAGAGAGATGGTGTGGGAACTGACCTGTTTGGACATGCACCTGGCGGCAGCACATGAACCTGGTTGGTTTAGTAGAAAGCCCTTCTCGCCTGTTCTTTCGTCTCCTACTGCATGTGTCCATCAACATAACATGGACCCCGAGGAGAAGTGCCTTGGGCTGCAGAGGATGCTGAAGAAAGAGGAGGGCAAGGTGGTGATGGAGAGAGACGCAGAAAAATTTATAGCTCTGGGCTCCCGGATAAGATAAACGAATTCAGAGCTTTGCTTGCTTGAGCTTTTTGGCACCCCTGCGACCTAATCCCCCCACGGATGCAGTCACGTGACAGTGCCTTTTTTGAATAAGTCTTCCTGGAAGGTACAGTTCATAGCGCGACCCAGGATAGGATCAGAAGAGAACAGTCAATTGCAAAAGACAATCATGAGGAGGAATTACTGATTCAGAAGCAAGAGTAGCCAGTTCGCTACGGGAAATATCCCCGATACCCGACGGGACTGAAGATCTGTATGTGCTTGTAATTGCCTCCATAATCCATTTCGATCCCCTTTGTATCGCAATAGCGAGTACCCTGGATCACACGCTAGGGAAAAGTGGGGTTCGGATCGGGATCAACTGTTGTTCCAGCTCCTTGATTGGCCTCGTGTCTGACAGTGTGGGCCCTCTCGGTACTTGATAATCGCACTTGCTCCGATACCCGCGACAGATATCGTTGTATCCGCCAATTCAGGCCTCTTTCCCAGCCATCCTCTCCCTCGATGGATCGATCAGCTTGGCCTGGCATATGCGGCGAGCAAAAGAGCGCGGCCGCTCAGTTGTAACGGCCCCCGAAAAGACTATTCTGTAGAGGGAGTTTCGTGCTGTAATCGGTGTGAGGTGATTCCCCGGGCCTCCCCATCCACATCCACAGTCAGAGACTTTGCCCGCTCTTCTCTCCTGTCCTCCATTTTCTCGCCTTCTCTCCCTCTCTCCTCTCGTCTCTCTCGCCGCTGCCACACTGACTGAGAGTCTATCTATCCCGTGCTTCCCTCGCCTTCTTCCTCCATCCTCCTCCTCCTCTTCCCCCCCCCCTTCAACATTTCCTCCCACCCCAGAAACATTTTACTCGAGGGGATTTCTGCTTTGTCGCATATTTCTCCCCCTCTTCTCTTTGCCCTCCCCATGAAGTTGCAATATTTATAGCAGTGCCGCGACACTGGCTGAGCTATCTTATATATCAGCACTCTCATATACGACAAGCCTGGAAACAAGAGTGATCGGCGGCGCGGGCTCCTCTCCACTACAAAAACTACCTACCTACTTTGCCTGCCTACCTAAAGTGCAGAGGTAGCGTCCTAAAAAGCCACGGCCCACCTTTTGCGGTGGACAGCATTGGGAGTCCCGTACACTTCGCTCTTCTCACCCCAGCCCAGCCAGCCCAGCCCGCCCAGCCCAGTCCTGGCGGAAATCTGTGACCAGCCGCGATATCTCACCTGCCTTAACCTTCCCGCCTGTCACCCTCAAACTTCCCACCACCGGGACAGTATCTGACTCCTACTCGCCTCCTGGCCCGCACCGTACAATCCATTCAATCGGGCTCTCTCCTCACTACTTTCTTTTTCCTCCTCTCTCCTCCCTCTGTCCTACCCTTCGCGCGCCGAGGCTCTCTCTCTCCACCCGCGCCCAGCCCAAGCACGCCGCCGAGCCAAAAAAAGGACCCCAGTCTGGTGTACGACACGTCGGCAAACGCTCATCACGGATCCCGTTTCGCTCACCCAAAATCGCATCACCATCGCGGCCATTCCCTGGCGTTTCCATTCTTTTGGTCGCATCTACGAATTGAGGCATTCTTCTCATCCGCTCGCTTCCCCCTGGCCTCTCTCCTCTTGGACCTTCGGCGTTGTGTCGCGAACCTTGGCCTTATTCCGCCAAAGCGATCGTTGATCGTGTTGATCCGCTCTCCCGACGATTGTGCTTGGTCTCGACACATCGTCCATCTCGCCAAACCGTCCGAGGCGCGACTCCCGTCGAGGCTCTCCCAGAACGAGTCGGTCGCGCATTCATATCTCGATACAACATCGGCTGTGGCACTGGTCCCAAGAGTAGCGCGCCGTTGAATAGGCCCCGTTTCAAGGTTTGGCGTCGCATGCGACAGGATTGGAGCCGGCCGAGTCGATATCCACGCCGTGGATAGTCGACCTCTCGAGAAATGATGGCGAGCATGGGCCCTTCGTTCTCACCGCATCCCGGCGCCATGCAACAGCACCCAGGTGTACCACCTGGCCATCCCGGAATGGCTCCCGGCATGGCTCACAACCCAAGCCAGCCCGGCGCGCAGCCCGGCGGCATGCCGCAGCATCTAGGTCATGTGGGAGTGTCGGGTCCGGGTCCTCAGGTTAATCCTGCCCAAATGATGGGGGGCTTGCCTCCTGGTGCAGGTCCAAATGCTCACGCAGCTATGCAGCACTTGAATCCTCAACAAGCCCAGATGTTCCAGCAACACCAGATGAACCCTATGGCCTGTAAGCCTTCCCCTCCAACCGCGCCTCGCGCGTCCTTGATTTGCGAGCTCCGCGATACTGACGCGTTCCGTGGACAGTTGCAAACAACCCGGCGTACCAGCAGCAGCTACAGCAACAGCGGTTTCAGCAGATACAGCAGCAACAACAGGCTAGGCAAATGCTCATAGCCTCACAGGGTGGCATGTATGCGGGAGGTATGCCCATGGGCGTACCTCCAATGAATTCTCAGCAGGCCGCTCAGCTCCAGGCTATGCGCAGGATGAACCCTGTAAGTGATCACCCTCTTCGTTTGCTACAACTCCATCATTCTCATCACCACCAACAGCAAGGCCAACATCCCCATGCCCAAGTAAGACTCGTTTGCGACCGGGACAGGATCACAATGGATACTGACATTCTCTCTCTTCATAGATGCTGGCTCAGCAACTAGCTCTGCAGCAACAGCAGATTGCGGCCAACAACCAGCTCGCTCAAGGCCAGAACCCGGGCCAACCTGGACAGATGTCTCAGATGCAACAGCAAGCGCAGATTGCCGCTGCGATGCAAGCACAGCAACACCAACAAGCCGCCGCCGCTGCAGCAGCGCAACAGCAGCAGCAACAGCAGCAACAGCAGCAGCAACAGCAACAGCAGCAACAGCAAGCCCAACAGCAGCAGCAAACCCCGCAGGGACCGCAGCCACAAGGCCAACCAGGGCCGCCCCAACCACAAACACCGCAGCAACCAGGCCAGCCCGGTCCGGGACCCAATCAGCAAACGCCAGGTCAGAACCAGGCTCAAAATGGACCGCCCAACCAGCCGCAACCTGGCCAGCAGCAGACCCCTCAACAGATCCCACCACAGCAGAATGCCATGGCGATTCAACACGCGCAGCAAGCCGCCGTCGCAAATAGTTTGCTACAGCAGCAGAAGCGCATGGGAATGAAGGGGCAGTGCTTGCTCAGGTTGATGCAGTTTAGCGAGCATCTGAGCGGATTCCCCGTGAGTGTGCCAGCCGCAGGACCGTTGGCACAAGTATACCAGTGCTAATACTCTCGACTTTTAGGGATCTCGAGGCAAAGATGACATCTCCTACTGGATGGACTTTGTTCATCAATTCTTCTCGCAACGGGGTGTCTTCCGCCTTGCCATGCATGTCATGGATGGCGAGGAGGGAAACGACAAGCAATACGAAATCTCGTTCGCGGCGCTCCCTCGCTATTTCCATACGAACTTCGACAGTGGCGTCAAGAACATGCAATTAATCATGGATAAGGGGACAGTGGACAAGCCACTGCCTGGGGACTGCCACTATATCGAGAACGGGAAGGCCAGTATAGTCTATTGGTTCGAAGGTGGCTCCCACGTAAGTATCTCGCGTGTTTCGGCTGTCAGGAGTACAATGGGTCTAACATGGAGAAATCAGGTCGTTGCGAATGGCGTCCTCCGTGCGCAGTTTGACGCTGAGCAGAAGATTGAGCAGCTTGAATTTGTGTGCACAGGACATGAAGAATACATCTCGCGGAGGCTGGTCATCCAGGCAGCCAAGCCCGCACACAATTGGGTCAAGGAATGGCACAAGGTCAACTCTGTGGATGGCAAGCAGTCGCCCGAGATGAGCAAGAAGGGCAAGGCCAAGACGCTCAAGTCGCCCCAGAACGCCCCGCCTGATCTAGACCTCCCTCAGTCGGCTGTGAAGCAAAGCGTCGGAGTCACCGAAGCTGTGAACCAGTTTCTTGAGGTGAGCTTGGCCTCCAACGTGTTCTCGTTGTCAAGCTCAAACTAATGTAAATGCGTTTTTCTAGATTGTGGAGATCATCGGCCAGATGAATCCTCTCTTCAACTTCTGCCATGCCCATCCGGGCATGGCGCCGTATAGTGCCCTTGACCAGTATGTTAACAACATCAACGCCATGACGCAGAACATGAACGGTCAGGCCATGCCTCCAGGGGGCCCGCGCACGCCGGGATTCGGCGGCTTCCCGATGGGCGCGAGCCCGCATGCAGCCCATCTGCAGCTGCCGGGTTCCCCACACGTCGGTAGCCCAGCACCGGGTGCCATGCAGGCGCCTAGCATGCATCCCTCGCAGAGCCAGCAAGGCACCAACTCGAGCGGGCCCAGCGCCAACACCTCACCAGCAGGCACGAAGCGCAGGAGACCGTCGGCCGTCAAGGCAGAGGACAACACCGACACGCCCGCTTCGGCGCCAACCCCTTCGGGCGGTGCCCAGGTCAATGGTGTGCCTGGAGGCAAGGGCAAACCCCCGACTCCAAGAATGCAGAAGCGTGCCAAGGGTAACCCGGCGTGAACAACGCTTTGGCAGCTGGAGAGACGAATTCTACATTCTTAGCCGGTGCCGTGTAACTCTACACGGACCGAGCTGGGGAAGCACAACACCACCAATCTTGATGCAGCATGTCGGCGTTTATGTCTTGTGCTTTACTGCGATACCAATACCTTTTTTCTCCCTGGGTTGCTATTTTGGGAAGATGACTTTTGCACTATCGGATAAGGCTCCCATCGGTTCAGCATTGCTTGACTGGGGTAGAGAGGATTGATTACGAACCCAGCACAGAAGAAGGGGGCCGAGTTGCCCTTTTAATCATTTGTGGCGATACTCGGGCATCATCTGGTCCGTTGAGGGTTGGATGCAGCGTGAATCGGTCCACTTGCGTGACGACCTCGATGTGGCTCGAAGACAACAAAGTCGATTACTTTTGCGGGCGTTGGGAAGGGCTCTTTTCTTGCCTCTTGGGTACAGTTGGGGGCGTATCGCTGCGGGTGTGTCTCGCCCGCCCATTTCATGAACCCTTTTGATCTTGGATTCAGCGCTTCCACCAAAAAGAGAGAGAGAGAGATGCATTTACACATTTTCGAGCGAAATCACTTGTTCTTGTTTGGCAAGAAGAAAGAAGAAGGAGGAGAGGGTGCCCCGAGGAAGGAACTGGAGAGGAGAGCACCTGGATGAAGCTAAAGACCTGTGTCGGCGATGGGCCAGTCCGGGTCTTATCTGATGTTTTCTACACCGAGTCTGTCGTATCTGCGTTGCATATGCGTCTACACAAAGCAGTAGAAGTCTGGCAAAGACAAGACGGTCCGGGTCGGGAAGAAGACATGAGGAGTTGAGATCATTGCTAATCCACTCTTACACCATGGCGATGTTTGAGGGTAAGAAAAGGGGAGGGGGAATGGGGGTTTGGAAAAAAAGGGACGGGGGTTTTTTTCCATTTTCGTTTATAGGGCGTGCTGTGCTGTTGTTGTCGTGTATGATACAAACCAAAATCGATTTTTCGTGCAAAGGCTGGGGATAAGGTAATATGAGATATGAGGCATCCCACCTGTTCATTCACCCTGACTTGGTTGGATTCGATGTACCCGGCAGGTTGATGGTGCCTTTCAAACGCCCGGTGGCAGGACGCCACGGAGGTATGTATAATACGGTCGAAGCTGTGGCATGGACAATACCAACATTGGATACTTTATTCGTTGCTTCATGAGACCAAGGGCGGTCGGTAGGTGAACCTTGCCGGATATCATTTCTTTCCAATCGAAAAAGGGTCACAGAGTGATGCAGGGCCCGTATCAAGAAGGCTCCGGAGGAGAAGTAGGGTAGGTAGGTATCGTGAGTCCCATCCCGCACAGCCAAGGTAGCTACCTAGCTAGCCAACATGTTTGTGTGACATTTGCAAAGCTGGCTTCTCCCCGCCATCCCAGCCCCAGGAGAGGCCCAGGAGAGAGAGCCTAGGCAGGCAGGCAAGCAGGCAAGCAGGCAAGCAGGCAAGCAGGCAAGCAAGCAAGCAAGCAAGCAAAAGCGGGAAAACCTGTACCCATGCATGATCCAAAAGGAACAACCACCCAGCTCAACTGGCTCGCTCGCCCAGGACGGACGGACGGACTTGAAGGAAAAGCCCGATCACATCTAGCCGCGTAATTTGTAGGTACACGGACAAACTGCTCGCGCAGGGTACACACATTGTGCACAACCCAACCCACCCTGTGCCACCCACCTTATTTACTCGATTGGGGGGGGGGGGGGGGGGGGGGGGGCGAGAGAGAACGAGGCCGAGTCTGTCTGTCGAGGGGCCTCAATTTCGATTCGAGCACATTTTTGTCAAGAGCAAAGCACGCACAGCAAAAAAAATCACACAAGCCGGCGGCAGCTGATAACACGGCGAAACAATGACTTCACATATACCACCGGCACCAAAATACTCGTAGGTCATTCGCTAGGGAAGAACGTCTTCGGATTCGTTATGAGAGAGAATTTAAAAAGAAGAAGAAAAAAACAAGAGAGACATGGCCCCCCAGTGGTCGACACTCTAGGAATGGCGGGAACGAGCAGATAAAAGCAGCGGTGACCATGTTACCGAGAGAGCCAAAACCAGCGCAAGAACCCCTCCCCCAAACCAGGAACCCTAACGCGCGCGCACACAACAGAGGAGGAAGCAGCTAGGGGCCAGAGAGCGTAAGACCTTTTCCAGGCACGCCATGAGTACCGTCTGGCAAGCTATCGCTCGCTGTTGTGTGGACCAAAGAGTTTATCCATCTGCCCTCGCGCGTCGCTCGCGTCTTCCCCTCTCTGGATAGACAGTACAAAGAAACAGACTAGTTTCAGGCTTTGGAGGGGGAAAAAAAAAGCAAATCCCTAGCGGAAGAAAGACCATCCACGCATCCACCATGGCAGTCGAGAAACCGAACCCTGAAACGCCGGAAGCCTGCAATGAGAGAGATAGGTCGCACACGGGCGTGGCGGTGAGAACGAGCCCATCGTCACAGGCGGAGGCGTTCATGCCTCCTCAAAGTGACCGAACGTGTTCTCGCCGGAGTACTGGATGTATAGGAACCTGTGCAGAACCGAAAGAATTAGCCACTTTGCCCTCTCCGAACAAACAGAAAGTAGATAGAGGAGTAGACGTACCCGTCGTCATCCTTGTGCTCCTCGTAGATGCTCGACATGAGCGCGGCCGTGGGGGGCAGGACCTCATCGACGAAGATGAAGATGGCCTTCTCGGGCGAGAGCTTGATGCGCTTGCGGATAACGTAGACGAACTGGCCTACGGTCAGGTCGGCGGGGACCAGGTACTTCTTCTTGTCGATCGTGGCGATGTCGCTCTTCTCGATCTTCTCGCAGATGACCTGTTGAAGAAGAGAGAAAGGTCAGTGTCTTGACGTGACAAATGGGTAGAGAGGCGGAGTGTGAGAGGAGAATACATACCGGAATGCGGTCAGCGTACTTCTGGCGGATACGCTCGGCCTCGGCCTTGCGCTTCTCGAAGGGGTGCTCGTCCTTGAACTTGGATCGCATATGCATCTTGCCGGTGTTCTTCTCGCTCATATGGGAGGAGAAACAGTGATCTGGGTCTGATGCGAGAGGAGACGCAAAGGTCTGAGGAGGAGGCGGGAGTAACTTGGATAAGTGTGGGAAGGCTGGCGGATAAGAGGCGGTCAGGTCAGCTATGTGAGTGGATGACGAATGACGTTTGATGATGATGATGGCGGTCGAGGCAGAAAGATGTGGTTTGCCTTTTTTTTTGTTTTCGAGGAGGGGAGCGAAGAGTGGTAGAAGAGAACTTACGAGCTTGTTTTTGGGTCAGCGAGGCCGTTGATGAAGGAGAAGGTTGTAGGCAGAAGGGAGGAGTGCGTGAACGCGAGGTTGCCGCCTTGGGGGAGTCAGTCGGTCACTGGATGTGGAGGAGGGAGGGAGACAGGCAGGTGGAGGCGGGGCTGGGTAAGTAGGTACTTTGGGTGCTGGTGCTGGTTGCAGCGTGCTGTAAGTCGCTGCTGGGCCACTCACTGGCTGGCGGCGGTCAAGCAAGTCAGGCGGCGTCGGGCAGCTCGAGGTACCGCCTCTGAGGTGGGGTACGGGAGAGCCTAAGCATGAGTGACTTCTTTCACGGGGGCAACGGTATGTAAAGGTGGTGTCACTCTGATAAGGAGATAAGACAAGTGCAGGATCCTTCTCAAAAAGCAATTTATCCCACCATCACTGCCACACAGCTCCGGATAACTCGATAAGCCTGATTGGGACTAGTGGCCTGGGATGACGACGTTGCGCGGTCCGCTAGAGAGTCGAACGCGCTCTTGGGCGGTGATTCAGAACACTGGACACCAGACACCAGGCACTGCACGTGGCCGGCGTCAGCTGGTCCTCCTGCCGTTCTTGTTTGTCAGCTCTAGCATAGCTCATCTTTCTCTCTCTTTCTCCTATCATGATAGCTACATTTTATGTCGACAAATGCACTCCTTTAAACAAGTTGCCTTGTAGCATCATAACAGCTTTCTATGGTACAAGCTGAGGAAACTTCGAGAATGAGGCAACTTTACTCTCTATGCTTAGCAACCAACCGTATTCTTCCTTCAACTCAGAAAGAGCTTTTGAATTGGCAAATATCCAGGTGGCAGGCACCCTTGATCTAGGTACTATGAATCTCTTGTCTCGTTGGAAGCCTCACCCATGATCTCAGCTCCTCGCCGGATGACACAGTCTGGTTGTATGCCTCCAACCAACTGACCAATCTGGTGAGAGCCCACCCGAAGCCTCGACAAACTACCCATTGTTCACAAGCAAGCGAGCGATGCTACTTGGCAAGGGAGTTGACTTGAACCCTATGGGCTGTGAGTAGACTTCCTATACGTAGTTGAAGGCATGGTAGGAGCAACCCTTAGCCTCCATCCATCAAGCCTGTCAGCTTTTGGTAGTGGAACAACCGATCCATGGCCAGAGGTTTGCCTCGATCCAGCCAAGCTTCCAGAATCCGGGGTTCAGAATAGAAACAGGCCACCCGGGCCCCACACTTTGCTGCAAGGTACCTGGGAAGCCAGAGAGAGATGGTTGATGAACAGGAGACATTTGATTCGCAATGGCTTCACAGACCACGGTGCACCGAGCCGGGAGCGCTTCCCCGCGGAAATATGCGTGCATCAAATCCTCAATCCTCGCCTCGACTCGGTGGTGCTGACGCGAGAGGCCGATCAGTGAATCCTTCTGGCCCAGATCAATTGACGTCCACGGGTGGCCTGAGGTCGGAGCTCCACCACCGCCGGACGCCGTCGCCCCAGCTAACCCAGCCGTAAAAAAAAGATCTGGGACAACATTCGATTTCGCGAGCAGCACCATGCGCCTGTTTTCCTATATGAGGTGATCTCGCCCAGCCAGTCCCCCTCTGTGCCCTCGGCCCAGATTCCACACCTACTGAGAACCGCCCGGAGTGGTCTCATGTAGTCGACTCGACCAGAATCATCCGATCTTTTCCTCTGCTCTGATTCGCTGCCTCTCCAATTGGCCCGACTGTTCTGCCTCTGGCCTTTCTGGCACCTCTTGTCTACCAGTCGCTCATTTGATACTTAAGCTGCCCGCCGCAATGGCATCTCGCCGGATGGGTTTGCGCTTTCTGGCGCAGACCAGACAAACTGCTCCTTTCACCCCGAACACCCTGCGCCAGTCTTGCCGGAGGACCTTTACGAGCCCTTCTGCTTCCCAATTGCCCGGCGCCCGCCTGTTCTCCTCGAGGTGGAACATCCTTGCTGTGGGCCTCGGCGTAGCAACCGCAACCACATCAACCCTTCTGTACAACATGGTAAGTGGATAGAGTACCTTGCAAGAAGGGTTTCATGCATACCTCTTTGTGTTGCAGTGCCCGGGATCTGTGCTGCTCCTTGTGTGTTGTGTCTCCACGCATCCATGCTGACCTCCGGGCTCCCCGCTGCTGCCAGACCGTCTCCGACCCCATCCGCTGCGACTCGCCGAGCCTGGCCGAGCGCGACGCCCAGACGCTGCGCGACCACGGCATCTCGGACAAGTCGCCCATGCGGCTGCGCATGGAGAAGTTCATCAAGGAGCAGCAGCGCGAGATCGTGCGCGGCCTCGAGGAGGTCGACGGCACGCCCTTCCGCGTCGACGAGTGGCAGCGCAAGGAGGGCGGCGGCGGCATCACCTGCGTGCTGCAGGACGGCAAGGTCTTTGAGAAGGCCGGCGTCGGCGTCAGCGTCGTCTACGGCAAGCTGCCGCGCGCCGCCATCGAGAAGATGCGCATCAACCACAAGAACCTCGGCGGCGGCGCCGGCAACGACGGCGAGGTCCCCGAGTCGCTCGACTTCTTCGCCGCCGGCCTCTCCATGATCGTCCACCCCAAGAACCCCATGGCGCCCACCGTGCACCTCAACTACCGCTACTTCGAGACGGCCAACGACGACGGCTCCTCGGGCGCCTGGTGGTTCGGCGGCGGCGCCGACCTGACGCCCAACTACCTCTTCGACGAGGACGCCATCCACTTCCACCGCACCCTCAAGGACGTCTGCGACAAGCACAACAAGGACTACTACCCCAAGTTCAAGAAGTGGTGCGACGAGTACTTTTACAACAAGCACCGCGGCGAGTCGCGCGGCATCGGCGGCATCTTCTTCGACGACCTCGACGAGCAGGTCTGCGACAAGGAGAACACCTTCGCCTTCATCCAGGACGCCCTGCGCGCCTTCCTGCCCTCGTACGTGCCCATCGTCGAGCGCCGCAAGGACATGCCCTTCACCGAGGCCGAGCGCGACTGGCAGCAGATCCGCCGCGGCAAGTACGTCGAGTTCAACCTCGTGCACGACCGCGGCACCTCGTTCGGCCTCAACACCCCCGGCGCCCGCGTCGAGAGCATCCTCATGAGCCTGCCGATGACGGCGAGCTGGAAGTACATGTACGCGCCCGAGCCCGGCAGCCGCGAGCAGAGGCTGGTGGACGTGCTGAGGGAGCCCAAGGAGTGGGTGTAGATGGAGTGAGGATGAGCGGGAGAAGAAATGTAGACTCTGTGTGTGTACAACTACATAATTTGTGATTGCTATAGCGAGCTTGTTTTGGATTTGGACACGATGCCAACGGAAAGAGTACATAAAAAAGTACATAATGGAAACAAAAACAGTTCAAAATAAGCCCTTGGTCCACGTTCATTGCCAATGCTTCCGGAGCGAGGGGGACAGTTCTGGAAGGGGAAGAATATCGGTTGCGTGCCATGTGTAAGAAAGAGTTCCACCTTCACCATCTGCCGCCGCCTCGTGATGCTCGTGCATAGCCTCACACAACCATCCTCCACCTTCTTCAACCCCTTCAACTGTTACAACCCGCAACCCGTATATGCCCAATTAGAGTCTCTCATAACAACATCCAAACCATGTAATACCTTGTTTAAACCTCACCGTATACCACCTGGGGGAAACCACAATCCCCTGCCCCTCTCTCAACCAGCGCCACCCAGACAACCCATCTTTCTCACTTACAATACCCGGGTCACGACATACCCAGACACACAGAGCAAAAATGGCAACCCGGCTCCCAACCCCAAGGGAAACGCTCACCTCCCTCATAACCGCCATATCCCACATCCCCGTCCCCCCCTCCTCCTCTCTCCCCCCAGCCACCACCACCAACCCGCTCTCCCTCATCCCCGCCTCCGCCCGGCCCCTCCTCACGACCCTGCACGTCCTCTTCCCGACACACCTCCTCCCGGCGCTGGACCTGCTCGACAGGAGGCTCGTCACGCGCGTCGTCCTCGCCCCCCGGCCCCTCCCCGATACCACCACCACCACCGGCACCACCACCACCACCGGTACCGGCGCGACAGCAGCAGCAGGAGGCGACAGCGGGTGCTTCTTCTACCTCGTCCGCTCCGCCGCCGCCGCAGCTACGACGGGCACGCACCACCACCACCACCACCGGAGGAAGGCGAAGAGGCACCAGGACGACTCCTACTCCACCGCAGGGGCCATCCCCTCCGCCGCCGGCGCGGAGAGGACGGCGGCAAGGAGCTACGTCGTCCGCCTGCCGGCGTGGAACTGCACGTGCGCGGCCTTTGCTTTCTCGGCCTTCCCTGCCACTGCCACTGCCACTGCCACTACTACTAAAGCTCCGGTGCGTCAGCATGACGGACGAGGAGGATGTGATGACGGCCCTCCATCTGCCGGGGATGGAGACCGGCAGCTGGAGCGGGACGACGACGAAGGCAGTGGCAGGTGGGAATTCGGCGGTATGAGCCTGGACGGCCTGCGGCAGGAAGAGGGAGGAGCAGGAGGAGGAGCAGGAGGAGGAGCAGGAGCAGGAGGCCCCGTGCCGTGCTGCAAGCACCTCCTCGCGTGCGTGCTGGCCGAGCGGTGGGACGGTGCGCTGGGGAGATACGTCGCCGAGAGGAGGGTGGGCAGGGAGGAGATGGCTGGTATCGAGGCGGATGTCTGAAGAGCAGCAGCAGCATGCATGCCTGATGAGTTTACAGCGGGAGAGGTGACATGGCGTTTGGTGTTGTCTTGTCTTGCACGATACCCAGGAGGGCAGTTCTTTTTCCTTGAGAATGTGTACAGTCTACAAGAAAAATGAGACTTGAAGAAAGCCATATCAGAATCACGACACACTAGTGTGTATACATGTTCCCAATCAATACGCCGTGTGTATTACGAACAGGGCGGCCGAGATCTACCCGTCTCGGTGCGCAGTCTATCATGACAAGTCGTACAATGCTACCCACGAAACGCCCTCCCTTTTTGTCCTTCGTCTTGCGCTCGCTTCTCCCTACCTCTCCGCGGGTCGTTCTCTCTCTCTTACTTCTTCTCCTTCTTCTCCTTGTCCCCGCCCTCCTTGGCAGGCTCCCCGTTGACGCCGTTGACAGTCTTGTCGCCGCCATCCTTCTTCTCGCCGTCCTTCTTGTCGCCGTCCTTGGCCGCCGTCTCGCCGTCCTTCTTGGCCGCCTCCTTCTCCTCCTGCTGCTGCCTGTTCTGGATCTTGTTCTCGATGAGGTCGTGGAAGGCCGTGATGGCGCGGATCAGGCTGCTCAGGTAGATGGCCATGAGCTGGTCGTTGGTCTTGATGCTCATGGCGTGCGCCAGCTCGCCGCCGCCCTCGCCCGCCGCCGACGACTTGCTGCCGGTGGGCGTCGAGAGGTTGGGCAGCAGGTTGAAGACGTCCTGCAGGTTGCCCAGGATGGCGTGGTTGACGGGCAGCTGGCCGTCGAGCACCTTTTGCAGGTAGGCCTGGATGTCGCGCAGGCGCAGGTGCAGGCCCTGCAGCGACTGCAGCTGGTTGGTGACCCTGGTGGAGAGGGTGCCGACGGCCACGTCGCGGATGTCGCGCAGCAGGTGCTCGACGCCGATCTCCTCGGCCTCCTCGGCCTCGATTATGGATGGGGTGTGGACAAAGGTCTTGGATGTCGTCGTGCCGTCCTGCTCGTTGGTGCCATGTTAGTAAATGTAAATCTCGGGGCCATCATCCACCGTACGTAGAGGGAAAGCATGACGCACGTCCTTGATCTCCTCGACCGCAAAGTAAGCATCCGTGGGCACGCCGGCCTCCTTCGGCTGGACATCGATAATGACAAGCAGAGGGTTCGGCGTGTAGCGCTTGAACAGCTCGTTGATCTCGAGGTCGGATGCCCTCAGCTTGGGGCCCGAGTGGTACCAGCCTATTAGCTTTTCCCTCGCGTTGACCTTCTTGAACATCTCGTTCATCGACTCGACGTAGTTGTGATCCAAAAACCAGACGGAGGGGTCCTTCTCGTCTTCCTCGAACGGCACTATGCGGGAGGAGGATCGACATGTTAGCTGTCACCTTGTAGAATCGAAGCCTGAGGCTTGGAAGAGCCAAATGGACATACCAGCGAAGCTGTTTGATACCCGCACATTCTTGCCATCATTGGAACCCAACAGCACACCGACCACACGCTTGTTCCTCGTCTTGCTCGTCTCGCCCCGGTTGTAATGATCTACGGCAGAGAGGAGGACGAGGGGCGCGACCGAGACATTGCGGGTGACGAGATTGAGCGTCTCGGCGGTCGTGGAAGGCATTTTGGAAGAGGTCAGGAGGGGGTGTCGGAGAGGAGGGTATCACTGAAAAGAAAGAGGGGATGTGATCGCAAGAGACTATTGCGATGGCGGTGAGGATGTATGGGAAGAGCAGTCAGTGGGTGGTCGAGTGTCGTGATGATTGGATTGGAGAGGCTGCCATTTGGAGGACGAGGCTCAGAAGGTAGGTTCCGATTTGGGGCTAGCAGGTGCTGCGGGACGCCTTGTTGGGCGCTAAGCTCCAGCTCCAGCTTAGTAAAGTGTAGCTGTGGCCAGGCGCTGTGACAGGATGGAATTGATTGCTTTTTTTTCTTCTCGCCAGGCAACACACGTGATGACGCAGTGTTTCGTTGTGGTAACAACCAGCAGGATCGTTGTTGCTGGCAAATGACCTATCTTCTTCCTGAGGACGAAGCTATCATGAAATATCATTCTCAATCCTTGCGGACAGAAACCATACAGATTCGCTCAAGGTAGTAGCGATATACTGCCCAAGAAGAATGAGGTCTGCTCACACGCTCGAGAATGACAACCTCCAAGTGCATTGCCTGCCATTATCACGAGAGCCGACCAGGTTGGCATGCAGGAAGAACTCATTGCCCCAGAACACACGGAATCGCATTCAAGAGAGCTACGTTACGTCAGTACCAATGTTGAACTCAGGTGTTGTGCAGTGCATATCCGAGTTGCTTCTGAGGCGGTTCCGTGAGCTATCGATGTGGACTGCCAACCGGGGAATTACTTCGCCATTAACAGCGAAAGGCAAGCCTGGTCGCTCAGTAACGATGATGGGTGATCTTCTGCTTCTCTAAGCCTTCAAACCAACAACGAGGAATGCCTCGTGGAAGGAGATCCGGAGGAGGAACTGGGCCATTCCCGACTCTCCATAAGTACTCTAGATCGATAGGCACTGGACAACTGGCAAGGAGTCCATAAAACTTGCAATCGTAGAACATAGAATATCGACCACCCGGGCTTGGTCCATTTACCCGGCTGAAGCTCTTGGCTGACACCTCGGCCGCATGGCGAATACAACCAAATGTGCGGGATTTGGGCCAGCCAAGCGGGGCCTCGGAAACCTGGAGCCAGGAAGCGTCACCAACCATTGCAATGGCTGCGAAGGCCGGCTCGCTCCCGGCGGTGGGAGGATAGCCGACGGGACGAGCTTCAGGAGCACGACGACGCTGGAAGGAAGAAAAGCTGGAGTCCCTTTCAGTGGGCCGACCGCTATTCCCAGCCACTGATGCCCCCAACCGAGAGCCCACATTGCGTTGGGGGTGCCAGTGCCGGTGCCTTTTTACCTTGGCTCTTTCGTGATCAATCAAAGCCAGCAGTGAACAGGGGTGCAACGTGCACCCACGCTAGCAACTAACCTCCCCGGGGTGCAGAGAAGCACAGACTACACGCTGGCTCCGACCTCGTTTTCCTGCTGTCTACCTCGCTGTTAGTGTCCGCTCCTCCGCCAAAATTTCCCTCGCCAACTTCCAGTTCCATCTTCCTCACCACGACACGCTCCGGACAACAATTCTCCTCGTCCTTTTCCCTAAGCGACTTCTCCCCTACCTGTACCTCCTCTCGCAGTCAGCTCCTCTCCAACCTTTGAACCCACCCTCCCCTTCCCACAACCAACCATCACCATGGGCGCAATCGAGGACCAGGTGCAGAAGCTGCACACCATTGTCGAGAGCCTTGAGGCGCGTATCAAGTCCCTGGAGGAGCGCAAGTTCGGCAGTGGTTCCAAGACTGCCGATGAGGTCCGCATGATCCTCATCGGCCCCCCTGGTGCCGGTACGTCCATCCAATGGCTGACCAATGTTGCAATTGGAAGCTCTTGACATGGCCGAATAGCGAGTAGTGTCATGCTAACCACACGTTTCCGACCCGCAGGCAAGGGAACCCAGGCCCCCAAGATCAAGGAGAAGTTCAACTGCTGCCACCTGGTAAGTACCATTCCACAATGCTCTCGAATTGGTAACATCAATGGACCGCTGACACAATGCTCGTCGTCGCTCCCAGGCTACCGGTGACATGCTCCGATCCCAGGTCGCCAAGAAGACTCCCCTCGGCAGGGAAGCCAAGAAGATCATGGACCAGGGAGGTCTGGTCAGCGACGACATCGTCATCGGCATGATCAAGGAGGAGCTCAACACCAACCCCGAGTGCAAGGGCGGGTAAGTGATGGCCACTGCTGCCGGCAGCCTCGGCTTAAAACCAACCCCATAAGCTTCTCCTGACAAATGTGGCTGACAAAACTTCCCTCCGTAAAGCTTCATCCTCGATGGCTTCCCGCGCACCGTGCCCCAGGCCGAGGGCCTCGACGCCATGCTCCAGGAGCGCAACCAGAAGCTCCAGCACGCCGTCGAGCTGCAAATAGACGACGCCCTGCTCGTCGCCCGCATCACGGGCCGCCTCGTGCACCCGGCCTCGGGCCGCTCCTACCACAAGATCTTCAACCCGCCCAAGAAGGACATGACGGACGACATCACGGGCGAGCCCCTCGTCCAGCGCTCCGACGACAACGCCGACGCCCTCAAGAAGCGCCTCGACACCTACCACAAGCAGACCACCCCCGTCGTCGGCTACTACCAAAAGACGGGCATCTGGAAGGCCATCGACGCCTCCCAGCAGCCGGGCCAGGTCTGGAAGTCCCTGCTCGACATCTTTGACGGCGACGCCAAGAAGGCCTCGGGCACCGGCAGCGCCATCCTCGACAAGCTCACCGGCGGCCGCTAGAGCAGCCGCCGCCGCTTCGACGAGGCCCGGTACAACGAGCTCGACAAGGCCCTCTGGTTCAGCCGCGGGGAGTGAACCCTCTTCCTGCTACGGTGCTTGAGATCTTGTCGGGTTTCCGGGAGTGCTTGTTGTTTTGTTGTGTGTTATTCCCCTCCTTCATGATCCAAACACGGGTTTTTGGTGAATGGAGATGGGGTCGCATGGGCGGGATGGGACGTACGTACGGACGAATGGATGTATGAACAAATTTGACGACTTTGGGCCGGCGGTTCAGGTGCTTGCATTCGACCCATTGGGCGGGACACTTTTTTTCCCCAAAGAGTTGTCCGGGTCTGGTGTCTCTGTGAGTCCTGCCTATTTTTTCCAGGACCGGGAGTTTCTTGTATTTGGTGTGGTTATGTGACCGTCTTTCTGGGGGGGAAAGGAGGTTTGAAAACCAGGGTCAACCTACCTGCTTACTTGCCTTGATGATCAAGAAAGAAGAAGAAGCGCCCACGCCTTGTGTATGTAATTCCTCTCGAAAAAGAAATGCCGCATTCAATAGACCATTATGATTTCGGGTTTCCTTAACAGCGACAAGAGATCCAAGACGGTATCTCGTCAGTGTTGAAAAAAAAAAAAGTCAGAAAGTCAAAAGTGCAGAGCGAGAAGAGTGTATTAGTAGTATCGTTCGTACCAATAGAGAGGAAAAGAAGAAAGAAGCATGCTATCTTATTCGCGGCAAAGGGGGTATATGAAGTATACCAAGGTGGTGGTGTATCATGGAATTAACAAAAATTGTCCGAAAGGATTCCCTCTCTCTCTCTCTCTCTGTTCTCTGTCGCCTCCTCCGAACAAACGGGATCCCCCACCCCGGCGCGTCGGTCATGGAAAGAAGGCCGTGCTAGAGGATGAGAAGGACGAGGACAAGCCGATATGCCAGCTCCAGCTCGCCACGCCTCCTCCTCCGCCATCGCCGCCGTCTACCAAGAACGCGAGCGTCTGGGCCACCCAGGCGGGCAGCCGCAGCAGCACGCTCGGTCTCCGGCGCCACAGGACGACGACCAGCGCGCAGATACCGCCCGCGTCTGCCTCTGCCTCTGCGTCTGCGTCTCCTCCTCCCACTTCTTCCTCTGTCGGGCCTCCCGCGTCGTCGCCACCCGTTTTGTGGTGATGCCCGTCGTGGCCGTCGTCGTAGCGCCGCGACACAGTCACGCAGATCCGGAGGGACGAGAGCCGCCGCGCCAGCCGCCGCAGGAGCACGGCGCGCAGCACGCGCTCGACGACGGGCCCGATGATGGCGCCCCAGGCGTAGACCTAGAGTGCTTGGAGCTCCTATCTCCTCGGCGTGGCTGGAGAACGCTTGCATTAACATACATACATACACACACACACACACGACGGAAAGAAAGACCAGAGGGGTGAGTTTGTGTGCTACGGAACTAAAGCAAAAAAAAAAAAAGGGGGGGGGGGGGGGGGGACCA